AGTTGAAATAAAAGCTTTTGAGTTCATAACAAGATGCATGAACACACGACGAATGATTAATTCATAAAAAGATTGTATGCAAATATTTTGTTCGGTTCGAAACAAATATTTCGAGTTCATTACATGGTGGAGACAGACACTACAAATTAATAAATCATAGGAAGATTCTATTCAAATACTTTCTTTGGTTCAAAGCAAAGATTCAATCTCATTACAGGGTGCAGGAACACACAACAAATAAGCAGCTCGAACAAACATTCATTTCATATATTTTGTTCAGGTCGAAGCAAATATTACAAGTTCATTACCAGAGGCAGGAATACACAACAAACAAATAATTCATAGCAAAATTGTATGCAAGTATTTTGTTCGATTTCAGACAGAGATTTCGAGTTCAATACATGGTAGAGAAACACGCCAGAAATGAGTAATACGTAGGAAGAATGTATTCAAATATTTTGTTTAGTTCAAACCAAACATTTCGAGTGCACTACAGGATGAAGGAATAAACAGCAAATAAGCAGCTCAAACAAGCATTCTTTCCAAATAACTTGTTTAGTTCGAAACAAAAATTTCGAGTTAATTATATGGTAAAGCAGCACAGAAAAAACGAATAATTCACATCAAAGTTTTGTTCAAATATTCTGTTCAGTTCGAAGGAAAGATTTTAAGTTCATTAAATGGTCGAAGAATTGGCGACAAATGGACATCTCAAACAAACATTCATTTCAAATATTTTGTTCGGTTTGAAGAAAAGATCTTTAGTTCATTACACGATGGAAGATCATACGACAAAGACATAATTCATAGCAAGATTTTATTCAAATATTTTGTACAGTTTGAAGAAAACATTTTGATTTCATTTCATGATGGAGGAAGATATGAGAAATTAATAATTCATAATAAGATTCTGTTCAAAAGTTTTGCTCAATACGAAGCGAAGATCGGAGGTTATTGAGATTGATGGAGATTACATGATAATTTAGTATTTGCTAGGGTTCAATTCGAATACTAGGATATGTATTATATTGGGTTGTATGTTGTGCTTAGAATAATAACCTCGTTGAAAATGAAGAATTCATACGGTTGTTGATTAAATAGTCAGCAACACTATTGGATTTCGCAGCTTGATTCACTCCGTTGTCCTGCCCCTGTCCCATGCAGCTTGTTGCCATCAAAACCAAGAAGACTGCCAAATAAATCTTGTAATTCATAATGTGCATTGTCGTATACAATTGCTTGAATGTTTGAAGATTGAGTTGCGAATGACTTTTAGAAAGTATGAGAATGGTATGATATTGCAGTCGTGCTGATGCTTTATATATACATTGGTGGCTCAGTAAGGAGGAATCTTCGTGAAATAAATATGTCAACAATCGAAAGTGATTTACTGCAATATTGAGGGTGCACGTGAGCGTCAGTATAAGTATTTCTTTATCAACTAGACTCTTTTATCTTGTTTTACATTATTTCATTTTATTTTATTACCCTAATTTATTGCATTTTACTTTATTGCTCTATTTTATTATTCTAATTTATTGCATTTTATTTTATTACTCTGATTTATTGCATTTTATTTTATTACTTTTTTATATTTTATCTTATTGCATTTTATTACATTTTATTTTATTACTTTCTTTTATTCCCTGAATTGTAGAGAATCATATAAATAAAATGCGTTATAAAACTTGATCTAAAGGCTTTTGGGCTCAGAGACTTCGAATTTGAGGTCTTTTTAGTCAGAGAGCTCAGGGGAGGGGAGGTGTTCGTTGAGAGTCAATAGAAATCAAGTTTTGAAGAAAAAATGCTTCTCTAGATACTTTAATGTTATATTTCTCGTTGAGAAGTATGTAGAAAACCGAAATCGTTTGTTTTCTCACTTGTGTTAGTTTTCATATTGTACTTATTATTTGAAGGTTTGTCCAAGAAACAACTGATGTTGGAATCTTCAACATGACTTCATTTTCGTGTGCTACTGATTAGCATGCAAATGCATGTTGCACAAGTTGACCAATCCGATGTAGGATCCTACATCAGATTCTATCAATAGCCGACGAAATCCTGTAGAATTGCGTAGAATAATCGAATCCAAAAAAAATTTCTGGGTCCGGTCAAAGAATTACACGCCACTGTACCATCTGGAATACTAATCCATTATTCAGCAATGCATTCTGTAGAGAAATGTTTGCTCTTTCAGTCTATGTAATTCGAAACACACTACAGTTTCTTATAGTCAATATTTTTTAAAGAAAACGGTCCGGGTCTAAGTTTGAACTTGGATTATATTCATTAAAAAATTTTAGCTATGGGGAATTATAGCGTGTTTCGAATTACATAGACTGAAAGAGCAAACATTTCTTTACAAAATACATTGCCGCCTAATGGGTTAGTATTCTAGATGATACAATAGCTTGTAATTCTTTGACCGGATTCAGAAATGTTTTTTGAGTCCAATGCAGCTCGCTAGTGTATATGTGAGTAAAGGAAAAACACACACACCTACACCCACCCTATGTAGAAAAAAATTGATTGTCAAAAATATTTTTACGAAATAACCTCAGATTCGAGTTTCTGGACTCGAAAAACCTTTGTTGGATCATTTTCTAATGACAATCGATAAGTTTTCATTAGTTTATGAAATACCGATTTTTTTATTGGCTTCGACAGACAGACAAACTTTCAGCATTTTAAGCCCATAATTTTAACCCTGTATAACCATTTCTTTCAGAAAAGAGAATAATTAACTCTTCTAATATTCTTGTAAAAAATACGAGCTACACATCTGTCTTTGACTTTTTATAAGCAAGATTGCGAAACGTAAGTTTCGTATATATCTATATATAATCTAATTGATAATAATTATAAAATAGTTATTTAAGACTTGGATTAAATTTATGTGTCGAAATCTCTAGATTTTTTTATTCTTTAGTAAAATTCAATAACAATTAGTTCAGTAGTTTTAGAGTTTAGTACTTCACGTACTTTTAACTTCTATCTTTCATTTATCTCTAATGTCTATTCATAGACGATTCATTTACAACATCGAATTTATCATTCGATCGAAATTTTGAGTTAAAAACTTTTCGTTTTAACATATTTATTTTAGTTTTTTTCAGTCAACCTACAAAGGGTAAAATGAATACATAAAAATGTTTAGCATGCGTAAAAGATGGTTAAAATAAATAAAGTAATAAAATTTTGAAAAGTTAAAATAGTTGTTTACGATGTGGAAAGAAGTTTTTGCACAAATTCTATAATAGAATATACAACATAAAATAAATAAATAATTTTGAAATTACCTTGATAATCAAGTTTGCCATCTCTATTTACATCAGCCTAAATAGAATAAAAACTAGGTAAAATAATGAAAATAAGGATTATTTTTAAATAAACCTCTCGCATCATATCTTCTAATTCTTCTTGATTTAATTTTTCACCCATATTAAGCATGACCTTAACATGAATAAGATTATTTTTAGAAAAAAAAAAGAAACTTGATAATCAAATCATATTCACCTGTTTCAATTCATTAATCGTTATATATCCTGAATTATCACGGTCAAAAAGTCGAAAAGCATCTCGTAATTCAGCTTCTTGATCACGTTCATGCCAATGTTTACTCATAAATGCACAAAATTCAGAAAAATCCAAACGTTGATTACCTAAGAAAATCTATTGTACTAATAAAATTTCATTTATATTTTACTTACCATTTTTATCTACTTCAGCAATAAGATCAGCAATTTCTTTATTTGTTGGATTTAATCCTAATGAACGCATGACTTGTCTAAAAAAAAGCAAGAATATTTGAAATAAATATTTTTTTCAGTCAACTTCTAATGTCACGAACACTCCTGTACACATAAATATAAAATGCTTACAGATATTCTTTCAGAAATTAAAATGTATCTTTTGACAAGGTTGAATATGACTTTCAGAATTTTTAATTAGAGAAATTCTAATATACTACAATCAAGTTTGATTTTTTTTCTGTTATCAAAGACTTTTATCATAATTTATTATTTATAAATATTTAACATATGTATGCATATTACTAACCCTATTTCATTGGCATCAATATTTCCATCTCCATTCTTGTCGAATAAATCGAATACATGACGAAATTCTTTATAGATCAAATTATACAATATATTATCATTCTATTTATTATTTTTTTCTCACCTTCAGCTTTTGAAGCAGAAAATGTACTCTAAAATAAACTCTTCACAATAAACATCATTTAATTTTTATAGAATTCTTACCATTGTTCAATAGTTAATTTGGTATAAGAGACGATAAGAATGAGTTGTTATATATAAGATTAAATGATAGAATAGTCAACCCGTTTAAAGCACTCTTTTCTTCATGCAAATATTAGTTTACGCGACGAGAGAAAAAAAACAAAGAGAGAGAGAGAGAGAGAGTGAGTGAAAAGGATGAATTAATTAAATAGAGCAGATATGTAGACACGGCGGATGATGTTTGGAGTCAGATTATGGTTGCTATTCTTCAATCTAATGTTTATAATGGCGTCGATAAAACAAGAAAAAAAAATGAGAAAAAGAGAATTCTCATTTTAAATATTGGATGTAGTTGAAAGCTTGTCGTCCGTTTTCTTTTCTCTCTCGTTTCTTTTCTTCTCAAATTGATGCTCTGTTGTTGTAGCATTACATGTTTTATTTTTAAGAACTGAAAAAAAAAATAACATACATGTTCTTTGTTCTCTATAAAATATGTTTCTATGACATCGAATTATTTTATTTGATGTTGTTAATGGCCGATTTGGTATTCATCTACCATATAAATTTAATGAATTCTACTACATATAGTTTATTTAAAAAAAAAAGAAAAAAAAAACAGGATTTCAGGAATTAGAGGCATTGACAACATACAAAAGAAAAAATGAGTGTCTTTTGTTTGTTCATTCTAAGACTATTGAGATTAATATTGAAGGTAAAAGTGGTATTGAATAAGTATTGGGTCATTAAAAGAATTGTTTGATCTAGAATATCTAACATGATCGTATAATTAAGAAGGAGAAGAAAAAATAATGTTTTTCTTTTACCATTTACGAGTTACTGACGTACGTAATGATGCAATAGCATCATCAAGTTGACTTTCATACTCACTAAGCCATTCTGGCCGTTCACGACCCTCTGAAATTTAATATTTAAATTGATTATTTATCAAATATCAAATCACTTACGAAGACTTTTAAATACACCAGCTGATTTCATTCGAGCATAATCACGTTCAGGATCATATGTCCTATAAAGAGAGAAAATAAAGATTATATTTCATTTCTATGAACAAAACTAAAGCAAGTTATATTAAATTAACAGAATCACCCAAGAAAAAGAAATTTGTCTCTCGAGGTACTTAGTGTTAAAGAGTATAAGAATAATTAAATTTACCCTTGTAGAAAACATGCAATATTATAATTAAATTATCATAGTGTATTCTACATTTCAATACTTGAAAACATAAATGTTAATTAGTATATAATGTTTTTGTTATTCAAAGTGAACAATTAATGTTATTGAAAATACCGAAAAAAAACGGTAACTACTAAAAGATTAGAACCTACGTTGTATACTGGAAGTTTGAATTACTATCTATATAAAGAAAAATGTTCGTCTTTTTTTTCTATTGTCTTCAGTTATTATTTAATAAGAAAAAACATGACTAACTTGTAAAACGAAGAAATATTTCGTTTATGTTGATCAGATATAAGTATTTTCCATGTTAAAGCTGATACCACAGCAATACTAACGCCAATAACACCTGCTCTTGGTACACGTGCTCGAGTTAAATTTTTTAATGTTGGTCGTCCACTTGATGACGAACCTGCTACTTTGGCGGTATCTTTAACTGGTAAAGCAGTTGTAGCAGATGATGCCATTTTTCTTTTAATCTTTATCTAAATTACGTGTATATATATATACAATAACTGGATTAAGAAATATAAATAAGAATTTGATAGTCTTTAAAAAGTAAAAGTAAACGATTATACATATATATGAAACTAGCACCAATACATAATAATTTTTTCTTCTTTTTCTTTTTTTCATAAACTAAGAAAAAAAAACAATAAACCCAATCTGACAGAGTGAGATGATTTACAATGTCACTCGGTTGTTAACATATGATCGGAAATGATATATATATATAAAAAAAAACCTTGCGCATAATTCGAACTATATAAATAAATGAATACATTTTCATACAGATAAAAAAAAATAGTTTCTATCAAGATTGTTGTTTTAATCGTTTATTTAATTTATGTTCATATGTCCATTTTTGTTCACCCGATTCAGTAAAATACTAAAAAGAAAAAGAAATGATTTCATTTTAATATTACTTTGATTTAGTTACTTTAGTTTCCCATTTAACTGATTTGTCTGCACGTTCTTTAGTTGCTTCACGTTGTCGCTGTTCAAGAAATGATTTTGATTCAGTTGCCTTATCTAATTGTTTCGATTTTAAATAATAAGTCACATCTTTCCATAAACTAAAATAATAAAAGAAATATACATATATATGAAATTATCTTTTATTAATATTATTACTGTCGACTTTCAAATTCTCCTTGTTCAGCAATAGGTCGAACAATTTTTTTAATAACCGGCGTTGTTTTTGTATCAAAAAATATATCCGAAATTTTTGTATCACTATATTTCGCATACATTATACCATTCCATTCACCATCAATTTTACCAAATTCTTTTTTATCTGGTCCATATAAACTTCCAGTTATTTGATGTTTTTTTCCATTATAAAATGGCTTAAAAAGAAAAAACATTGGAAAAAATCGATTTTTATTTCAAATAAACATACTTTTGTTAAAAATTCTATATTTGCTGAATAACCTGTTTTTTCACATTCAATAGATACTTTACCACCCATTTCAAACCATGGAACGCCGAGTATAGATCTAAATAATTATTTCAAATTAATCATATATCTCTAATTCTCAAGAAGAAGAAGAAAAAGGTGTAAATGTACTTTAAATGTCATAGAAAAACTATTATATTGTTTTTTCCGACATATCAAATAGAAAATATTCTAATTGTAGACATCCGGTGGGATTTTATTCGATTTTCTATCCAAAAAAAAATAATTTCTACAAGTCAGGATTTCTTGCCGAGTGCATGACAAAACTAAAAAGAACGCAAAAACAACAATCTAACAAACAAAACGCTAAAGTTATGATTCTATAATCAAATAACAAGAAAGACCATCTTGTTATTATATTCGATTATCAACTGTGAAAATTAAAGAAGAGAAAATTTTTTCTACTTTCGATCTCTGTATTATAGTTCTCATTTAGCAAAGTAAAATATCTAAATAAATAAATAATTTATATGATTCTATACCGGCCATATGCACTTGGAAATGTCATCACATAACGTTCATCATGATCAAGTAATGTTAATGTTGCATCACCGATCATATGTACAGCAACAGATAAGCCTAAAAATTTCGATTTTGTCCAAAGACAACCATCAATTTGAATACGTTTTGCTGGACATTCAGCATAAAATGTTGCAACTAAAAAGATAAATTGATTTATCTAATACAAATTTATAATTGAATACTGACTTGGTGGATGATGAGAAGTTTGTTCAGCAATAAAAGTAACATTATCATCGGATGTCCATGGAACAGGACCATCTTTAGCTAATTTCGTCTATATAGAATAAAAACAAAAGAAAAGTCAATATTGACTTAATACTTATAGTATTCGATTTTTATTTACATTAGAAGAAGATGAGCCAATATCATAATAGCATTGAAATGTTTCACCAAGTATTGGATTGTATGGTTTTTTTGGTACTGCACTTTTACGACCAGCATGAAATGCAGACAGATACCATTTAACAACTTGAATAAAACGATCACGTGGTGTATTATAATCTGTAACACTAAAAAATATTTTCAGATAGTATTAATTAAGTTTTTTTTCTCTAAACTTACTTTACAAATTGATCTGGATGTGCGAGAAAATCAGCTAACATTTCAAGAAAAGAACGTCGTTCAAGGATAAATGTTGGAAGTGTTATTTTCGTTAAATCCATTGAAATACGGGCCTAAGAATAAATGAATTATTAATATTTGTTTATGATTAATTGGTCTATATTCAAGAAGTTCTCTACGATATTTTTTAAATGATCAATGCTGCAAAGACTTTATAATACTATAAAAAGATAATCTTACCTGAGAAATTAAATGTGATATAATCGTACCATCAATAGGTGCAACTAAAAAAATAAATTTTGATTTAATCTTATCTAGAGATTATAACTTACGATCTTCTTCTGCTTCTTCTTCATATGCAGCTTCATAGATTTCAAATGGAATTTGTGAACTAATTGTACGACTAAATGAACATATGAATATGCAAATAAATAATATATTCGAAAGATTTTCTTTATACTTTGTTCCATCTATTTGATTTTCGTTCATTTTTGTTTTAACACCTAGATTGTTATGAAGATTTTGTAATAATAATGTTGATTTATCAGTAGTTTTTGATAAGACATCATTATTTTGTATATTAATTGATACTGTTTGTTGAAGATTAGTTGCTGTTGATGATGGTGATATTGTTGGTGTACTAATAAATAAATATATTCTTCTATTATAAATTTATTTACATAATAAAAGCAAGAGGAAGGGAAAAAAAAGAATAACTACTCACTATGGAGCATGAGGATGTGAGTGACGAGTCGTTACTGACGACCTTATTACGTTTGCATTATTTCCTCTTAATCTCGACTCCGTTATCATTTCAAGTTGTCTTCGGCACATTTTCTTTTTTCTTCCTTTTACAAGCCGTTCCTGATTTTTATGTCACTTAACGCGTGTAAGAAATAAAGCGAAGGAAAAAACATACGAACGAACGGAAGGAGTATTTTATAAGAACATGACCATTCTCGTTTATAAAACTCAATTGAGTAAACTATAGGCATATGTATATAAATATTCATATTATACATTGTAGAAGAAAAAAAACTAACAAATATTATTTTTTATAAATCAGAAAAGTATATAGAAGTAGTTTATTTTGTTTCTTCTTCTCTTTATACTATTCATCTCATGCGGAATACAAAATAATACATCTGACAGGTATTATAAATATTTGATAAGAAATTTTCATTGGCTATTTTTCGGAAGCTTTGAAAGCGTAAACATTGAGAAAAACCAGTGTCTATTGATGATTGTATAGAGATAAATCTGATATATATATATATATATTTAAAACAAAAATCATATTCCTTACTCCATAGCTTCATCAGCATCATAAAAGTCATCATCATCATCACTACTGGAATAAGATGATACTGGAAAATTTTTGCGGACAGTTTTGACAGCTGTACGAAAGTCTAACGCTATTTTTAGAAAGAAAATAAAAAAATATTTTTATACAATATTATTTCATAGTATTATAATTACATCCAAGTGATGCTCTCTCTGGATCATTTTCTTCATTTGATGCACCGCGAACATTCGAATGAGCGGTAGCAGATGATGCTTCGTTATTATTAAGAAATTTATCTAATAAAAAAAAAATAATATTCGATATAGTTAGACAAAAAAAAACAAAGTTCCTTTTACCCTTATGAATATTCATATGAGACAAAACAGCTTGATAATCAACATCTGCTTTGACATCACTATGTGGGTCCATATGTACCTATTCAAAGAAGAAAATATAGAATATTTCTATAAAACTCTTATTGTTAGTTTAACAGAGCAAAGCTTTGAGAGAACATTAATCCCATTTATATCTACTCTACCGAATTATGAATCTGATGTTTGATTTCAGAAAATTGTTTAACATCTGGACATAAATCCTGTAAAATATTTTTTTATTCTCCCATCACGATGTAACTATTTACTGTGACAAAAACTTTTCGATCGTACGTTAAATTCGATGTTTTAATCTTTAGTATCGCCTATCTGGTGATCAATAAAAACTACTGTTGATTTCGGTAATATCACCTACAAGTTCGATTATAAAATTTATGATATGAAACAAGACACGACTGATATCGTTATTGATTTACGATCAACTAGTCTGATCTACTCAGATCGATTTCAGTTCTATCATCAATCTTTAACATATACGATCATATGAAAATCTCTAGATAATAGAAACTTATTAGAGAAAATAAGAATTTTTTCCTTTATCTGTGTAAATGATAAATTTTCTATAATTCTACTTACTTTTGCCAATTGTAATGATACAATTGAATATTTAACTGCTTCAATTAATCTCTTTAAACGAATAAAATAAAAAAAGTTACTTTCTTTCTTTCTGTTTTTTTTCAAAGTCATATTTTTTATACTTTAGCCGATCCAACAACACGTTTACAACATTCTTGTTCTGATATATTTTGTTCTTGTTCACTTTTTTGTTCAAGTGCCTAAGAGAAGAAAACAAAATAAGCTAAAAACACTTTTTTTTTCTATATAAAAAATATCATTACATTAACTTGATCAATTAATAATTGTAAATAAGCATCAGCTTCTGCTATTTTACGTTCAAATAAAGATGTACTCGAAACAGATAATTTATCCTAAAATAATTTCTAGAAAATTTTTCTTTATATTCAAAAAACAATTAAACATACAGTATTAACACTATTAAGACTTATAGCTTCTTCGAGATTAGAAATCCATTTTTGTCTTTCTTCAGCATCACGAGCTAAAAGATAGTATAATTCATTTATATGACATTACGATAAGATAAAATTTGTCGAGACAAAAAATTATACCTTGAAAATGGAATGTTTTACCATGTGATCGAATAGTGAACTAAAAAATCATTCTATAATTATTTTCATCTATTCAATATCTATGATTCTTACCGTACTATCATCTTCCGAATCAATACCTAAATATGCTCCCTAGGAAAAAAATGAATGAAATTATTTAGAAAAACAAAATCTTTGAATTATATACTCTCAATAGAACTACACCACGTCGATCACCTTTAACCATATTTTCTTTCGACTAAAGCAAAAGAAACACTTGTAGAAAATATTAATAATTTTTTGTTTTTGAATTTTACTGTATAATAAATAAGCATTCCTTGAGTGGGATCAAGAACAAAAAAACGATATTGCCAACCTTGTATGACATTTGTCCACTTACTAAGAGGACCTTCGAATAACATCTTAAAAGACAATCAAAACAACTTCTTCAAAACAATGATAAATAGGAAAACAATTCAAATATTGAAAATATATTTTTCAATGATTCATCAGTCATATTGTATGAAAAAATCGGCCATTGTTTTTCATATATAGAAATACACAACTAGGGAGAAGCTTGTTTATTTACGCCATCCTAAATACTTTGGATAGATTGTTGGTAAAGCGAATGATGATTATATACGACGTAAGATGTCGCACTTATGGAGTTTGTTACCAAGCAACAAGAGAAGAAGATCAATCGATAATGAATAGAAATAATATATATTTATTTTACCATTGATATTCTATAAATTTTGGAAAATTGATTTTCTTTAACATTATTTCGAATAAATTTCTTTTTGTATTTTGATATTCTAAGTTATTCAATTAGTTTATGAAGAAAAAAAAATAAGTAAAAATCCTTACCGATTATTCATTGAGAAAAAAACTATTTGCAGTAAAAAATTGATAAATTTCTATTTTAATCCGTATTTTTCAACATCTGTTATAATATTTACATCATTTTTAATTTTTATTTGCGATAGATTATTTTATTTACCTCTAATGACGTGCAAAGAAAAAAAAAATTAAATTAGAGTGATCAATAAAAGAGAAGATATTCTACTAAAATGTATTAGAGTAAAAAACAATGTATGTAAAACGAAAAGAAAGGAATGTTCTTCTATAGCACCACCTAGTAAAACGATAGTTTTAAGTTTATTACTAAATAACAAATCATGTTTTAATAAACGTACAAAAAAAATGGATAATTTTAGAAGCAATATACCGGTAGCTTTATGATATCAAAAAAAACGTTAATCTCATTGCAAAAAATCAAAATCATATATATTTTTATTCGAATAAATTAAATCGAAGTTCATCTTTTGTTGGATAACTTGTTTGTGTACCTTTCTTTTCTACAGATTGACTTGCAACACGGCAAGCTCGTTTAACTTGTTCTTTTAATGATAATTTTTCTTCACGTGCCATTAATAATGCTAATGTACCAACAAATGAATCACCTGCGCCAGTTGAATCGCAAACTGATGAAGATTTTTCAATTTCAACATGTTCATATTGACCATCTTCATTTGATATAACAGCACCTTGATCACCCATTGTAATAATAGCTATTCGACTACCTAATTCAAGTAATTTTTTACATGCTTTTTTAGCATCATCAATTGTCTCAACAGTAAAATCACATAAAACTTCTGCCTATAATAGAAAAATAAGATATATATTTAATAATCAATGATATTACTTCTGTTTGATTTGGACATATAACATCTGCTGCTGATAATAAATTTCGATTTAATTTTTCCGACATTGGTGCAGGATTTAAAATTGATAAAACTATAAATATGAATTTTGATATAAAATAATTCAATACTTTAATATACCTGAATGTTTTCGTGCTATTTCAAATGTTTTAAGAACTGTTTCTTGTCGAATTTCAAGTTGACAAACAACAACTTTTGATTGTCGAATAATATCTTCAGCTTTTTCAATATCATTTTCATTTAATAATAAATTCGCACCAAGTATAACAATAATTGAATTTCGTCCTAGACATGATTAATTAACTAATAGATGAATCTAAACGAAAAATAAAAGCTGTTCACAAAGCAACCAACCTTCTTTATCAACAATAATTGGAGCGACACCAGTCGCTGCTTCTTTTGTTATACCAACATGATCTAATAAAATAAAATATAATAATAAAATTTTATGTCATCATTCTTTACCTGTATTAATTCCTAATTTTTTTAAATTATCAAGATATTCTTTACCAAAAACATCATCACCAAGCTAAAAAATCAATATTTTTTTTTATCACAAAAAAATTCATTTTCTTACTTTACTAATCATAGCTACTTTTCCGCCTAATTTTGCAGCTTGTACACATTGATTAGCTCCTTTACCACCAAAACCTTTTTCAAATTTATTGCCTTCAATTGTTTCACCGATTTTAGGTGTACGATCAACATAACTTATTATTTTTTATAAAAGATTATCATAGAAATAATTGATTTTATCATAAATTTACCTGATTAAATCAACATTACAACTGCCGACAATACACACATCAAATTTTTTATCATTTGATTTCGACATATCTCGAAATGAAAAGAAAAAAATTATATTTTAAAATACTACATTGACATACATATACATTATGCATGTTCTTCTCTTTATTTTTTAAGTTAACAAACAAGACACAAAATGAATAAAACGAATAAACAGAGCAAAAAAAGTAATCAAATGAAAAAAAAGATGTGTATTTCAATGAATAAGAACACCAAATGGGTAAGAAGGTCATAACAATAATTAGAAGTGTGTACTTATATATAAATATAAGTTAGACAAAGAAATAAAATGACAAATATAGGTGTATGCATATGTATATATGAATATTTGTTTTGTCTACTTTATTTATTAAGATAAAATAATAAGAACAAGGTATATGAGAGCAAAAATTCATGGAATATATGTATTTGTACGTTTTTTTCTATTGTTTATTTCTAAATTCACTACTTTCCAGTTGTTTTATTTCATATTTTTTAATTGATTGGATAACCAATCAAGACCTTCATAAAGACCATCGCCACTTGTAGCGCAAGCTGCTTGTATATACCAATTACGATTACGTAATGAATGAAGACCTAATTTATCTGTTATTTCAGCTGCATTCATTGCATTTGGTAAATCCTATAATAATGAAAAGTTATTTTATTTTTAATTATATATATAAGTCGAAATTTATACTTGTTTGTTAGCGAAAATAAGTAAAGTGGCTTCTCGAAGTTCATCTTCTGAAAGCATTCGTTGAAGTTCTTCACGTGCTTCACCAACACGTTCACGATCATTACTATCAACAACAAAAATAAGACCTAAAAAGAATTTTATTTTATTGAAAAAAAACTTCAAATATTTCATTTTTTTACCTTGTGTATTTTGAAAGTAGTGTCGCCATAATGGACGAATTTTATCCTAAATATACCAAAAAAGAGTACAAAATAACTTTTCTTCTCTTAATTACTTACTTGACCACCAACATCCCAAACAGTAAAACTAATATTTTTGTATTCAACTGTTTCAACATTAAAACCTATTTATACAAATAAAATTATTATATATTATAAATCATAAAATAAATAATAACTAACCAATTGTTGGAATTGTTGTTACAATTTCACCTAATTTAAGTTTATAAAGTATTGTTGTTTTACCTAAAGAGCGGAAATGTTCTCCGTATTTATATACAAGTCATTATTATAATGGAAACTAACCAGCAGCATCGAGACCAACCATTAAAATACGCATTTGTTTTTTACCAAATAAATTTTGGAAGAGTGATGAAATTGTTAAACCCATTTTTTACTACCTTGATGTTTTTTTAGTTAATAATCTGAAAAATTCATATTTATTATTGTATATTGAAATGAAATAATCACAATCTTGTTTTTTGATAATTTAATAAAGAAAACGAGTCAAGGGGATGATATCATTATGTCGGAGACTGGAATATTTGGGAAAATATTAAACATGTATATTTAAACGCTGGGTCAGTAGACCAATTTGTATGTTTCTCGAAATCGAAATCTATGTAGTGTTTAATATTTAATTATAATAATTCATGTTATTTTTATTTTATTGATATAAAAGCTGAATTAAAGATAAAGCTGATCTCGTCAAACCAGATTGTTCAGTATCCCGGCGACACTAAAAGTAATTGTTAAATAATTAGAAGAAAAAGAAATTTATTATTTTCTAACAAATTTTTGGTTATATGGTCTGTTAAGTATTATAAGTTAAGGTAAGCCAAACTTGTCAGTTCATTATAAAATACAAATATGTTAGTGTTAGTCTTTTAACTACAAAAAAATAAACATCACATGTATAGATTTGAATTATGTGTTAATATTTTGAAAGATAAAATGAAAATGAATGTTCAGCTAAAGTTTAAATTAGTAAACTTTTGAAAATAAGATGAGACGTGGCATAAAGTGTAGGAGGAAGAAAAGAAGAATCATCAACGACAGAACAAATAAGTGCAAAAAAGTAAGTAATAGAAAAAACTAATAATGACTCATCATCTATCAGAAGATTAATATTATTATCTTCGAGTATGATTTATTGATAAGAAAAATTTCTTTGAAAAAAAAACAGAGATTAAAACTGTATGCAAATAAATATAATCTAAAGTTGTTTAATGACCTTTTACAAAAACATATTCACAATTGGTTACGATAGAGGGATAAACATGACAAATATATCAACGTTTCGAAAGAGGTCTATACACAACAGTGATATATATGTAAAAAAAGCTATTGAATAAAGCCTTCCGTAAGATATCGAATGTAAGAATTTTTATGACTGATATTCATTTAAAAGATACACATATAGACATGTTTTATTTGAAAATGAAATTGGTAAGATTTTTTTTACAAATCTATTCTTGTATTGTTAGATAAGTATGTGACTTTGTGATGTTATCATAATATTTTCTCTTGGTAGATTTTATCCTTCCGAATGTAACTGCTATTATTATTTAATCTATTTCTCCGTATATAATGAATCTTTGGAGATCAACTGTTCCAACAGAATCAATTAGAAATGGGATATATATAATAAGATAGTGACCTTCATTCTTATTTTCTATAATGTTAAAGAAATGTATAGCATTTGCTGTCTTTTTTTTGAACAGGTAATACTCAGATAAATAAATCAATCCTTTTTTCTTTATGTCGCAGGTGAGTGGTATAAGATAAAGTTTTGATAAGATGATATTGAATGCAAACTAGTGAAATTCTTTGTTAAAGTATACTTCAATAAAAAGAGAAAGAAAAATTAATCGATTGTTAGAGACCGTTGCATTTCTTATGTCAATTAAATCGATGACTTCAAGAATAATATTTGTCATACGATAGCTAAGTTTGAAACTTGTTTAAATGAAGGCCGAGTTTATATGGTATTAGTCTTCTATATTCTCTTTTTTCCTATTGATGATATACTACTTTCTATTATCGCATACAAATTTATTGGCAATTCAATTGCTGTTTAGATTCAACACGTATACTATCATCAAAGAACAATACCATACACGTACGTGAAGACTGATTTTCATCGATTCTATATACAGTCAAACGTTAAGTAAATAGTTTTTTTTTATTCAATAAATTAATAACTATTATACGCTTGAATTGAATGTTTTTTTCTTTTGCGGAGGAGATTTTTTTATCAAATTAAATAGATGACTATGATTTATTAGATAATATTACTGATAAAAATTATGGAGAAATCAATCATCAATCACTTTCGATTAATGCATAATTTATTTGAGAAACCTTTTTATATGGACCATTTAGCCTTGCTATTAGCGATGTCTTTTTTTGTGGTTTTAATATAAAAACCATTTATATAATGGTATTAAATCTTGTTAGCGTGGTTTGTTTATTTGTTGTTTTGACAATCATCATGAAATTTGAATTTAATGTTGCCAAAATCAAAATGTATGTTGTTTTTCTGTATGTCACTAATATTAATCATAGTATGCTTTTGTTCTTATTGAGTAGACTCTTTTTTTCTGATAGTCACACAAGATTGATTACAACGCTTCGATGATTTGATTTTGTTTAAAGATAAGTGTCTAGAAAAATATTCATTATGACATATAGAATCGGATTCTATTTTGTTATTGATATCTTTTTGATTAATTCGAGTATACTGTCTTCAAGTAAGGCTTTTTTTGAAAACATTATAATGATATTTTAAATATTGTTATTCATCATATCTATTGGTAGATATTTTTGTATTCAAAATAGTCTCAATTATAATTGATATATGCGACTAAATTTTTCTCTCTTCTTATCAGTTATTGTAAATGCACCTGCGTATGTTTGTGATGTATACTTGATTAGATAAAGTAAAATGTCTGTTGTTGAATATTCATATTAGAGCTTATTAGTTCTATCATGTCTTTGACGTATTCTACCTAGATTTTTCTGATAAAATTCTCTCTTTTTTTTGACAGACACTTTTTATTTTCAATCTTATAAGATTCAATCTATTCACGTAGAATAATCACAATCTTCTTACTTATATTTTCTTTATTTATTTAATTCACTTCGAATAACAGTACGTAACAAACTATTTAAATATTTTTTTTACTACTTGGAGTATTGAACAACTATATTTAATCGTCCAATAAAAGAAACAGTTAGTTTTGTAATTCCACAGATCAGATTATTTTGTGAAATGCTTGATTGAGAATCGCTGTTTATCTATAAAACCAATTTTTGATAGACTAATTATTTTAAACTGCTATTACTGTAAGGAAAATATTCTACCTGAGATACAGTTATGTAAATTTTGATCAAAATTAGATGATTGTAAATGATAATGACGTTTTTTAACCCTTTCCGGCCAGCTGCTATTCGAAAAATACTGTACTCCCCTTCGGTAAAATCCGATCGGAAAGGATTTCAATATTAGTATATGAAATTCATATTTGATTTCAAATGTCATAAACAGTAAATATTTTAACACATTGTTATGTTGATGATTCCGATTTATAGATATATTTATATTTACTCAGAAACCACATGTTAATATATTCGTAATTTAAGTGTAATTAATACTGATGACAGGAGTTTCTATTTTATCAAGAAATTTTTAAAACAAGTTTTTTTCTGTAAAATCAAACTTTAAGAGTATTGATATATATTTTATCATAGTTTTTTCTTTATCAACAAGGTAATAATCTCTAACATATTTGCATGTTAACAGGTTATTTGTGACTTCGATTAGATTTCTACGTCTAATAAAATCGTGCGGTTAAAATTTGCTATTGCGTTTTATGTATTATTTATGATTATGCATCATATTATAAAAAATTTTGCTTCCGATTGTAGAGTACTTAGAATGTTTATGTCATTAGCAATGTATAGAGTTAATTGTTTTTAACGAGTCAAGGAGCAGAATATGCGATACTGACACAAATGACCTGATGAGAGATAATATTTTTTGTACATTTAGAAAAAGCAAACTAAGTTAGTGTTATAGATATAATAATCAAGTTTGACAATAATATATTCTTTCAGATCTTCATTAACATGCGGTAAACGTCAGTCTGATAAGAATGTTTTTTTTTACAGTTTCTTTTCAAATAGAACCATAACGAGTTGTCTAACTTTTGACATTTATTTCTTAATGATCGACATCAATATGCCACTATTAATTTATACATACGACAACTGTATAGCACTGGGTTTGCAATATATATTTATATATGTGATGACATATCAATCGATCATCTCTGCAGTAGCTATACTACTGTTACGTATAATAAATAACATATGAGATATTGAGATATACATACAGTCAATTCATTAGTTTAGCTTTCATAAAAGAATATTATCGATAAAAAAAAATCTATACACAAGGGATTTAATTTCTTTACTTTTATTGTTAATAAAATAATTGCGTATCTTTGACTAATACTTGTGTAGGATAATAATTGTTTTTTTTGTCGAGGTCTTCGAGTTAATAACAAGAAAAGTTTAGACATATTTATTTTCTCTATTATTTCTATTTGATCTAAAATGTGATATCAATGAAAATACCCTGGGTATATGTATTGGCCATTAGTTGATTGCTCGGATTTATCAATCGTTTGTCATAAATTGTATGCACTTTTGTTTAACATCAAAAAATGGTATATTTACACAACCGTTGATCATAATCATTGATGTTCTTGTATGGGAATATGTTTTGATGAAAAATGAGAACTTTCATCTTATTTATTTCTTTTAAAATTTGTGATGATATTCAATAATTATATATTTCTATAAATATATAACAATTGCAATTTGATCTTCAACAACAGAAGTTTCACAATTTCATTACACTAATATTAAGACAAGCAATGATATACTATTCATTTCGGGTATTGTCTATCAAGCAGATGTTTTCATTGTGTTTATGTATGTGTGTATGTCTAGATTGATTAGTAATCGATTCGGATATAGTTTTGAATTGAAAATTATTATTAATAGAAAAATGTTATTAATTAAGAATTCTGTAATATACTTGACATGTATCGTATTCTTTTTTTTTTTGTTTTTTTTTGTCCATGTATTTATCGGAAATTACTTTACAATTTAATTGATGGTAGAAGAAGAGAGGAAATAAAAGTAAATGATGACATTTATTTTCTTTTTGTCCTAGAAAAGGAATAAGTAGACAAATCATATAGACTATATATATATATTTTACTCTTTCTATCCGAACTAGATTCTCGTTATAAATACAAAATTTTACATTTATATTAGACAGTTAATAACCCATAAGATTCGATTAATTTGTTATATTCTTAATATATAATGTAAAAATATTTCATATGATGGCAAAATAGTTCTTTTTACTAGATATATATATCTATATGACAGCATCTTATAACAAAATTAGTAACACCCAATGTCCCATGTCAATCAACTATTAGAGTCTTCAGCACTGCTGACACTCACCCTTTCTCAAAGCCTTGAGAAATATTGTAGTAATACATGATATGGTTGTTTATTCGTTAGTCATGTTGATAAAATTCGGCATGTGTTTTGTATAGTTCTATGTATGCTCTTGTTTACGTTTTGTAATTAACATGAATTGGCATTTGGAGAGGTTTACAATAAAGAAATTAACTATTCTGCAAGTCATTTTTTATTGTGTCTTCTATTTTCTTTCATTTGTGTGTGTAAAATGTGCATTTAAGAGAGGCAAAGAGAGAGAGCTAAAGAAAAGAAAACGAGTTGATTCTTTATATATACACTATCGGTTGAATGAAAAACTAGGTAGGGAAAGAGAAAAAGTAGGGAAAAAAACACCTAGTGGCGTTGTTGTTTGTCAATATACTTTCAATTTATTTCCTTCAGCATAGTGACTTTGTAAAGACTTCTCTCTATTTGTCAATGAGATAGATAAATCTTCAATCACATAGGAAGCAAAAAAAAAACTTTACAAATATTTATTTCTCTCTAAAACAATTTTGATAACTCGTATTGAACTACCGGTAGAAATAGAAAAGTCTATTAGACATACGAATAAGTTGAGTGTTACCATCTACGATTTTCAGATTTCAAACGTGAGTTATTAGTAAAACAAAAAAATACGTAATCACAAAATATTTAGTCAATAAAATTATTTAATAAGTATGAAATATAAGCAAATAGATGTTAATAATTGAATATTTGTAGTATTGACTTGATATGAAATAGTTTATATAAATGTAACTGACTTTTAATTATTGTAACCTATTCTCATAACAGATGGATAGAAAAAAAAAGGCACAACTAATATAAGATAAGAGAAAGAGAAAGTAATATATATCATCAATTATATTGTTATATCGTATTACTTCGACAGAAAGTGAGAAATATTTGACGAGGTAGAACGGGTAAGACCACGATTCTGTCAGAATAGATTTAGATGTTTATATATCTGTCGTATCTTATTCGCGCATGTTTATTATGTTTTTTCTCTCTACGATGTAATTACAATCGATATAATATTTATAGATAGGTATTTTTTAATTATTTTTCTTTCATTTTTTTCATTTATTATATCATAACTTGTCTATTTATTCTATTTAATATACTAGCAGGCACATATATATATAATCTTTCATTCTTTTGTGATTAATATATACTAATCAAAATTGATGATAGTTATTGATTAATGATAATAATACTGTTACTCTATCGATATGCGTTGACATATAAGCGCAATGACATGTCATATACATTTTTTTCTATTGCTAATGTTTGATATTCTAGAGACAAAAGAAAAAGCTTTTAATAAATCTCTTCTCGACATCAATATTCTATTAACCAACACCTATGGATGATCAACAACAACTGAGTCGTCAAAAACGTATTCGTTCGATTATTAATTTCATTCAAGGAATTGCAACAACTCTATTTGTAATTGCCGTTATAATAGTTATTTATTTAACAATTATTTATCGAGCACGTGTAATACCATTTACTAATTATGCTATTGTTTTTGATGCAGGCAGTTCACATACAGAAATGTTTGTTTACCATTGGCCAGCTGATAAATCAGATGGTTTAGGTACAACATCATCAGTTAATGAATTTTTTACTTGTCCAGTAGCAGCAGTCTATGCTGGAGAATCAAAAAAGAAAGGTGAAGCAATTAAACTTAAAGCGATATCAGATTTTGAACAACATCTTGATCAATTACATGATTATTTTAAACCTTGTCTACAAAAAGCTATGTCAAAAATACCATCAAATCGTCAAAAATTTGCACCAATTTTTCTTGGTGCTACAGCTGGTATGCGTTTATCACGATTACGTAATGCAACACGAGCAAATCATGTATTTGAAACGATACGAGATATATTTTCAAGATATCCATTTCAATTTGTTGCTGCACGACAAGTAAGTTTAGTTATTTTTTCATAAAAAAAGAAATAATGAATACATATATAATATATCACATATTTTTGATAAAGGCACAGATAGCATCAGATATATATGTATAATAAATTATCGGTAGGAATGCTATTTTTTGATTATATGTAGTGATAAAATAGATAATGAAAAATATTTCAACATTAAAAGGTCTTCTACATGCTTTTTCTTTGATTTATATAGGTACGAATTTTGACTGGAATGGAAGAAGCTATTGATGGTTGGATAACAACAAATATTCTCTTAGAAAAATTTAAACATCGTCATGCAAAAAAGAAACAAATGGATAGTTCGGTTGGCCCAGATGAACTTGACCCAGATATGGTTGGTGTACTTGATTTAGGTGGTGCTTCAACACAAGTCACATTTACTTGTAAGTTTTTTTTCAATTAAAATTTATTCAAGAAAAACAAAAGCACGTATTCTATTCTATAGATAAAGCGACTGCTGATGATGAACCAATTCCAGCAGAATTTACAACAAATATTACATTGTTTGATTCAGTTTATAGTCCATATGCTCATAGTTATTTATGTTGGGGTAAAAATGAAGCATTAAGACGATATCGAGCTCGTCTTATTAATGCCGCAGTAAATAATAATCGAACATTTGCACCAGCAACAACACGAATCTTTATACGTGATCCATGTTTAGCAAGTGGTGCTAATGATTCATTAACAGCAGCGAATATATTTCGTTCACCATGTACAATGAATGAACATCAACAATTTAATAATAATGCCAATGTTACATTATTTACATTTGTTGGTGTAGGAAATGCTGCTCAATGTCGTCAACGTCTTACTAGTTTATTTGATGCTAAACGTAATGATAAAACAGTTAATTGTACATTTAAACAAGAATATTGTACATTTGATCATACATTTCAACCGAATTTACCATCAAAAATTAATTTTATTGGTCTTTCGGGCTATTATTATGTATTTGATAATTTAGCACATGGTAATTAACAGATTTTTTTTATGAAAAATAAAAAGTTGATAATTTTATTTCGTATAGGTATGACAAAACCATCGGAGGCAACAAAAGAACGATATAAATTGAAAGATTTTTCATTAGAAGAAATAAATCAACGACTTGTCAGTGTCGTAAGTAAAATACTAATGTGAAAAAGATTGTTTTAGACAAATATATAATTTTCTTGTAGTGTGAAACTAATTATCCGAGACTTTATGAACAAGAATCAATGACGTCAAGTAATGAAATACATAAACGAGCATTATGTTTTGATGCTTGGTATATGTGGCTTTTATTAACATATGCTATTGGTTTTAAAGACAGTGATTTGAAACGTTTAAGTTTTGCCAATACATTTCCAACAGGTAAAGTTGGTTGGACACTTGGCTATATGATTAATCAAACAAATTACATTCCGGCTGAATTTCGTGAAAAACCAATAGGAAAAAATCAATATGTCAGCTGGGTAACAATTTCCTTAATTATAGTTTTAGTTACACTTATTTTTCTTATACTTACATGTCATACATATATCCGTCATGCATATTATAAACGAACTCGTCAAAGAACTACAGTAACTAGAGATGGTTATGCTCAACCTCATGAACAGCCACTTGCATAAACATTAACAAAACCGGTGTTTCTTTTTTCTCTTCTTTGTTCTTATTTAATGTATGTAGTTTTAAAAAGAATAACTAGAGTCGACTTTGCATCAAAGCATTATCGAGCTCCATCTAGTCATCATTATTAGACTTGAAAAAAAAAAGAATATTGTAGTTAATATGTTCGTTTTGTGTATACAAGTATACGCTTATATAAATATACATATATGTGATGTGTTGATGTATTAGTTATAGTATATATATATATATATGTTGTTCAACGCTTTTTTTTTTATTTTACACTGCTTAAGTTGATATTCAAGAAAAAAACAGTGACATAAAATAGTTTTATTTTCATTCTTTTGTATGCTCTAATTCAAGCGAACGTCGTGCCATAGTTAAAACACCATCATATGTGGCATTTCCACCAATAAAGCCAGATGCATGTACAAATATACATCCTGGTATACCGGATTTTGTACTTAATTCATCATCACGTAAACCTTGCCATTGTTTATGTAATGATAAACGATTCTCAAAGGATTTATTATTTAATGGAACAGCTTGTATACGCCATGTTTTATTTGAATCAGGATATAGAACATATTTTATTTTATCACCAAGTTTTTCTTTTTCTTCTTGTTCAATATCAAATAAATGTTCACGCCATGGTAATGGTTGATCTAACACAAGAATTGAACCGGATGAATCAATCTAAAAATATAAAATATTAATAATAGATATAGTTTTCGATTGAGATCACATACATCAAAACGTTTAGCAATAGCCTGTTCAAGTAATGATCTTGCTGGCCACCATCGATGAATATAATCATGAAATCTATCAAGAAATTCTTTACCGATTAATTCCATGGCTTGTTTAAATCCAGTCTCCTCTTTTTCGGTAGGATTTGGATCATTCCAAGCTGGATTGAAATATCCAGCGCGTGCACTAAGATTTGTACTAATTCTATATTTCATATTTTCACCAATATCAACTCCATTATCAATAGCATCAATTTCTTGTACAAAATATTCATATAGTTTGTCAAATAAAATTTTTGATAAATGCTCTCTAACACTGTCATCCATTGTTTCTTTTTTTAATAATTCTTTTAATATTTCTTGACCGAAATGTACATAAATTAAACCAGCACTGGATAATTTAATTGTCCATGGTTTTTCTGGTCGTAAAGAATGAAAGGTATCGGTAAATGTTTTTTGATGATGATCGAATCGTTTTTGTTCAGCATTGAATATACCACCAACATCAACAACGGTATCGCATTCGGCTAATATCTTTGGATCACGAGTTCTGTAAATAGAAGATTATAATGAACAAATTCAATAGTTAATATCAGTGAAAATTTTATTCTTAAATGAGCATGAAATATGTGTTTAGATAAGTATCTACTGTAATTATTAGAGAGTTAAAATAATAGCTGTGAACAACAACTACGTGTTGAAAACTTAATATAGGGGTACAGAATTTTCCAAAAAATGAAAAATATCCACCCCCGCGGAATTTTTTTCGAAAAATTTTCCAAGTTAAATTTCGAAGACTGCCCCATAATTTTTCGAAATTTCCTTCCCCGTGTGGGGGCGCACAAGCAAGATTCTGCAACTCTGACTTAATATCTCAAGAAAAGTACATTTATTCATGCGCTGTTCTACCAATGAATAAAACAATCGTAACTCTTGATTAATGGGTCATTGGTCTAAATCAATTCGAAACTCCATAACTGTTAATCATTATTAATCCATTTTAATCACAAACGACATACAATTCGTATGAAGTATTTTTAATTATGATTTGAATCTCAACTCGAATATTGTATACGTATGACTTTTTCTCAAATCACTTAACTAACCTGATAATTTCTGCATCAGCATAACGAGGTAGATTTTTTAATAGAAAACAGGCAAATATTTCATCACAATGAAAATGGCCATTATGTGTACCAATCTTGATTGTATTAGTATTTGACATTATTCGTTGAAATCCGTGCAAACGTCTGATTATTGATATCATCAAAAGTAAGAAATAAATTCTTTTTTATATTATATACGAAAATAAAGAAATAAAAGAAAATTATCAATTTTTTATATTTTATTACTTAGACTTAAAAAGATTTTTCTATAGAATTAACTTATTCATATTTCATCTGAGTAATCGATAAAATATGAAAAGTAATAATCTTTATATTCTTTTATATTCTATTTCTTTTGTTTTGTTATCTTATCTGTATTTTTTTTATTGTCGTTGTTTTTCACCCGTCTAACAGCCAAGAAGAAGGAGAAAAAAAAGAATGAGAACAGAAAAAAGCCAGGAGAGAAAAAAAAATGAATAACAGTGACAAAGTTGAACAACAACAATAAATGTAGAACTGCTCAGCGGCTAAAGACACATATGTTAAATGAAAGAAAAAAGAAAAGTCTATCACGAACACACATAAACACACGAATAATTAGTTTTCCTTTTTTTTGTTTTCTTCTATCATCACATATACATAACCGAAATGAAGTAATACGATGTATGTTTTAGAATGAATTACATACATCAAAAAATAAAAAATACAAACATAATCAATGAATTTAGTTTTATTGTTTAATTCTGTTCATTATTTGATATTGTATAATCATCACTAACAAGATTAACAGCATCACGAAGTGATTCCATTGTTTCCTTTGAATAGAAGATGAAATATTTAATCTTCAAATTTATATATATTTATGAAAATTAAAAATATAATTCAGTATGAGAATAAGTTTCAAAAGATAGATTTATTTATATTTTACAGATGCTTCATTTCATCTGAGCATACCTGAATAGCTAGATTTAATGATGTGGCAGAATTGTCGACAGATGCTGTCTCTATGTGAACAACATTACCACATGAAGACTGTACTAAGGAGAAGCAAAAAGTCAATAAAATCGAACAAAACAAACTTGAATTTAGAACTGTGTTTAAAAAAAAGAAATAGATAAATAAACATTTTTATCTTTGTTATGGAAGTATATTTTATTGACAATTTGTTTGCGATAGAAAAGTCTTTAGAAAAAAATCTAGATGAATTGTCTGATCTGTTAACTCTCTCAATCTATGAGGAGGAACTACATCAAAGGTTATTCACATTAAATCTAAAAAGTTTTCCAATCATTTATTAACTAAATATTTCATCTCATCTCTATTTATTACAGATCGGCTTCACTCGATATATATTTCATTACCGGTCAATGTTTTCTCAGATTTAAAATAGATCAAATAGATTATTTTCCTAAAGACTTTTCATATCGCATTCAAAACAATTTTTTTTTTCTATATTTAAATGATCTTTCTTTTTGTGAAATAAACAACATCGTACCCTATCAATATCTTCTAATAAATCTTTAGCAGATACAGCATCATTCGTTATTAATGTTGTTGTTGTTGTTTTTGTTGATTTTATTGTAACTGTTTGAACATATGCTGCTGGTATATCAGATACATACATTGTTGGTTCTGAAGAAGGCACATCTAAAGGAAAAAAAATATATAAATAATTTAATTTTAATAGAAAAAATACATACGAGTTATTTTTATTTCTGTTTTTCTTTCTCCACTATCATCATCACTAACTAATACAATATCATCATCATCATCATCATCGTCACCATCAGCGTTAGCACCACTTGTTGATAATATTTGACCATTTCCATTTGCTGGTTTATTAATATTATTTTTATGATCACCATTTAACTGGCCAGAATGATACATTTGATTAATATGTGAAAAATCTGTTGATGATGGATGTTGTAATGGTGAATATGGTTGTTCATGATGATTTTGACGACGAAATTTTTTATGAAGATTATCATTCATTGTTTGAAGATAGGCATCAGATGGTGGACCATCGATACCAAGTAAATCAACATTTGATTGATGAATACCTAAACGAACAAAAATTGTATTACTCAGATTTTCATTATGATTCAACAGTAGACAATTAAAGAAATGTCACAATATTTATTTTGTATCCTCTATTCATGAAAGCGCAATAGGCCGAACTCAAATACTATCTCTATACTAATCATAGAACAACTCAAAAGAAATCTGAATAGAGAAATAATAGTACCTAAGTGTTGATTAGTTTTTTTAATACCATTTGTATGTAAAAAGTTTTCATCATCTTCTGAATTGATATCTGATTCACCTTCTTCATCAACATTACCTTCATCATCATCAACTTCATCACTTTCATCCATTTCTTCACTTTCATCTGCAATATCTTCGTCATCATAATCATCTATATGGTCATTCTCATTTTCATCTTCATCGCTTTCATTAGCAAAAATTTCTAGAATTAAATTTAATAAATATCGCAAATGAAAAAATCAATCATTTTACGTTCAGCTCCATCTTCATCTTCATCGTCTACTTCAACTGGTCGTGTATCATCTAATTTAATTCGTTTACGTTGTTGTTCAGGAACTGGATTATATTCTTCTTTATTTCCTTCTTTACAATATAAAAAAAAGGTATATATGTAATAATCTATTATTTTAAATTTACCTATAATAGGTTGTGTAATCGCATTGAGATTTGATTGTGGTGTTTTAGGTAATAAATCAAGAGACGAAAATTGCATTGATGTAGATGGTTGTTGTAGTGGTGATGATGGTGCTTGTAAAAATGCATTTGCTGTTGTTATTTCTCTAGGTGTTTGATAGACTGATGGTTTTGAAAGTGATTGTTGATTGATTAAAGGTAATTGTTCTGTATGCATCATTGATATTGATGATGATGATTGAACATTACTAATCATTGGCATGGATGAAGGAGCAAATACATTACGAAGATCATTTGTCGTCATTGAAGTATTGACATTATTCGAAACAGCTTTTCGTGGTTGATCAATATTTAAAAATGACCATGGTTGATATAAATGACTGGACGAATCATGTACTTGTTGCCATATAAGTTTTAATTTTCGTACTGCCATTTTAACCTAAAATAAAGAATTTTTTATGAAAAATATTTAAACTATATAATCAAAGTTGAGTGTTTACAAAAGAAAAGAAAAGGGCTTTTATTCTTACTTTAACAGATGAATCTACTATAGCTGCATTATCAATAACATCTTTACTAATAGCAATAATTGTTGAGCAATCAGCTCTTTCATTAATTAATAAACATTCAAGAATATTATATAAACCAATACGACATATTTCATCGTCATATGGTTTATTAATATTACCATTCGTGGCTTGACACGCCATCAATGTTTGTATAAAATGATTTTGAATGAGCTATTAAGAAAAAATATGAATTATTTCTGATTGAATAATTTATTTAATCCTTACAATATATTGATCTTTCGGCATATGATCCGAATAGACATTAAGTAATTGTTGAGTACCTAGTAAAAGATTTAAATATAAATAAAACAAACAGATATAAAAAGAAATTGTTCATACAATTAATTACAACTCGTGATAGATTATGATCTGGTTTTGATAAATATGCAACTGGTATTCTTGATCGCATACGTATTGTTGAATCATTTATAATCCATCGAATGAGTTTTTGTAATATATCAACATCAATTCTAACTTGTCGTTGAAATAAAGCAAATAAATTTGTTAATAACTGATAAATACTAATTGATAATGTTCTATATTTGAAAAAAACAAATAAGAACTTTTGTTTTTAATAGAAAAAGAAAGTATTTACAAATATTCAGCTTGTGGTCGTACAAGATCAAGTAATGAAATAATTAATGAAAATATTGATCGAATATTAAACATAAATGATGATGGATTCCTAAACAGAAAAAACAAAATAAGAATTTCAAAAAAAATAGAAGAAAACTATACAAAGTAACAAGTGTATCACATAATTGAACGCAAGAGCCAATCAATGTTGGTAAAGGTTGTTTACGATGAAGTATATTCTAAATACAACTCATATACACGCAACTTCTTGGTAGAAATGGTTTTTTTTGCTTACAAATTGTTGATTATTAATCGACAAAACTTTTGATATTAATTTAAATGTTCGTTCACATGGTACTGTTACTGGAGACTCCAATTGCACGCTAAATAGACAAGTTATTAATCAATCATTATTGTTTATAATAGTATTACTAGAATAGATTTCTTAATATATTACAACAATTACAAAAAATAGCCGCATAATCAGTTGATGAAATAACGTCTCCAATTTCTGCTATTAATGCTGTTTCAATATCAGTTATTTCTGGACAAAGAGAATCTAATAACGAAACAAAATAAATAAATATATAAATTAATAAAATATGTCATTTACCATTTATTCCGGAATAAAGTTGATCGATGAGAAGTGAAGATATTTTAAGATAACGATCATATTCATTTTTCCATGATTTTGCTTGTTTTGAACTTGATGGTATTCCAAGTACAGATAAATGAGCAATACATTTGCAAGAAATCTATTCAAAAAACAATTTTCGATTATTTTATTTATTTAAGCAAAATATTTAATTTTCTTCTTACTTCACTTGGGCCAGACATTTTTTTATAGATAATACGAGGTAATACTGGACGAAATTTATTCTTAAAAAAAAAAAGAATTTAATAATGAATACATATATAAATAAATTCACATACAATAAGAAATGATGAAAATTTTTTTGGATAATTTAACATGCATTCATAAAGACATGTTGCTGATAGTAATGGTGCCTAGAATAAAAAATTCATTCAATATTAAATAGTTGGCACAATGCCAAGTCATTAAAATTATATGAAAAAAAATTCAAATAATTTTCTAAGAAAATTCTCTTTTCCTATTTCAAGAATATGAATCTATTTTTGCTATACTAACTGTAGTAAAATGATCAGCAGCAATCGTAATAATTTCTGAAATATAATCTTTTGATAACAATAATTCGTCAATAATAGCACTTCTTTGAGATGCTTTAACATATGTTAATAAACCATTTAAACCAATTTGCAACATTGTTCTTGATGTTGCATTCTAATTAAAAGATAAAAATAACAAATTGTTTTTTTTTTCTATATGGAAATTATTACAACAAGATATGAATAAAGAGCTTTAAGTCGACTTTCAGCTTCTGCTTCCAAATGATAATCATCTGGATCATCTTCAAAAAATCGATGAAGTTCTTCAAGAGTATTTCCAGTTGACCTAATTATATAATAGATTCAAAAAAGAAAAAAAACCAATTAGATTAATTTCCTTGAAATATATTTTTAAATAATACAAACATTTTATATGTACTTTTCACTGTTCAATAATAAACACCGGAAATAGTTGAAGTTATTAACATAGACAAAATGGAATAAACTAACAAAAGAATTGAACTGATTTCTAATTTAAAAATTTCGAATGATTGAATACATGAATAAAACCAATCAATTTAATGGAGAACATAAGTGACCTCTATGTGATAAATAAATTAATATACGAAATTTTTCTTTAAAGAAAATTTAAAAAGATTTTTTAAAACTAAACAATTGAATTCTATATTATTTTCTTTCTTAAGAATTTTTTTTTTATTTTTATCTTTCATGAATCTTTCTCGAAAGCCTCTGCTATGAAACTCTTCTGTACACATCGTTCTCTTTTCTTTTGCTTATTATTTTTATTCACATATAACCACTAACAACAATATTTGAATAAAAAACATGAAACGAGCTCTTGTATCTTTGGTTCGTCAACGAGCACTCGCTTGTAGTGTAGAATCAGCTAAAGTATAAAATTTCTTTTTTTAATTAGAATTCAACCATTTTTATCATATGTTATTATTGTTTTTTTGAAGTATCTTGGAAGTAGCAATGTTTTGGCATTATCAACATCTCGACCAATGTCGACATCAACAACACATCATGCTTCTGCTCAATCAACACCAGAAGTATCATCAATACTTGAACAAAAAATTCTTGGCCATCAATCAAAACAAGATCTCGAAGAAACTGGACGAGTTTTAACTATTGGTGATGGTATTGCTCGTGTTTATGGTTTAAAAAATATTCAAGCCGAAGAGATGGTGGAATTTTCTAGTGGTTTAAAGGTTAGTTAATAGGAAAATAGAGAGGTTTTTTTTATTTATATAATTAACAGTTATCAGAGAAATTATAATAGATACATTTGTATTGATTAATTGAATGGATGATTAATTCAATTAGTTTTATATGTAATTATATATTTTTAGGGTATGGCTCTTAACTTGGAACCTGACAACGTCGGTGTTGTCGTCTTCGGTAACGATCGTTTAATTAAAGAAGGTGATATCGTCAAACGAACTGGTGCTATCGTCGATGTACCAATTGGTGATGAACTTCTTGGCCGTGTCGTTGATGCTCTCGGTAATCCAATCGATGGCAAAGTAATTAAGAAAATGTTTTTTTTTATATATAAAAACTATATATGTGACTATTTTAGGGTCCATTAAATACCAAAAAACGAGCTCGTGTTGGTATTAAAGCACCAGGTATTATTCCACGTATATCCGTACGGGAACCTATGCAAACAGGTATGAAAGCCGTCGATAGTTTGGTACCTATTGGTCGTGGTCAACGAGAATTGATTATTGGTGATCGTCAAACTGGTAAAACAGCTGTTGCTATTGATACAATTATTAACCAAAAACGTTTCAATGATGCTGGAGAAGAAAAGAAAAAACTCTATTGTATTTATGTTGCTATTGGACAAAAACGTTCAACTGTTGCACAACTTGTCAAACGTTTAACTGATTCTGGTATAACTTTCTTTTTCTTGAAAAATTTATCTATATAATCATTTTATTATTTAGATGCTATGAAATATTCAGTTATTGTAGCTGCTACAGCTTCAGATGCAGCTCCATTACAATATTTAGCACCATATTCTGGTTGTGCTATGGGTGAACATTTTCGCGATACAGGTCGACATGCATTGATCATCTATGACGATCTTTCAAAACAGGTAAAATATTCAAAAAAAAAACGAAATTTTGTTTAGTTTTCATTATGAATAATGAATATATTTAGGCTGTTGCTTATCGTCAAATGTCGCTTCTTTTACGTCGTCCACCAGGTCGAGAAGCTTATCCAGGTGATGTCTTTTATCTTCATAGTCGTCTCCTTGAACGTGCTGCCAAAATGAATGATAGTCACGGCGGTGGTTCATTAACAGCTTTACCCATTATCGAAACTCAAGCTGGTAAATAAAATTTTGTTTTATAATTAAACTAAAGAAAAAAATAAATAAATATCTATTTTAGGTGATGTCTCTGCTTATATCCCAACAAATGTCATTTCAATTACTGATGGTCAAATCTTTTTGGAAACTGAATTGTTTTATAAAGGTATCCGACCAGCTATTAACGTAGGTTTATCAGTATCACGTGTCGGTAGTGCTGCCCAAACCAAGGCCATGAAACAAGTAAATTATTGAAAAACAATTTACTTTGAAAATCCAGGAAAAAACAACACATATATTTTCCATTTAGGTTTCAGGTAAAATGAAACTTGAATTGGCTCAATATCGTGAAGTCGCAGCTTTCGCCCAATTTGGTTCTGATCTTGATGCAGCTACACAATCATTACTTAACCGTGGTGTTCGCCTTACTGAATTACTTAAACAAGGCCAATATGGTTAGTTAATTATTCTTTCTTATATATATATATTAAATATAATTCATTTGTTTCTGTCTAGTACCTATGGCTATCGAAGAACAAGTATGTGTAATCTATGCTGGTGTTCGTGGTCATTTGGATAAACTTGATCCATCGAAAATCACCAAATTCGAACAAGCCTTTTTACAACACTTAAAAGGACAACATAAAGATATACTCGAATCAGTCCGTTCAAAGAGCGAAATTACCCCTGAAACGGATGCTAAACTCAAAGAAATTGTTCAAAGTTTTGTTGGTTCATTCAAAGCATAAATTGGAACAATTAATATATTTGTGCCATTTTTTTTAGTAGCGATTTTCAGTTTTTCTTTTCCGAACTCTTTTTTTGAAGAAGATAAAAAATTTAACTAGTAGACTTGTCATCAACAGTTCAAACAACATACCCGTTGCTTTGTTCTACCTGTTATATCAGTTTCTTTAGTGTAATTTGGCACATTTTGTCTTTCTCTCTCTTGATCTCTATTTTTCTCTCCTACCATCATATTAAATAAAATTAAAAAAAAATAGACATTCAATAGTATTTATTTAATTCAATACAGAAATAGGAAAGCGAACAAAGGGTTAAAAGGTAAAAATTTATATGTTTATCGAACGAAAGCTTCATATTGACAATTCGGTGGCCGAAGAGTTATACCAGGTTCACCACGAAGATCTTTTGGTGTCCAATCATTTGCAAAACGAAATTCAAATTTTTGAAATAAACTAACCAAGATTAAAAATAATTGAATTTTTGCAATTTGTTCACCTAAAATAAACATAGTTTATAAATTTCGTTTTTTTCTAAATAAAAAACTTGTTTACCTGTACATGCACGTTTTCCAACACTAAATGGCATCATAGCAGGATGATTAACATTACATAAACGACGTTTTTCATCTAAAAATCGTTCAGGTTCGAATTTTTCTGGTTCCGACCAATTTTGTTCATCTTTCATAGCTGACCACATATTAACAAGTACAAATGTATCTTTTGGAATAAAATAACCATGAAATGTAATATCATGTGTTGTTGCTCGTGGAAGTAATATTGGACCAGCACAATGACAACGCATTGTTTCAAGTAAAACAGCTTCAATATAAGACATTCGAGAACGATCTTTATCACATGGTGGTCGATCTTTTCCAATAATTTCATCGATTTCTTCATGAATATGTTGTTGTACATGTGGATGTGCAACAATATAAAAAATCGCCCAATTAAGTGTATTTGATACAGTTTCTGTACCAGCAACAAAAAGATCTTGAACAAGTGAATCAAGATTTTCTTTTGAAAAATAAGTACTTCTTTGCCGATGTTGATTCATTTCATCCAAATAAGCATCAACAATATTCGTTATAACTTCATCATCAAAATTTGTTTTACATTCACCAACTAATTTTTGTATAACACGATTACAATCATTGACATTTTCAAATATATTCTTACGAAATCTTCTTGTAAATGGTAAAAAATTAAAACATGCTATTGTTGCTGTTTGATTAAAATTTTCATTAATTTTTTCAAATAAATTACTCATATTTATTGTTTCGAAATAACGGCCAAATGTTAATGTACAAATATTATTACATGATATTTGACTTAACATATTACCAATATGAAATGGTGACGATTGTTTTTCACGAATTTTTTCAGCAACAAAACGTACTTCATCTAGACAACCATTTTCTAATGATGATCGTCGTCGACGTCCAAATCGATTGAAACTTTTAATAAGAAAATTTTTATGATCATTAAATTCACGACCATATGGAGCTGATATAACACCTTTGCCATGTAATGTTTCATGAATCATATGAAGATATGGACGACCAGCAAATGTTTCACTATGATCATGTAATGCTTCACGAATAACTGATGAAGAATTAAGTACAACAATCATTTGTGAACCAAGACGAAGGCGAAATATTGGTCCATAGTTTGATGTTTTCGACCAGCGATATAAGGTTTCATATGGACGATAACCTAATTGAAGAAGGTTACCGACAATTGGCCAGGGACGAGGACCCCATGGTACAGTGATCGATAATTCTCCATTTTCATTTTTATTAGATTTCTAAATTAAATAAATTTAATTCAGATTATTTTTTAAGATTTTAAAAATGACTTACTTGATTTCGTAAAAGACATATACTTAGCACAGTAATGAAGGCGGCCAGCACCAAGACTAGCATCCTTATAAAAAAATTTTAATAAAGAAATAATTATGTGCACCATTTATATACGAAGGTGAAAGGACTATTCAAGAACCCAAAAATATCTTTCTAAAAAAAGCTCAAAACCAGACATAGAATATAAGAGAAAATTCTATTGCTAAATAATTAATATATATTAGAGGTGGGACGAAATTGTTTTCTTTTTTTGATATCATACAGATGATCAATACATTTCTATTGATTAAAAAAAGTTATTTAAAGACAAAACCGAATGTCAAAGTAACATTAGCTTATAATTAACATACAAGATTTGACAATTTATGAAAAGAAACAGTATTTATCGAAAGTAGTGAAAGTCACATGTCAATCAATGTGCCATGTTTCGGTAAAAAAGCCGTGTCGACAATCAGTATTCGAGCTTACGATAGTCTATATTTAAATAAGTGAAAAGAACAGTATCTCTGGTATTTATAATACAGATGTTTCGTTAAGATACAAGTAACGCTCCTCCGAGGATTCGCTTAGCTCTTTCTCGTAGAAATCCATTTTCTTCACATATACTGGAAAAACAAATAAAAAACGTGAAAAATTAATTTTCAATGTTTTTTTGACCTTTCATCCACACCCACCCACCCCTAATCATGGTCACCCAACAGACCTCAGATTCGAAGTCTACGCATCGAAATACCTCTAGAAATGTATTTTTCGAAAAATCAATTTTCGATGTTTTTTTGATCCTGCGGACATACAAGCAAACAATTTATGATTATTGGACTCTTCTCTACGAGAAAGAGAATAAGATTTTGTGATATTTTTAGTTGCACAATGATTATAACTGTTCTTCTGCCAATGCTGAGTTCGGATTCATCAATTTAATTAAATACGACTATTTTTAAGAAAATGAATAATGCATATGTCACAATATTTATTTTTGGTAATCAATAGAATGTTACTATTTATCTGTTTATTTTAAAAATAATATTAATATTTAATACATTCTATCAAAAAAATATTATAAGTAGTCTATTCTTTAAAAGATTTTTTTTTATTAATCTACATCAACTTAAAATAATAATTATGTTTATATGACACAAAAAGAAAGAAATGTACGCGAGATTATATATAACAAGAAAACAGATTTTTGTTTAATCGCATGAATATCAAAAAAAAGAAAGAGAGAGAAAGACTGAGTATTCGTCATTAAACAGGTATGAAAATAAAATTTTGTTTTTTTTAAATATCTTTTAAATTCAAATGTTCCACAATAGCTTGAAATATGCATGTACCAATAAGATCATAACCTTTGGGTGTTAGATGCATATGATCATCCCATAATTTTTTCTTTTCATCTAAATCTCCTCTATGCCATGGTATAGCTTCATTTATATCTACACAGAATGTTCGTCGACCACCAGCATAATGATTTTCCCATGCATATTTTTTAATCAGTGTATTTAATGCATGACGATCAACATCACGCGGATCATTTGTTTTTAAACGACCAGTTTCATTAATAGTCATAATAACTAAATTTGCACCATGTTCATATGCCATTTGATACATTTGTTTTAAACCATTAAAAATAGTTTCAGGATTAGCACCAAAAGCTAAATCTTGTATACCACCTAAGATAATAATCCAACGATAATAATGACCTTCTTCAGCAGCACTGGATAATGTTTTACGGAATCGATCAATCATTCCAGTAAGAACACATTCATGACTTCGACCACATGCTTTTACCTTGAACAAAAAACGAAATTTCAAGAAGTTTTTATTTTAACATTTACTTCAATTTCTGGTCGATCTGGAGATCCATCATAAGTCCATTCACAATGATTTCTAATTAATTCAGCTAGTTTAAGTGTATATGGATGAAAACGAAAACCAGCAAAATGAAATCCCTAATTAGAAAAAAATATTTTAAATAAATTCAATAATATTACGAAGTATTTTACTTCTGTCAAACTATCACCAAAGGCAAGAATTCGATATACTTTTTGGCTGGTCATTCTTTTAAATTCATAAAATATTATTATGACAAAGATTGTATTAATAGAATAAATACAATGTTTTTCTTTCTTTATATTTACCGATCACTGTATATAAACAAACGATAGAGGTCATTGCTGTCCAGGCACTACGAAATCTTTTTAGTCCATACAATGAATATCATATGTCTTAAAAGCTTATCAATCATATATATCTACGATTTATGCTGAAATTAATTTAAATCATTGAATTTGAATATTTACATTTAGGTGAATGCGTATACAAACAGAAACGAGTAGAATCGACTTCGATTTCTAAAATTTCTTAGTGCAATCAATCTTCCATAACATATACAGCAGTAACTGTACAATTTCACTTGAACTAACTCTAAAAATTCAATGTTTCTGTTTCGGAATCACACTAACAACTTCAACACCAATAACTCTAGCAAAGGCGAAATTTATTGAATATGTTTTTGCTATGTGATTGACGATATTTATTCGAAATCGAAATAAATGAGCAGATTGTCGAAAAATAGTCAAACACTCCCCGGTTGTTGAGATGATTCTTTTTGCAGATTATATTTAATAAAATGTTTCAAGACAGAAATCTGGTAATACAGAACAAACTAGACGAGTGAGACATTCGTGGCAGTATAAATTATATATTTATCATACAATATTCTTATCAATTAAACACACAATTAATATATGTTATTAATTCACATAACATTAATAAATTTATGCTTTTATTATGATATCGTACAATCAGTATCAGAAGTTAATTTTGTAAAATACGTAAATTGAATATTTGTTTTCGTTGTTATGCATATTTTAAATTTTTGTAATAATTTTTTTAATAACATAGTGAAAGTGTAAGTGCATGTATGCGGTTGAGAGTGTGGGTGTGGGTGCCTGAGTATAGCCATGGGTGTTGGTGTGGATAAGATAAATAAGATACGTCCGCACCCAGAGCCCACCATACTCACACCCCATCCCATTCACACCCAGAGCCCACCCCGCTCACAGTCACACCCCATCCATACTCAGAGCCCACCCAGCTCACCCCATCCCATTCACACTCAGAGCCCACCCCGCTCACATTCACACCCCATCCACACTCAGAGCCCACCCAGCTCACACCACACCACACCCCACCCCATTCACACCCAAAGCTCACCCTATCCACACACAGAGCCCACCCGATCCACACAGACTCCCTCAAAAAGCATTTGTTCGTTTACACTTTTTCTTTCAATGCTCCTGATCACACAGAAGTGAAAAATACAGCATTTTCGTTTTAAGGAGTAACCGTCGACTGCTTGTTTTTGCTTCATGCCATTAATGTCTATGGCAACACTGTCACTGTCTCTGTGGCGATGGAGTCATGAGAGCGGCAGATTTTTCAAACAGGAATGATGTAGCATCGTAGTAGATTTTTTTTTCGAAGAGCAAAGCATAAATGCATGAATATTTTTGATTAGGAATAATAGTTCTATTGCAGAGCAAATCCAGTCGTAATTAACAATATATTTTTCTAACAATCGTCAACGACAACTGTACCTTTCTTTATTACTCATCGGAAGATAGTATTGGCAACTTTTTTGCGTACTCAGAAAGTGAGTACACTCTAGGATCGGTCAGTATGTCCGGTCGTATACACAATGACTTCCGAAAGAAGAGGCAGATTTTGATGAAATTGTCGATAAAATTCAGTCTCATCAAGATCTCGGCCGAGTTCGAAGTTAAGCCTAGTTGGGCGAGCCATTCCCGAGTTATTGCAAAAATACTGATATTTCTCTCTGATTTCCATATACACTTTTTGCAGTACACATAAATCTCGGATAAATTTCGATGTTTCCGCATTTATTTATTATACATCGCGGCATGGTAGCGGCTCGATATAGTTATTTTTTGTGTGCATCGCGGTAAGTCTTCTTTTATATCACTACGACGCAGCAGCAGTCAATTTCGACTATAATCGAGATAGCTGCTTTGTGTACTTATCTAAACACATACGTTAACAGGTAAGCTTTCATTATAACTGCAGTGAACTATTCTCACAAAATATTTCTGTCGCAAATATCCAAAGATTTATGAATAGATTTAAGAATTTCTTTAACACTTGTCAGCGAATTACTAAGAAATCTTTTAGCAGTGTTCTAGAAACTATGTGAGGCTCCTTGTAAAGTTAATACGCACTTCTAAGAACTTGTTTTTCAGAGTTCTCAGCCAATATTCAGAGAAATGCAATTTCTGGAGATTTCAAGCGGGGAGTTATAAAGAGTTCGCACTTTTCAGAAGGCTCATTGGGGATTTTGCAAGGAAAATTTTATAAAAAGAGTATGATGGGCTCGAGACTAAGGAGCTGCAGAGTACTCCGACTCGGAGTCGAAGTCAAAAAAAGTTGACTCCGCAGGTCCCTACTCGAGACTCATCAGTCTATTCACTTATGAGACAGTCTACAAACATTAGTAGGAGTGAAAGAAGATAGTCAAGCCCATTGAATATGGAACGATTTTGCATTGATTTTTATCACATATCCAGAAGCAAGATCATCGTTTATTAGGCACATCGATATTAGATTATGAAATACTGAGTCAAGTGATATCAGTTAGATGCGATCGTAGAACACCTTCGTAGCCAACAGATTACTCGATTGAGACAAAAAACAGAAAGCTATTGATATTGAATTCTACAGCAGGTATGAAAAAGGCGTAACTTCTAAAAGGAACAAAACTTATAATTGTCAGTACCAGTAATGTACACTAAGGATAGCCTGAAAATATTTTCTATGTACCATTCCGAATATATTTTATAACACTACTGTAATTTTATATTTACCTACAGAATACATTCAAGGTAATCCACAGCTCAAACTACGTGAGCATCAAAGAACTATTTAGGCATTTCGATTTATTCGAATGGCCCTGCATAAGCTCTTTTCTCTTTGATATTCACACTGTTTAATGATTGCTATGATTTTTTCAGATATAAAGCATGTCGTTCCCGTTAACAACCATGACGCCATATCTCAATAATGATCAAAACAAAACATATTATGTGGTGAATTTACCCAATAAAACCTCTTCGACAAAGGAAAAGCAGAATATACAGAAATTTGAGCGTCACTCGAATCAACAAATAGAAGATGCTTTAAAAGACAAAAAGGAATATCTTATAATATCATGTAAGCTAATTCTATTGCAACAATCATCAGTTTTGTAAGATTTTTCTCAATATAGTATCGGATGATTCTACCCGTAAAACGACATCTCCCAACATTTATTTGTATTTAAAATGTGCAGAAAGCCCGAACAGGTTTAGTTATTTTACTCAATGTTGCAAACCAACTGACAATCGTCTTATATCCGCTGCAGATAGTATATGTGGCACATGTTCGTGGTGGCCTTGTAAAAAACAAGCTGATTCTGCCGCTCCTTATCGACGATTTTCAAAGTCGAGCACTTCAACGAAATCGACTGAGAAGGATTCAGAATGTTTGAAACAAGGATCATTTGTGCATGTTTACTTCATACCTCAGGATGAAAAAGTAAAAATAAGTAAAATAATATTTCTTCCAAATGGTGATGCTCCTTTCAAATGGAAACGCCTAACAGAAATCAAGAATGATTGTGAAAATAAAGAGAAGTCAAAGGGTTTGATTATTATCCAAAGTGGTCGAGTATTAGATAACGAAAGATCTCTTGAAGTTAATGATTGTTCATCGGTGACAATAATGAAACCGTTAGAGTATGCTGATTGGTACGAAACCTTTCATATAAAATCACATGAAATGATCATACGTTCTTGCATTTCTTCGATTGTTAAAAATTATTCATCTAATATTGATAACTTATTACGTTATTGTGATCAAGAGAAAGCATCCAAATTAGAAAGACCTGAATTGGAAACGGCTCTACTAACATTGATCGAACGGTTACAAATACATTTTAAAGCATATGAGAAAGACCTTCATTTGACTTATTACGATCTTCTGATTCCAGAATCAAATAATTCTTTTTGGGAATACAATGATTGCAAATTAATATTCGTCGAAACACTTGTCGAATATATCCGTACAAGACATTTACTTTCCATCATCAGTGAAAATAGCGAAGAGGATGCTATAAGAGAAAAAATTCATAATATTTTTACGGAATTCATGCCTATACTCTTATCATGTTTACAAGATACATTCAATGATTTACTCCAAATTAATAACGCAGATTATTCAAACATCACAAAGAAATTAATATGCAAAAAAATATTTATATATGTCTGCAATTTTATTTTTCCGTTCTTTTCATATCCATTAGTTATTTACGACAAAAGAAGTGTGTGCAGTCGAAATCATATATATCAGCTTTGTAAGTAACAGTTCAATCTATTTTCTTTGCTTATTTCTGCTAAATTTACTACGTCGTAGGCGAATTCATTGGAATAGAGGTTTTGAAATTAATATGCTGGCTATCTTTAATTTTATCTATGCATAATATCATACAATACCATTGGTTGTCTGTTCGTACATTTGAAGCGAACGAAATGGAGATTTATTGGCCATTGGGATTGATTATTTCGACCATGAGTGTTCTTCATATTTATGGAACATTCGAAGCTTATCGTGAACTTAGTAAACATCATCAATCGGTGAAGAAAGCCTATAATAAAGCTAAGCTTAATCTTCTTGAAGTAAAATCTGAGCCACACAAATTAGCACCGCTAGAGGTTGAAGGCGGGAGCCCGGATATAGAAAGATTTATAAAGAAAGAAGAATGGAATTCAATTTCAACTCAAAAATCAATCACTCCAGCTCTGACTTCCACTGAATCCAAAACAGTATGCCAGTATATTAGATCCAGCTATGGTTGCTCTATAATATTCTGTATTATGTGTCTAATTCTTGCTGGACTAGCCACATTGCATGCATTAGTTCCAACGATATATCGTCTTGGAATAGAACATGAGACATTTCTTGCCGATACCTGGCAAATTAATTATATTCGTATTTCATACATCGTGCTTTCAGGTATATTTGGTTTTATAGCAATGGTTATGATGACATTTAGTATTGGTAATTATATACGCATTTTAAATAATCTGAAAATACTATTATCTAGTACGGAGTTATCGCAAACTATTGATTTGGAAAGATTGTATTTTTTGAACTTACGTGAACCGAAAAATCTCGAATATTTCTTGTCGCTATTTCGACCAATTATACGAAATATTGATTCATATTACGTATGCCTTTCAACAATGACATGTGCCATAGTTATCGATCTAATTTTAATTATAACTGCAGTCGTGCATGTATTCGTTTATGGTTATTCAGGCACTCTACTAATGTTTTGGTGTTTAATTGATATTATCATTTTGTCAATTTTTATTCTATTATTTTTGGGAATTGTTGTGCTGATCAACAAATTGTTAACGCATGATTTTATTCGACAATTAAAAGCTTTAAAAAAATCAATGGTAACACCATCGTCTTCAGATAGAAATTGTAGAGATACTATCTGTTATTTGGATGCGGTTATTGATCACATAGAATGTGCAAGTCGCGAATATGCTGTCAAAATTTTAGGTTTTGTAATTGATCAGAAACTCGTCATAAAAGTTTTCATTTCAATTTGTACTGGCATTGGTTCAAGTATTGTCTCATTTGTCAAAAATCGATAATGCTATTTCGTTGCCGTGTTTTTTTGGACAAACTTAATTAGATTTCGCCTTTTATTCACATAGTTTTGCTCAAATTTGAACAAATATGACTAATGTGATTTCTTTTCGATTTGCTCCATATCCACAACAAATTTAGTAATAAGATTTAGAAAAAATATATTCTGAGTGTTCACATAAACGACTGCTCTTCATTTGATACTGAATTCTTATAATTTATTATAGAATTACGAAGTTTTCATAAAAAATCAGATCCCTCATAAGATTTCTTTGTCAGCATTTATTATAATATGTTACAATCAATATCAGAAGTTAATTTTATAAAATACGTGAATTGAATATTTGTTTTCGCTGTTATGCACATTTTAAAATTTTGCAATAATTTTTTTAATAACATAGTGAAAACTGTTTGTTTCCCAGTTGTTCAATTAGTTGAATAGACATATGAAAAATATGTTTATTTTTATTTATTTAACAGATATTTTATGATTTTATCAAAGAAATAAATGAATAAAATATTGACAATCATTGTCAATCTTGATCATCTTTTGTAAAGTCTCATTCAATTGATTTCATTAAAGTGTTTATTCGAAAGAGAAACACAAATATTAAATAGAATTGAAATGGTAATGATAATTTTTCATTTGAATTTGATAAAATAATTCAATCAAACGATTGTGAAATGGTCCTCCATATATTATACTTATTTTGAGAAGTTTTAATAATGAATATAATAATGATTACAATTATTATATTCATATGTGAAAGTTGTTTATATAAATAAATGAATAGAATTCATCGAGTGGTATTAGTCCTTTAGAGTCATTTCATTCTCAAAGCGTACCCCGTTTTTTAAGAAGCGAAATATATTTATAAGTTTAAAATATAATAATAATTGAATGCGAACGAAAGAAAAGCAAGCGAATGTATCTACCAATGATAAAATGACTACAATTCGTATTTTTGGGTGTGAATGTATATAGGAAACACAGCCAATCGCACTCACATTCTAACTTACAACCACAGCCACCATATCCAAGAAAAATTCTTTTGGCTGCAAACTCGTTATTTTGAATCAAAAATACAAAGTGTAGTCACTTTCTCCTTAGCAGTATGCATATAAATCATACACAAGACAACATTGAACTATAATTGAAGTAGAATAGTCAAGGATTCATCACGTATTTCATATCGAACCTACATTGTTTCTAGTGCCGCATTTCTTTCGTAAAAATGGAATGATAAAACGCATAATGATCTTCACCAATATTGGTATAGTAAACTTGTACACTGTCGTCAATCCACCAATGAGTCCAATGATCGTTGTTACAATATAAATAATATTTCCACGACTAGTATATGTTGCTGTACACATTGTTGGTTGACATTGATTAAAGTAATAATCATACGACGTTTGATTGTTCCACTCTTCGACCATCAAATTTGAAACAATTTCCAACAATGAATTATTCGATCGATAACGACTTGTTGTTACGTTTGTTAAGACAATATCCGATATACTAACGTTTATAAGAAACAAGCTATTGACTAGCAGTTGTAAACAATCAACGTCGAAGAAACATCTCAGATCACTTTTCAACACTGCTTCGACGAGATAACAGCCAACAAATACACCTGTAACCAGAAAAACAATTAAAGATTCCGATATTCTTCCGACAAGATACAATTTCAGTCGAAAGATAACGTAGACATTTAAAGTAAAAGAAAAACAAAATTTTTCAAAAACTTAGAAAAGGTGCTAACTAACCTATACTAATGGCTAATGCATATATATCAATGATGCAGAAACTTATTGTTGAAAACATCAACTCGTTTTAAGTTTTTAAAACAGAAAATCCGAGATTTTCTCAAGACAAACTGTACGAATGCAAGAGTTTATCTAATAAGTCTGTGAGAATGTATTCATCTTCTTCCTTTTGTACTATCTGTCTGGTGAAAATTTGACAACTAATGCATAGATACGCACCTAAGAACACATTTATCTCCTAACAGGTCCCGCTCGACCACAGTGATGCATAGGACGAAACAAAATTCTATTTTAAAATTTTTTTAGTATATGCAAACAACGGTGGAAATTTGTTGACAGTTACTGTTCTGAAAAACCTACAACATATATATGATTGATCTGATTCTAACACATTAAAACCTAAGAAATTTCATACTAATGAATTGTGAGTATATATTGGATCGATTCAAAACTACGAAATGTTTATCTGTCTTGTCGCACATTTACACATATATAAGAAAAGAAACAATCTTACCTGGTGGAGAAAGGAGATTGGTTATTGTGTCCAAATCATAGACAACTGCCTGTTGTACACACCATGGTGTTTGTTGACAATCACAATTCATTTCAAATTCACTTGAGTTATATATTTGATCTTGCCTATCATACATATATTCTCTAGTATCATACTCTCCATAATAATCATAATAATAATCATATTGTGGATATATTTTAAACATTGAATCTGTTGATAATGAGGAGAATATCATATTTGCTGAAGTCATATTTTCAGCGACATAGATGGTATTAACAAATGAACGAGCTATATCTTGTAGAAATTGAGTAACTAATTTATTTATTTGAGTTTGAAATTGTTCAGCTGAAATTAAATTTAATGCAATAAATGTATCTGAATAAAATGTCAACAATTCTGCATTGATCGTTTGAGATGACAGTGTACAGAATGAATTCAAAAGTTGAAAGAATGGACTTGCAATCTGTCGAAAGTCATCTATTCGAGTAGAATATGTTGGCTGATTATTATGATCTAACATTGTTGATGGATAGTCAATTGTAATCCATTGTGAATTTTGTTGAATAAATTCACTTGAACAAATCGCATGTAGACGAGGTTCAAATGTGAGAAATTGTTGATATTCAATTGAAAGTGTGTTGCATGGACATTGAACGGTATTTGGATACTGTTCATAAAGTTTGTTGAATTCAGCAACTGTAGGATTTTTTGTAATGATTGTATGTGTAACATCTTCAAATGAAATGTTGAGCAATAAAATAATTAAAGTAATAATAATGATCACGAAGAAAAGACGTGTTGAAATACGTTGATGTTGTAGTTGTTCATGAGATCGTTTGTTTGGATTTTTAAATAGGTTGAATGTTAAAATAAATCTTTTCAATTTTTGTTGTATTGGTATTGTCTGCACATCTAAAATGATGCACGAGAAGATAGTTGCTATGCACCTCAAGCGACAATTGTTTTGTATATTTATTTGATAAATAATTTTTCAACGAAATTTCCTCAAATCAGACTATATAGATGGTCATCACCATCTTTCGCAAAATCAATATTCTTAGAGAGAAATATATTTACTCATTCAGCGTCATAGCTAACGGCTGATATCCTTGCGGACACTATAGCTGTGAAAGAAATTGAAGCGTTTTGTTTTTTTGAATGTTTGAAAGTGACTAAACTCGTCTGAGACACAATACTAATCTAAGGCAATATTCTTTTGTTCTTAGGCACTAACTCCTATTTGGTTCCTAGCTTTTTGTAGTCAGATTCTGAGGAAACAATTTGAATGAAAACAATCTCATAATAATAGAAGCTTTGTAAACTAAACTTTGAACATAACTCAGAGAAGAAAACTGTGAAATTTGCTTACCTTCTTCGATCATTGATGGATTGACATTGATTCTCCTTTTCTGTCTCCATCGTCTAATCATCGTTATAATGAATGGAACAATAAATTTTAAAATAGTTGTTAATCCACCAATTAAACCAATTGTAATTGTAAATACATAGCTGATATCTCCTTTAATATCATATGAATAAGTACACAGGTATGGATTACATTGTTCGAAGTAGGATTGAAATAATGTTTGATTATTCCAATCTTCAATCATTAAATTTTCAATTATGTACTGTACACTTGTTGTTGCATTATAGTGACTATTATTTAAGTTCATAGCTGTTGCATTATATGGATATTTTGATGTTGAATAAATTAAATTACTTATATTTTGTAAACATATTTCGTTAGAAAAACATTCAAAAGTAGAGTGAAGCATTGATTCAATTTCGTAACAACCAATATAATAACCAGGGACAGTAAATAGTTGAGTAATATTCTGAACAAGAAAGAAAAAAGAATAGTAGTCGTTGTATGCAAGTGATGTTTGATACTCGAGATTTCAGTTTGAATTGCCTGGCGTAATGCAGAAATCTAGACTCTTTTGAATGGCTTTTTCTAATTAAAAAAGTATTACTTTTTACAAAAACTAGAGGCTTCGCAAAGTAGACGTAAATTGGAAGAAATTGAGATACGAAGAGCTATGACTTTTGAAGAAAAAGAGTCTATCGACTTCGGGTTTCATGATTGGAAAAGGTACTTATCACTCTATAAATCTATATATATATATATGGGATTGTAGAGAAATAAAGATGATGCTGGAAAGAGAAAGAAGTACGTCAATCGACTTGGATTGGCACATCGCTAACTAATATCCTATGGTAGACATTTTTTCGGCTTAGAAACTGCTTATTGAATATAAAATTTTGTTTACCTCATTATGAATAGTGTGAGTCATATCAGATAACTGACTGCATGTAGTCGGTTGAATTTTACATGAACAATTTGTCGTAGAATTAGGTTTATAATGATACGGGTAGAACACCAAATTTCGACTCGTAGTGTTCATCGTTGATTGATGATTATTATCAGCAGTGGGAGCACGTATATAAAAATAAGTATGAACTGAAAACAACGCATTTCCCCATACCGTCTGACGTAACATTGAGATAAGAAGTCGAAAAGAATTTATTGTTGTTTGTTTTATATTACTGATCAGCTGTTGTGTTTGAGACTGAAATAGATCTATTGGTTGTACATACTTTGTAACATATATTGTTGAATTGAATACGAGTAATTCATTTTCTATTGTTTCCAATGATACTTGGCAAAATGAGGAAATCGCTAGAAAGAATGGTAGGCTTTCAAAACGAAAATCACCTGAAGTTAAAGTTGTAGGATCCTTTGGTAGTAAATAGCTAGTCCAATTTGGTGTAATAAAATCTGAATAGCAAACTGGATGAAATGTCGGTTGAAATGATATGAATCCTTTCTGTTCATTTGCAATCGAAGAACATGGACAAAGGAGTGTTTGCGGATATTTAACTTGTAGCGTGAGATAATCATCGACGGTAGGTTGTTGGATCGTGATAGTTTTTGTAACAGTAGATGTGGATGTATAGAGAACAAGGATAGACAATGTAAGGACCATTGAAACTATAAAGAGTCGAGTTGACAGACGTTGACCACGTAAATTCCATTCACTTTGTTCGTCTGGGTCTGAGAAGAAGTTAAGGTGTAATACAAAGGTTTTGATATAAGTAACTGATCGAATTTGTTGCTCGGTAGTGGTAGCAGCACCTTGACTTCCTGTCAGAATGAAAAAAGAAACTAAAGTGAGTATATTGGTGACGAAAGAATTTTGTAGAACCAACAAAAGTTGTAAGTTGGTTTGGAGAAAAACTAACTTAGAAGTCTTGCTTTTCTGTTTAGTATGAGCCATGTTTTAGCAGCGGTCAAAACCACTTAAAAGCTTCGATTTACTATTCTACGTATTCTCGAAGTTTAAAACTAACTCGAGGGCGAGGATGGGTGGAGGATGTGGGTATGAGTATTATACCCATCACATACTCTCAAAAAGGTGCGATGCGATCGTTGTCACTTTCTGGCTATTTAGTTAAAACACTTACTAGTATTAGTTTCAGATGGCCCAACTTCTGGTGGTGATGGCAACGGACAGCACGCTTTGATTCGTTTTCTTAGAAATGTGACTGTTGGCAGTATTACGAGCATAAGAATCGTTACAATTCCACCAATAAATGAAATGACAGTTGTAATAACATAAATAACATCAAATTGGTGAACGTAAGTGTAAGTGCAAGCTAATGGATTACATGCATCGAAGTAATGTTCATAGGATGACTTCATTTCCCAAACATCAACCATTAATTCTTCGGCTATGTCTTGAACTGTTGGAAGAGAAGAAGACGAAGAAGAAGAGAGCTTCAATGGCGTCGCATTAAATGGAGAAAGTGAATCATTTAAATATGTGTCCAATTCCGATAAGCATGTTTTATTATACAAACATGAGAGATTTGACTGAAGAACGGCATAGAGTATAAGATTACCTACAAGAACGCCTGCAACCTTAAATTCAGGTTCTATCGGAAATAATCCCCATACTGAATTAGATGTTGTTCCATTAATAAGTTTGTTAAAGTAAATACCTGTGGATACAGTACAGTATATATTACTTGAATACAAACAGTCTCCAGTTTCTGGATAGAGACGTTCGAACCAGGCTTGCGTCGACGGATAGTCATTTGGCCGTAATATGAGATATATTTGCCAATTTGTTTGTAACCGATTGATGATCAGATTGTTGACTAGTGCTACTAATAAAACTGATTTGAGTGTAATCACAAAGTTATTTTCAGTAGCATTTATAAATTGATCATGAGCTGCATTTATGTTGGCTAAAAATGTGTCTTCTGAAATGGTATTCTCTGTGAGTAACACTGTTGAATAGAATACAATTAGTTGTTCATTGATTGTTTGTGAGGATAACGCACAGAGTGTACGTATCATGGAGAAGAATCCATAAGCTGTATGACGAAAATCCCAAACATAATGATATTTTACTTCAGTAAATGGACGATAGTTAACATATTTGAGCCAATCATCACTGACGAAATCACTTGTGCAGATTTGATTGAAAGTTGCTGTAAATGATGAAATGAACTTGCTGTACTCATTAGAAACACTTGTGCATGGGCATTCAAATGTATTTGGATATTTCTCTATCAATTGTTTATAATTGGATAAACTGGGCTGTTGGACAACTACTTTTGTTGTTATAGGAGTTAATGATGAATAGAGAAAGAGAGCGACGATTGAAAGTGTGAGAAAAATGAGAAAGAGGATTGTTGAGATTTGTTGATTTTTTATATTTTCCTCATCTATTTTGTTAATATCTTTAAATAAATTAATACTCTTAATTCTAGTTTTGAATCGTACAGACCAGTGTGGTAACGTCACTAAAACAAAGAGTTTTAAAATACAGAAGAGTTATTTTAAAAAACATACTTTTTTCTGTAACTAACATCAACTGAACTGAAAGTGTTTAAATTATGCTTTGTTTAATTTATTTTAAGCGAAGCTTTTTTTTCTTCTTTCTTCAAAATTATCATTTCTCACACTATTGCTTTACTCTTTTTCTTTCATTGTATGAACGAAGAAAAAAGATTGTTTTTCATCATTTTAAAACTTTTTCTGATTCATTCTGTAATGTTGTATACTAGTTTACAATAATGTAGACATAAACACACATACAAAAGTTTTCCTCTACGTTGAATGTAAAGTTAGGCAACAAGGAGAAAAGAAAAAATGAGATCAACAAACCATGAATCCATTTAGCAGTTGTCTTCCAAAGTTTAGTGAATATTTTTTTCCTTTACTAAATTTTATTTTTTTGTTAGTCTAGAAGTAAAAAAAATTCTTTTTTTCTTCTGCTGCCAAACTTCCAGTTTCTAGTATTTGTAACAACCGAATTTTTATAGGAACACTTATAAAGAAGGATCATGGTCATTATCATACTTGTTCAAAACGAAAAGAGCAGAATCCTAATGGAGGGTGCGGGTGTATCCTATATATCTCACCTACATCCACGCCCTTCTACGATTAGAAACAGATTGGTATGCGGTCGTTCACAAAAGTTATTGTGAACTACGGCTAAGAGCCAAATGATCTACGGTTACACCTAAAGGGTATTTCCTAGGAAAGATTCTTATTACTTCAATGTCAGATCTTTTGCAGCTCAGACAAGGATCTTGCAAGGATGTGACACTATGTTTCAAATGTTACATAATTGTGGCAGGATAGTTTGAAGATTACCTAAATAGAACAGAGCAAATGTGAACACATAGAGTATTGAACGACACCATTTATATAAAACCAACTAAAATGTTTAATACGTACATTTGAAGCAACTATAAAGATCAGCGCCGAAACAAAGGTTCAATCATTTTAAATGACTTTAATTTTGGGTGTGAGATGAAGGTATTGAATAAGCATCATACCTAGCCTCTACCGCTATTACTTTTTTTTCTGCAGTATTTTTGATTAAACACTAGATTTTGATTCTCAACGCATTATATTTTTGCAAAGTATTGACAGAAGTTTTAGAAATGTTCTATGAGAATATCTATCGATTATTCAAAAACACAGTAAAGTCATAATCTATTCCTGATCATAAATAATGGATTTGAATTCACTTAAATTTTTCATGTAGTGTGATCATTTATAGTTTTGACACCATACAAAAATTACTCATTGTGATTTTGTGATAAAAATTGACCATTTCCTCACGTCACGAACATCTTATTATATACGTATATATACTTCAGTTATACTAATTAATTAATAAAGAAAAGTTTACTGATTTCATGGCTATAAATAAAATATTCCTTCATAAATAAAAACTTCTATATGTCCCTTTGAGTCGAGGGATCACGGAGATATTCAAATTTTTCTAACTGTAGTGACTTTCTGGGCAAATACATTTTCGTATTTTATTATAAATAATAAACAAAAAGAAAGTTTTTGAAAGTTAGTATGAGCAATTTTTCGATGTATGTTCATCCAAGTCCGTGGTTTCGAAGGCAATGTTGTAATTTAATATCGAATCGATTTCCATAAGATTTTTTACAGGAATAAAGTTGATTGGAATGAATTTTTGATAAAAATTCCGACAAAAACACATCAGAATTCGTTTCTGTACATATTTTATAATTTGATAATCCTTTGATATGTGCTCCATTCTGTCCAGAATCGTTTATACCTTGACCAAACAACTGATCAGCATCAGCCGACAAAATATAAAGTGATCTAACTTGTTCCATCTGAGTACAAAAACCATTTGAAACATTATTTTGGATTTGAACCATGAGTTGAGCTGCACTATTATCCCACCTTAATAAGAATAAAAACGATTATCACCTTGCTACACAAGATCAAAAATAAAACTTACCAAAAAATGTCTGATTCACTTTGATTTCCACATTTTGCGAGTGATGTTATTAATTCATATACGAATGGTGTCAATGTAATATTTAATTTCTTTAGCATCACATCTATTTGTGTCAAATTAGTCGGTAACTGATTCTGTACATCCGATGGCATGGCAATTAAATTCTTTATTCCACTATCATCAACACGTTGTGCAGCAAGAACATCTGAATTTAAAGACAAATATTTATATGTAAAATACGTAATCGATATATTTTTCAATCTTACCTAAGAAAATATTTTCAGAACTACCGGTCGTCTTACTCATGTATGGATAAACTCCTAAACTTGGATTGGGCGTCAATGATGAGTAAGTAGATAGAGATTTAAACTGACCACCTATAAAAACAATTATGTGTATTAAAAGAGAATTTGATTAAATATACTAACCAGATAAATAAAGTGTACCTATTTTTGGTACAATTGATCGATCACGAATGATAGCAGCAGCAATATTTGTTAAAGGTCCAAGAGCTAAAATATCAACTGGTTTCTGTGAATATTTCAATATAAATATAATTAATTCAACTGCTTCAAATGGTGATGGTTGTAAGAAAATATCAACGGATTGATTGAGACAATTGGGTGACGTAAGATATGTATCAATCCCAGTTAAAATTGTACTCGCTACTTGGTAACCGGATGAAAGTGATGATAGACTACAAACTAAATGAATAAGAAAGAAATCATAGAAATTGTACAACAAGAGTAACCTTTCCCCGCTAGCCACTGGAATACGATCTGTACAATTCAGTAAACCGAGAAAACTGAGAATATTAGACGTTGAATAAATCGGTGTACTAATAAAGTAAAAAATACTTGAATTATGAAAGAAGTGATTATTTTAGTACCTGAATCCTGAACCTGCAGTTGTTATTGCGATAATATCAACTGTTGGAACCTATAATAACTTATTTACAATTGAAAAAAAAGAACGTAATTTGCTTATAATTACATTAATTAAATATTGAATTGCCCATAAATCATCTATATCAGCGTCTGTATCGATGATGACTGGATGACGATCAGTATTTGTACTCATACATTTTTGAATTGTTTCATCGTTCGTCGATGAGTAGCTGTTCCCTAAGAAACAACTGATGATGATGGAGAACATCAATATGAAGTGATAAACTAGATTTGTCATTGCTTTTATCTATAACGAAATATGTATATAGTGTAAGACTAATACTCATTCTTAACGGAATTATCTATTTAAATTTAATAAATACGATATTGTCTTTTAGAAATAAGAATTAATTTATAAAACAGACTTTTCTATTTGACTAATTCTAACAAGATATCGTATTCAACAGAGTAAAATTACATTGTTAAAAGTAGTAAAGAAAGCTTCTCAAAAAAAAACACCTATTAATAACAAACTTGTGTAAAGAGAAAAATAGTCACTTGTAATGCTCATTTATTAGATAATACTAAAAATTTATCAAGTAGTTCTACTTAATTATAATCAAATAGAAAATATATTCAGACTTTATGCTCAAATTAATGTCTAATAAGAATTTTTGTAATCTAGTAGAGCAGCTGTATATCTCATACTCATTATCGAAATAATATGTATAGTATACTCGAAACAGCAGTTATAAATAGTAATATCTCTTGATTTACTTTCTCACCTCACCGAATCTATGTATTATACGTAAAAATGAATGCGCAATTTCATATAAAAAATCTTGACTCATTGATTATTTCTATCCCCTACTTGCTTTATACGATCGGATGAATAGAGAAAACACGTGATGAAGTATTGTTTTCTTTTCTTTATTATACTTAACTTTCGTACTCTATAATATAATTGCATATGTATACAAAGATACCACAAAATCAAAACATAAAAACGGTGAGGAGAAACATGAGAGATAACAAAAAAATAAATTATGTCTCTTTTATTAAACTTGGATTTGTGACTGTCAATGTTTTTCACCTTTGATCTCGCAACAAGTAGACAAATAATTTTAATTTTTTTATAGAACTCTCTCTTCAGTCGAGGAAATTATATTGGTAAAAACCATAATCAAATATATATTACTCATGCTTGAATAGTTTATATGACCTTTTAAAAAAAAAATATATATACAAAATATTGAATTCTGATTGAATAAATTTATTGATTGAAGGATTTACTAACCTCTGTGTAACATTTTACCCAGACCCTCAAGATCACGAATCTTCGTCTGCTCTAAAAGATGCAATAGTTTGAGGATGAATTAGATGCATAATTGCTAATAAACTTCTGATTCTAAATTTTTATAGAATCTTGAAATAGGATAACATCTCTTCCAATAATAGTCTTTCTCCTCGAGTAAATTTGCATTTATTGTTAAATGATACAGTTTTTCTTTTTCTTATTGTAATAAAAACACAAACTTTTACAAATGTTCGAACATCATAATTTCTTTAGAGAAAGAATTAAATTTTATCGATGAAATAACTCTCTATTGTACATCCATTTTAATTGACAATAACATCGCATTGAAGAGAAAAAAAAAGTTGTGTAATCTTTTTTAATAGTAGAGAATTATCCGAGTTGTTTTTGAATACTGAAAAGCAGTTTCTCTGAATTCATATATCAGATAAAACATTCTTTTTCATTGATAGACTTATACAATCACCCAATCAATTAAATTTTTAGCAATGATATTCTTACTTCACAAAAACAAAAATTATATTTGCAATTAAATATTTATCTATGTAGCGACTAGGTAAGACATAAGCCTCATCTAAATTATGAATTTAGGGTTTATCTGTAGGAAGATTTAGACATATTCTATCAATTGCAATGCCAAAGATCATCAAGATATTATAATTTAGGTAGTCTCTTCTCCTCTTTTTAGTTATGAAAAATTTTCTTGCTAAGAATGTACCGAATATCTTGAAATTGTTGTCAATATGTGTTATAAAATCAATTTATGTAATATTTAAAAATTTGTTATTCACTTAGTAATGAATTCCCTTAATGATGTTTTTTGTTCTGATGATATCAATGTTGAAAGATGGAAAGATGAAGCACTTATCATTATTGAATTTTTTCTATTAGCAATCGAGGCAAATTATAAAAAGTTGTCAATTTTAAAGTACGCATGTAATAGTTAAATAAATATTTCAAGGAAATCATAAATTAACCAAACTGTATTCAACAATTTTATGATTTCAATACATTACGCCATCCCTGGACATGCGCACCTCGATATTAAAAAATACACATCTTTTTTAAAGAAAACAAACTCTACTAAATTGCCTTAATAAAAAAGAAAGTCATTTTTTTTATTATAGTGATGAAATGAAAAAAAGGATATGATATATGACAGTAAAACGAGAGAGACGAAGAAAAAGAGAAAAATGAAATTATATATATTGATCTGCAGTTGCATTGCAATTTCCTTCAAAGTTAAATTCACTTCTTTTACTTGAAAGCTTGTTGGTTATGGATTGGAGAATAATTTCTCTATTGTTTCTCTTTATTTTTATTTCACAATCAATCACAGAAGATATAAGATTATTCCGAATGTCCACAATGCACGGTTTGCAGTTTCAATGTTCTAACACAACTTGTTTACCGTTTACCACTCTCATTGTATCGAACAGTCGCAGGTGTCAAATGGCTTGTTTAGCTCAAATTCAATGTACAGTGGCTAGTTTCCATCAATCGAATTCTAATTGTCAATTGTTTGCTGATTTATCAAATCAAAATGGAAATATGTTATTACCTAATATAGAGATTATTACAATGATTGTTATAAGTGGCACAAGAATTCCATCTGGTTAGTATTAAAACTAGATATTCAAAAAAGAGTCATTTGAAAAATATAGGCTAGTATCTATATGATTCAAATTAAACAGAGTATTCATGAGTGATAGAAATGTAATTATGAGTGAATATTGCAAAGTATTATTCAATCTTTTTCTCTCATATGATTTTGTGAAATTAGCACCAACTACAACGTCAACAACAACAACCTCAACAACAACTTCATCGACATCCTCAACTTCAACAACAACATCATCAACTTCCTCATCAACAACATCGACATCGACATCAACAACATCGTCATCAACATCATCGACAACGACATCAGCATCAACTTCAACATCATCAACATCATCATCAACATCAACAACAGCAACATCATCAACAACGACATCAACATCAACAACATCAAAAACAACAACAACTGGTTAGTGTTATTCTAGATAATTTTTAGTTCCCTCATATATCATAATTTTCAATAACTAAATTTAAAGGTTGGGCAAATCCTCAATGATACATCGCCTCTCCGACGTCTGCTCCTACATAGCTCTTTATTAGAATTTTTAATAGTATATAGAGTCATATATAAATATGTTGAAATTAGATAAAACTATCAATTTGATCATCAATCACCTATTTTTCTTGTCTCTTCTCGTTACCAATATTCAGTTAATCGATAGCATTAGTATGCTCTCGTCAATTTCAAACCTTAGTCAAAATTCGACTAGGAACTTGTTTCTGATACTGATCTCTTTCCCTCTATTGTTCGCAAGGCGAATACCTGATTAATCAATTAAACACAAAATAGACAATCGAAGAGTTACTGTGTGAATAGATGGATGCAGATGTGGATAATAATTAACTCAACATATGACTTACTATGTATGAATAAATGACTAAAGACAGACACTAAATTAGATCTATTAAAAATAAGGTTACTTATTATTTATAAAAGTGATCCAAGTAGATTTCTCTTTTAGCTAAAATGAATCTCTCACATATATAGGAATACATTGAATAAGGATGTAGAAGTAATTAATTAAGTTTCATATTATAAATGTAACGATCGGTACTAAACATTATGTAGAAAATCTTTGGTACGATAGTTCGTAAAAGAATTAAGATAAAACTATTTTAATATAATATGAATATTATGTTCTATTCCGTTTAATAAATTCTTTGTGTTTTATATAGCGATATGTGTTGCAGCAACATATTCTCAATATTTTACAGTTAGTGTTACCCCAACAAGTCAATGCACAGCATGGTTCTCATTTCTAGCTGGTTTGACTTGTTCAACCTATTCAACAATACGTATCTACGGTACCAACGATCCAACGGGTTTAAGTGTTATTGATTCAACTGTTGTTAATAACCTTGTGTCAAATTTACGTAGTAATGGTACATATTCTGCTACTTCAAATGGATATACATGGGCAGTTGGCCAGGGTGTGGGTGTGGGTGTGGGTGTGGGTGTGGGTGTGGGTGTGGGTGTGGGTGTGGACATAGGTCTGAATAGCTAGTATATATAAATATCATATCGATACCCACACCCACACCCTTTTTATTTTTTTATATCATGAAAGAGAGAGAGTACGAATGTGAAATTAGTTAAATAGTTCTGTCCGTATCCGAGCCAATTTATGAGATTTAATATTCAGTAGGTTCAAGGATCGTTCGACATCTTACAACTGTTTCGCGAACCATCTTAGTGAATTCTTTTTTATAGGTTGTTGATGGTAATACAAAAACGATAAATGTCAACATTGATGGAATAAACGAAAGAAAAAAGCCGATAAGATACATCCACGGTTCACGTGGTGATCGCATACATCCACTAATAAATGAAATGACCAATCGTGATAGACTTAATAATATTAATAGACATGGTGCATATAATAGATGTCGATGTTCTTTTACTTGCTGTTGTAAATGTTGTTGAAATGATCGATCACGTTGTACATTAGTACGAGTAGAAGCTAATGATATAATCATCCAAAGAGCAGAAATAATATTGATTGAAAAAGGAATAAGAAAATGAAAAAGAGTAATAAATGAATTATAGATATTAACCGAAGATGAATATCGAACAAAACACCAAATTCGGTGTTCATCTATATCGAAATCATCGATCAATTCACGATGAATTGGATCATGAATATGTGTAAGTATTGTTAGAATAAATACACCAATAATAATCCGTTTCGATATATCTTTACTTAGTTTTCTTCGAAAAGCAGTACCTTTAATAACACTAATCATTCTTTCAAAAGCTACACAAGCATTCAACCATTCACTTGATGCTAATAAAACTTTAAGAATAAAATCTAATGAAATACAATTAAATTTAAGTAAAGCTCGATTATTGATCAAAGACATTTGTGAAAAGATTAATAACCAAAATTTAACTGTTAATATAATTATTATAAATATAGACATTGAAGATGAAATTAAAAGATAATTACCAGTACCAATTTGTCTTAATTTTTTTCTTCGAAATGTTACAATCGATAATGATCCACTAATTATTCCTGAAATGAACATCAATGTACTGATAGTAATACTTATTTTGATAATTAATGGTTGTTGATTAAGTGAAACATTTGGTTTAATATGATATCCAAGAATGGAATCAAGTGAAAACAGAAAACCTTCTGTTGAAAATTGACATTTATTACCATAATGACAAGCTTGACATACACATGTAAATTTGGTTGGACATGTTTCATTGTTCTGAAAACATTCACCATCATTTTCACAGTAATTATATTTTTGACAATTACTATTCATTGTATGATTAAATATAAAACAATTAGAGAATCGATCAAGATCACATATACACATAAGATCTTTATCATAGAAACATATCAATTGTAAATGTTGCCGACATAAAAGTGGATAATATTTTACGCGTTGTAAATATTTATATAGTGAAAAGGTACTATTAACAAGTTCATCGATAGATAAACAACGTTGTTTTGGTTGTATTTCTGTAAAAACATGTTCAGATAATATAAGTTTTTCTCGAAGTACTGCTAGATAATAATGCTGCTTAGGTATTTGAACGAAGAGAATATGAAATGGTTGTGTTACATGAATTGTTACAGTTTCCTTATCAAATGGAATCTTTTTTAAAAGAGTTATTCGTTCATGTTCGGTATCTTCAAATGCTGTAATGAAATGTAAAAGTACGAATGAAGTTATGGAGGTTATGGTCTCATCTAAACGTATATCAATTTGATTGTTTTTATTCTCGCATCTTTCACCCGAATAATCTTCGGGACATAAACAAGTAAATGCTGTTAAATCGATGCGGTCATCAGTTGGTATACAAAGTCCTTTATGGTGACATGGACTATTTGACGGTTGACAAATTGAATATTTTAGATGACAATACGAACCAAATCTATGTAACGGACATATGCAGATCGATGAGTCAAGACAAAATGAATCATTTGCACAATTACATTCATGTGAAATATTACAATAAGTACCGGAATATCCTTCACTACACTGGCAAAAGAATAATAAGTCATTATTGATGTAGCGCATGCATTTACCATGTTTTCCACATGATAGAGAACATGGTTCTATTTTCTGTATCTCAGGAATAAATAACTGAGTAGCGATTCTATTAACAGGTAAAAATTGAAATGGGATCGGTACATACCAAGTAGCCCAATGAGATAACTCGTTTTTTTCATAAATATCAATACGAATTGAATAATTGATGGTCAAAGATTTAGGTCGATGTGGATAAACTAAATAAATATTAAATTTTGTGTCGCAATCACGAGCAGGTATATAATTAATTTGCTCATGATTGGGTGCGATTTGTCCATTTTCATCAATGAGCATAACAATTACTTGAAACATCATAGTAGTAAATACAGTGCTACGATATTGGAATTGAAGCGTCAAACTAATGCGTTGATTTTGCCATTGACATCGAGCACCGAAATAATTAGGTGGACAAAGACATTGTTTCGTTTCATTAATACCATGTAGTACAGCTATACCTCGATGACAATACGAAATCAATTCGGAATCTGTATGCTGTATAATCTTTTTGTTTTTATTTATTTTAAAAATAGATTGATCAGAAAGATTTGCTGATACTAGTGGATAATAGCCCAATCGTCTAGTTGTGAAAAAACGATCAATGTGAAAAAATACTGGTGGCAATCGAAGTTCACATAAATCTTCTGTGTTTTGAAAAGGTTTAACAGACGATGGATACGTCAAACCGCTTTCTAAAGATTGGTAAAGACAAATTTCTTCTTCATATAGTGATGTTTGTAAATCTTGATCCACGCGACAGATTTTGCCTAAGGTAATACATTTACTATCATTCCATGAAAAGTAATTGTCACCAACATGACTCGTTTCATTATAAAAGTTAGTTTCACGATTTAGATCTGTATTGTTACAAGGATCAAGATATTTATCATAAATATGGGCTAACGGTATACAATAAGAAAATTCGGACTGTTGATTACGGCATTCATGTTCATTGAACGAACATTTTGCGTTAGGACAATTGAGCTGATCAGCACCATTTGGACAATTCCATTCTAGATCGCAATGTGTGTATGGATTATCACATGGCCACCAATCGCAATTAGTTTCATCGGTTTCATTGACTTTAAGCGAATCATGTATTTTGTCATTTCTGTGATGATTGCATAGCTCTGGAAACGGTACTAGAATGACTAAATTTTGGGTGTAGGAAAATATCTCATCGTCGCGTGAAGGACAGTCCCAAATCCCATTACCAACTGCAACAGGCGACAAACATTTATGCGCATCTGATTCACATTGAAATCGATTTGAATCGTTCAATTGGCATGCATTAAATGACTCGTCTTCTCCAAAAAAACAATCATATTTACCATCACCAACGCGATTGTATGGAATACATTTCATGGATTCATTGCAATGAAAATATGATGGATTTGTACATGATTTCTCAATACCTTTTTCTAAGCATTCGTGACGATAGAATGAGAAAGAATTCACTATCTCCTTAAAGTCTTTTATTCCAGCAGCTTCTGTTAGATTCGAAGGATGACAGCATGTTAATCCATTAATGATTTCAATAGAAACTATTTTTGCTAATAGTACAGGACAGCTTTGGGCATTAAAGCATATAAAATCAGGTGTAATGGTTTCTTTAAATTCATTAACCGAACGATTAGTAAAATAAACAAATTGAAAGATACCAAACAAAATAGGATGTGCAGGTATCACTAACCATTCAGAAAAACAGTGTTTAGATAAAGGTTCACAATCTTCATTCCAAATATCTTCAATAAGTGGTGGAATTCCTAAAATATTTGCAAAAAGTAGTTATTATGCTAGAAATGCTAGATAGTGAACAGTCAAAAAATTTTCTTACCGTATTCAAACGTTCGATTGAAATGAAGTGCACAGTAGAATGCTTTTCTGCAATCGATATTTGAAATATGATTCATTGAAGTAAGTATGACCCGAGACAATTCTCTATCTTTTTTATTCGAACAACTACTAGGCCAATTAGTGGGTATATAAGTAGTAAGCATATATTGACCATCACCACATGGAAAAGACCATGGATATCGACCAACGCGTTCTTGGCAACGAAATGTCGAAACAGAACTACAGTGACCATTCATCAATCCAGTCTGTATCGAAAAAAGTTCTTCCTCCTCATCACTCCCATCAAGACAATCCATACTAAGTCTACTATCTTTTTTAAATGTCCAAGGAATACATTGACCACCATAATGGCATCGATATTCCTTGTCGGTGCATTGAGTAATATCTAACTGATCACACCATTGTTCATCTTCTCCATTCATACAATCAATTTTTCCATCACAAATTTCACGCCAATCAAGACATAATGGCCATAATCCACGATTACAACCAGTTAAAAATCGATAACATGTTCCGCTAGTAACATTATATGGGGTGCTGTGTTGATCGTCGTTGAAAGTAGCTTCAATAATATCTTCAATCGAAACAGATAAATCATAATTAAATTTATATTGACACATAGAACCAAACCAAGGTGATGAACAATTATAAAAAACATCTGTATCATTTACATTCATTTCATATTTTTCTGCAATATCAATAGGTGCAAACCATTGAAGGAGTTGTTCACTTGTTACATTCCGTTTTTTTAATTCATGAAAACTTATTTTTTCTGCTGTACCTTCATTGACTGGATAGATAATTTCATCTTGTTCTTCGTTATCATCAGGTCGCCTACAGTACGGAATTAAATGATAATTACGTATGTATTGTCCACCATTTTCTTTGCCACCATCGATTAAATGAGCATATAAACAATCAAATGTTGGATAAGAACCTTGACGAATATCAGAATAATGGAGTGAATAACGAGTATTCACTGGAATACACCATATTAAAAATGACAATACACGTATTACCATCATAGTTAGTAACTTTATATCAATAAATATATTCTTTTATAATAGAATGAAACAACGTTTATTATTTTTTTTCAACCTACGTGAACATATGTGCTTCCTTTTTCTACACTAAAATCCATTAGATGAAACACAAATTGACGTCTTTCCGTCAGTCATCCAAATGGAAAACAGAAAGCAAATAGTATCATAGATAAAGGTGGAAGCTGTCAGCCAATTTTTGCCGAAGCCGACGGCTTATACTTCTAATCCCAGATATACATATTATTTTGCTGTAAAGTTTACAATACAACAAATATCTCTCACATCGACGAAATTTAGTTCTGAGTTCAGATATCGTGTGCAAAGGTGTACCGAACGAATGTTTTTAGTTCCGATTTTGTTAACTTCTTTTTCTGTGGTCTTGGTCTTAGTTCTAATGAATCCAATCGAGCCCCGATTCTCGATATCTCTTTGTATACGATACACAAATAGCTATTCGGATTCGAGATTTGTACTATTTGATTATGCGAAAACTTAATAGAAAATGAGACATATCTCGTTGATGTGAATTTATTAATAAAAAGGAATATGAAATTATTGTCAAAATTAAATTTGAAATCGAAATGATAAGTAAGAACAAGTTAGAAATAGCTGTATAAAACATTTCGATCAATTTTATAACACGAAATCAGACAAGTATGCGAACAAGTGTATTTTATATATTAACTTTTACAATATAAACGAGAAATTAAAAACAAGAAGAAACTTATATGTCTTTAACATTATGATATTAAATCTGATTTGATTGTTCATGTGATTGTTGGTAGTATTGCATTTGGCCGACTATTGAATCTTTTCATTATAGATGTTTTCAGTGGTTCTGTAAAGGTATAGAGAGTAATGATTACTAATAGAAACGATACATTGATAAATATATAAGCTATTCGAAAATGATATTTCGGTGCACTATTAAAAAATGACATAAAAATAAAGATTGTATAAGGTAAACCAAGTATTAATAAAATTGATATAAGTATAACTATACGTCGAACCATTTTTAATTCAAGTTTTGCCCGTGATAGAGTATTCACTGGCGTAATGTGTTTACTTATTTCACGTACATATTGAACTAATTTGAAATAGATAAACATAATCATCGAAACAGGCATCATATATGCACAAAATGCCATATAAATGATTGGAAATGATAATTTTAAAGTCATTTGACATATTTGATTGTCAACATTATAGACAATATCACCGGTGAATAAAAATGCAATAGGATATACAAAAGCAAATATCCATGTTAAACAAATCAACGACATTTGAATTTTCACTGATTGCCATAATACACGATTTGGATAGACAACAACAAAATATCGGTAAATAGCTGGGAGTAAATAAGAACAATTCTGTAGGGCAGTTACAACATAACCGTAATATCCTAAGAAATGACAAAATGAATTATAATACCAGATTTGTTTTAAATCATTTTGAAGTGTAAATAAAGTCATACCAATCGTACAACTTCCAAAAATAATTTGAGCTAAACATGAATTTGCAACAAACATCATTGGAATTGTATGGCATGTTTTATCGAGAACAATAATAAATAAAAAAATAAAAGCCAGTAAAAAACCGAAAACGCTACATGAAAGCATGATACAATCAAAAGGAATAAACCATAATTCAATATTGATTATTGTGCTTACGTTACTATCTATCGTCATTGTTACAGTAGAGGAAATGTTTAATAAATGAAAGTAGAGATAGAAGTTGATGAAGATAAATATGTTATGATTGAAATCATTCATGTATATTATTTTAATGGTTAAAAAAAAATAATATGTTAGTTTTTTTGTCTTGTCAAAAATGTTTTATACTTTCCTCTTTACGTCATAGCTAGATGCATAACGCGCATAATAAATTTTTCATTTGAAACGATGCATTCATCGAGTAAATCAGGAAGAGACAGCTGGGATATTTTTTTCTAATTGAATGGAGGATATTAAGTTGAAAGACTGTTAAATTAATCTTGTTTGATCGTATACGACATGTCTAATAACGAAGATAAAAACAACTTTCTTTTTTTATAGATTACTCGAGACTGCACTTTTAATTCTAATAAAATATTCTATATCTTTCTTACTTCAGCAAACTATATAATAATAAAATACAATAAATTAGAAATCTTCTAACTAAAGTAGCTTGGAAGTTTCGACGTTTTCGTTGATGAAGAAATTCTTGTTTTCTTTACTTTTATTATAAAAATGATGATACGTTGTTTTAGTTATGGACGTATCGAGCACATGAGAGTCTCGATTTCAATCGTTAAAAAGCTGAACTAACTGAAATCAAGGTTGAACCTAACGGAGATTGAGTTAGAATAAAGTAGATCGAAATCATCAAGGGCAAGAGGTTCGAACACCCCTAATTTCAATAAAAATTTACATTTTCTCGTACGACTACAGCACTCACACTCACACCCTCATATATTTATTGACTAGTTTAAATAATTCAACAAAATGCAACATCAAGTTGTTGATGAAAACTTGAATGTGGACTTTATCTTTTTTGTGTTGCTCTCCTTATCAAATTCTGTTTAATGCAGAAGACATGTATATAGTATCTCGTCTTTTAGAGATCTCAGTTTCAGAGTGCAAAGATTGTTATCGTTGTGTGTCGTTTTTACAAATTCCAGGTATGCTGTATCTTACGAGGGGTATTTTAAAATGATGTTTTTTTTCCAGTAAAGCAAACTTTTCTGTCTTTCTAGCGTCAGAAGTTTTCTAACAAAAATAATATTTTGAAATCTAGGGTATAATTAAAACAACAGAGAGAAGTCTGACACGTATTCTCACTAGATTATTGATACAAAAACATACTTGTTTACTGTTTTAGAATAACAATGGATATTGATACGATTTTTCCAAGCCTGTCCCAAGGAGAGACAATTTTAGGCAAATATCGTAATATGGATTTCTGTAATTGTATGGAAAACATTTGTATTCTTACTAACCATCGTTTGCTCATCCGTTGGAGACAAACGTTTTGTTTATTCTTGCATCAATCGTATTACTCATCTATTCCGCTGGACTCCATTTCTTGCATCGATGAAACGCGTCCAAACAGATACTATTTTATTTGCTTGATAATAAATCTAGGCTTAAGCTTTATTCCGATGCTTTTCGGTGCTGTTCTCGCGACTATTTGGGATACTCCTTTCGTCGTCTTTATGATTCCTTTTTTCTTTTGTGGTCCTACGTCTATTTTTCTCATAGTATGGTGGTGTATTATTCTTAGGAAGAAATTCGTTACTGTGTACGGAACTTTTGGTTCAAAACAAGTAAAATTTAACAAACCAATAGCAAGAGAATTCGAGGCGAGGCTTAGCGAATTTGTCTATCTGGCACGAGCGCGTGATCCCATGGCAAAAACAAATATATCAAGACCGCAACCACAACACACAGTACCAGCTTATCAAGGTTATTCTATTCCAAGTGGCCCATCATATTATGCAGGTCCAGGTAACACACCATACTATCCACCACCAGAAAAAGATCCATCTTATGACAGACAAAGTCAATTTTGAAACAGATTGCAGAATATTCTTGTGTTTGATTTGATTTTGTGTGTTGTTTTTCACTGTAATTTTTTCGTGCAAGAACAATAATAAATTTAAACTGTAGTACAATACATCTCTTATTCCATTGTAGAAGAGTGGGTGTGAATATGGATGTAGCTGCATGTGTTCTCTTCACACACACTCACCCACCCGGCCAGGTGAGTACAAAGAACGAAAACAAAGATTCACTTTGTAAATAATACACGTTAGAAGTCTTGCAGTATTTTCTTTTGTTTTTAATTCGTAAATTAAATGGTCGATGAAGACATATCATTAACAGTCAGAGAGAAAGAATGAACATCGTTAGATATATGAAAATACTTTTAATAACTTCTATTTTATCAAGACACAAGTGTTCTCAAACGTAACAGAATGAATAACTATTATTTTTCAATTGAAAATACCAATAAGAGCGTTAGGATATAGATATCAGTTGATGCTATTCTGAATAAACAATATTATTTCTGTGCGAACTTATTGAATTCACTCAGCAAATTGTTAATAATAGACACTCTTCATATAGATTTTTTTTGATCAATGTACACATAACTAGTTTTATTAACGCTTCTCTCGTCTACGTTTATTTAATGAAGATGCTAATGATAAAGTTGAAGATGATGAAAAACTCGATAATTGGTGATCAGTTTGTGTTTTATGTAACATTTGTTCTCTAAATGTTGGATTAGATAATAGTTTTGTTATTATTTGAGATTGTTTTATCGATTTATATCGGCGTATCCAACCGTCATTTGTACATGTTGTTGCACGATGTCCATAAAACTTAGCTTCACTATTTTTATTATCCAACACAATCGAACTACATATTCGATTATTAGTCTTTTTCTGTTGTACATCAGGTAATGTTGAGGTCATCGATAATGATGATGACTGAGTTTTTTCGGATTGAATTGTAGGTGGCGGAAGACCTATTTTTTTTGTTGGTATTAATGATATAGAAACAGTACTTGGATTCTATGAAAAAAAGCGAATAAAACTACTGTATAATATATATTGCTGTATATATTTACGATTTTCTTTTCATATGATATAGTTGGTTTTCGTCGATATTTTCCTTTTGGAAATAAACCATTCACATTATACGAATTTCCATGAAAGTTCAGTAATTTACTTCCATCAATATATGTTGTAGTAATAGGTTGTTTTATAATTTTAGACCACGTATTATTCGTTGATGTAGATACTGTCGAATGATATTCGATTAAATCTTTTTGAGTAGTCGTTGAGTTTGTTGGTTGACGACGATACTGTTCATAATAATATTCATAATCAATCATGTTTCAATATTTGAGAATTAGTTTTTCATTTATACAGTTGATCGATGTCTGCATTTAAGTACAGAAGATATAATAAAAAATCATAGTAACAACTCTCAGCAATATTTTTGTAAGAATGATTTACATGTAAGAGAAAAAAAAGAGAAATCGAAAGAAGCTTTATTTACTATTTGACGTTTGTAATTAACTGTAATAAGTATTCATCTACTTTAATTTACTTATATACATATATTGATTAACATGATGTAGAAATTTAATCCAAAATAACAAAAAAAATGATATTTTTTATTTACATGAAAAGAATACTTACAATTCTCGATAGTAACTTGATTAAATATAACAAATAACAAGTAGTGGAGAAAAAAAGAACTAATTATTGAGTTTCTACAGATACGACGATTGACAAGAGTTCAATATTTTTCAACAAGCACCTTTGCAATAACAAATATTTTCATTGAAGTATACATGTTTATCATATTCTTTGAAAAATTATTAAACTATAGAATTCTGATTTTCATTGTCATATTTGAATTTCATGTAGTTTATAAGATTTAATAAAATAAATCTATATGTCATTCAAACAAATTATATTGAGAAGAAAAAGATTGAATTAAAAAAAAACAGAAAATTATATGATAAAGTAATTAAATTATTAAACACTAAAAGTCGAATTCAGTTCATTAAGTCGTTTCCTTCTATAAATAAATAAACAAAGAAATAATTTGATAGAAATCAAGAATGATGAGATATGCATACGCTTCTTGAGAAAATGTTTCAAATGTAATTCGATCATTATCTTTACCAGGTGGTGAAGTATTATAATTTATTAAACCAAGAGCTTCCATTGCTTAAAAAAAACACATGATTATAAATGAATATATGTAAAAAAAAAGAGATAGAATCTTACTAGAACTATATTGTGAATAGGTTATATGACCATGTCCAGCAGGATCAAGCATACGAAAAATAGACGTTAGATCTGTATCTTGAACAAGTGATGGCAATGCTTCACCAGTTATACGAGCTTTTTTTAATTGTTCAAGATAATCAATCATAAATGCTTTTGGATCCTCTAGATATTCAAAAAAAAAATAGTATAAAATTAGATAATGATATATGACGTTTTTTTCTCTCGTCATTACCTGGTTTATTATAAACCAATGATGCTGAAAGATTATGGAAAAGTTCAGGAATACGATGAGTTTGAAGATAATCAGCTCCTGTTTGTTCTATTGGGTTTGCAACCGGAGCACTAGGTTTATGAGCCATCTGAAAATAAATACGACTAAAATTCAAAAATAATATGCGTTGTCTACTTTTTTCAATTATTGCTAACGATTAAACAATTTATAAACAGACAACGAAACGACATACAAAGTGTTGTAATGATAGTAATACCTCTTTTATGTTCTTTTCTCATAAAATTCTTCATTATTTAAACATAGATGGCGTACATTCTAAGTTATATTATATAAAAATGAAGAGAGATCTTTGCTGACACAACTATCAAGTATAAAAAGCAATTTATTCACTTTAATTATATTTAAAAAAATTACAAAAGCCCAAAACAAGTTTTAGCATAATTAATTTCGTCTTTTAATTCCGAAGAAACATCTTTTGAATCAAATATGTCAATCGTTGAAAGAAATTTTTCAGTTCGAAGTGCATAAAAAAATATCGTTGCTAATCCACATTCAATTCGACGAGTTATTTCATTATCATCAATTATTGATGAAAAACCACCAAATAAATATATTGTTTTATCTTTTGTTATAGTTAAATACTGTTCAATATTCATTTCTTTAAGTTTTTGATAAAGTTTTCGATTAGTATCTTTTTCAAATAGTTCAATAAACGGACTAAGCGCACATCTAGTAGGCATTGCATAAGCATGAATATGCGATCGAGTAACACGAGCACAAGGTTTTTGACATTCATTATTATTTTCTAGAGAATGATTGACATTGTCCGGTAGAAATGATGGATATAATTTGAAAAGATTAATACATTTACATTCTTCAATACATTTAGATTGAGATACAGCATTTAAACGATATTTTTGCATAAGATCAAATACCCATTTTGTCGTCAATTGTATGACCACAGGTGTTAATGATTGTAAAATAGTTGTAATTAATAATTCAATTGATAAAGTTAAATCAATTGTAGGAAGAAGATAATTATCAATAAATAGTAAAAGACTTTCTTCAGATGAACAGAATACTCTATTATTTGATGTATTTGGTTCATCGATATCTTTACAACTTTTGATACCACATTGAATAGTCAAATCATTTGACCATTTGGAAATTAAATAAAATCCTCGAGATTTTTCTGTTATTGAATCAATCGTACACATTGATTGCCAAAGTAATTCAATAGGTATCCAATGTGATGGATATTTAAATCTTGCAACATCAAGTATAAGAACAAGATCTTGTTGTGAATGATATCCAGCTATTGGTGAAAAATGTCCTGTACCTGTTTGTCCAAGTGTGCTTCGATTATAACTACATACAAGACGAATATCATCTAAACGACGTGTACAAGCAACTAATATAGCTGAACGAAATTGTGCAAGTGTTGTATTTGAAGCAAGAAATGGAATAATTGAAGCACCATTACATTCAGCTAGGTAAAGAAATTCTTCGAATGTAATTCCTTGTTCCATAACATTCTCTAATGGATTATCTTTTGGTTTACGTTTATCACATGTACGAAGTGTATTTTCATCAAAAAAACGCCAATTACCTTTCCATATAGAACCTGGATCAATATTTAAACTATTCAATACTATTTAAAAAGAAAAGCAATTAATAAAAAAATATTAGTTTTGAAATAAATTAACCCATTGAAAGTGTACCAGGACCACAATATGAAGGTTCAGCTTGAGTATGAAATGTTTCAGCTAAACTAAAATATCCATGTAAACCATCAGTAAGAAGTGCTTCACGAAATAAACGTTTGCCATCTTCAGAATTAAACGGTATGGCTACATTAGGTAACGGTCGACGAAGCCAACCAGGTATACATCGTGTTGATATATTTCCATATGGTTGTTCGAGAGTTATAGATGTAGAACAAGCTTCCGGTGTTGTCATAATATTTTAAAGAGAATATGATAGTCAAGTTCGTCATACAAATGATTGGATTCAAGTAGTTCTCCAATCAGTAGTTCTAATCTTTTTATTGGCACAATGTTATCCAATAAAGCTTTAAAGATTATTTAAACTTGTATTGAACATATTTTTCTTCATTATCAAAATGTCATCTTTAGAATTTCCTGATCTTCTCTATCCGGAATATTTAACTTACAACGATCAACCACATGAAATCTTACTTGATCAATGGCCTGTAACTACTATGGTTTGTTAATCTAATATAAAATATATTAAAAATCTATAGCACTTTTTACATTCAGGATTTAACACTCGATAAAAAATTTGTCATGCAAAAAATTATTCCATCAAATTCTTCATCTACTCTTCGAGCCAAAGCACCACCTTTTACTTATTCAAGTATTAATTAATATTATTAAAATATATATGTATATTTATTTATTTAATTTAGTTGCGACAGAAGATTTATCTCATATGAATAAATATACATTATCAACAGTAAATGCTAATGAGTATAATTATACAACATATAAACATTTAACAAAATTTTCATTTTAGAAATATAAAAATAATTCCATTCGTCTTATTGCTAAACATAATCATCTTATTTATGTTACGAAAAAAAATCAATTAAGTAAATATATAATTTCAGTTTTATAAAATGTAAATTTTTTTATCGATAGATATTCAATCAGTACCAAATAATATCTATGATGAACTTTGGTCAAATACAACTGAATATTTATCTAATACACAACAACAAAAACATATTATACAATCATCAACTTCTTTTAAATTATTAGATTGTGCTATAGAAGATGAGCAGATATTAAATATCGCTCTGGCTAATCAAGTATATTTTTAATTAGAAAAAAAAACTTTATTCTCCTTTTCTTTCTATAGAATGGATTAACATTCTATTCATATGATTTAATAACAACGAATTCAACATTAACTTCACATATTGAAACATCTGATCATACACCAATTCTTTCGCTTACATTCAATCCATATATTTCTTCGAATGCTATCGTTATTGATAAAAATTATCAAACCTATCTATTCGATGATAACGAATTAACTCATCTTCATCAATTGTCAGATGAAAAAATACTTTCATCAGATATTCCTCGGCGAATATATCTCGATTGGGATGCTTCACCATTTTTATATACAATTGCTGATAATCATAATGGTTCTTGTCTTCTCTATGATATACGTTTACGTAGTGAATCATTTAAAGAACTTTTTATTATCGGTACTAATCATCCATGTTTGGGTAAAACAGAAATTATTCGTGGTTATAAAACAAGTTTAGTTAATCCTTATCAACATGTTTTTATTACTGATTATTCATTGATTATCATCGATTCACGTATGCCAAACAGAACTGTAAAGAAATAAATTTTAATTAATAAAAATCTCGGATTATATTTTTATTTAGGCTATTCATTCTCATCATGAATTATTACGACCACCAACATCATTTACACAAATAAAATGGAATGATCAACATTTAGTTTTAATAAATGATGAATTCAATACAAACGTACTTGAATACAGTAATGATATACATCGTCGTTTAGTACAAACGAATCCTGCATGGGAACTTTGTCCAATATCGAATACTCGACAATATTTGACAAATAATAATACTTACAAGAATAAAGAATTATTACTTACTAAATCAATTTATTTTGATGTACCTATACGAGATATGGCGACAATATCGAATCAAATAAATCCAAAATCTTTTCTTCTCTTTCAAGTAAATTTCAGTTTCTTTATACTTTTATAAAACAGAAATGAACGATTATATTTCTAGCTGAACAGTGCGGGAAATATACATGTACAACTTTTCGATGAATCTATAAATAAAGATGATGAAAAAACTTGGAATCCAAATCCAGATAATTTATTAAAACAACCACCAGATTGTTTTCAACAAGCAAATGATTATTGGTCAACAAAGTTTGTTATTTTGATTCATCATAAATCAATTTGATACTATTATTCAAATAGATTTCTACCACTTTTTCAATGTGATAAGTGCTTAACATATAATGTTGAACCAACTAATTTTGCAATTGTAACACCATTAAGTACAATGATACAAACATCATTACGTGATTTTCCAACATTTAGAAATGAACATAAATCAAATGAAAAAATTATTCCAGGTAATTTTAAAATAAAAACTATATTATATAATTTTTGTTAATTTCAAGCTGAATTAACCGAATGTCCAACATGTACATGTATGCCTGATCTAACCACGCAAGGACAATTATCTCGTGCAAAAAATTGGATCCAAGGTATAGAAATATATAAATCAGTCTGATTTTTTTTATGAAATCTTCTGTAGATTGGAAATCACAATTAGATGATATTCAACCCGAATCAATCGTATGTTATATTTAATAATTATTTATCATTTCTTTTTTTTGAATATCTCGTTAACAGGATACTACACAATCGATAACACATAACTGGCGAGAAATATTTGATTATGATGAATTAAATGAAACAAATAAAGATTCAACATTATGGAATGAAATACATCGACCTTGGTGGCCAACAGAAAATAGTATAAATGATCCACCTAAACCTTTGCCAGAATGATAGATGTTTCCTTTTTGTACCGATTATTTGTTAATTTATTTTGTTTACTTAAAAAATTAAAAAAAATATCAATTTCAAATTGAATATATTCAGTGTAATCTTGGGGGTGGGTTAGAGAACTGCACTGCTCTACGAAACCCGATTCCGATCGAGTCTGAGTCGGAATGACTATTTAAAACTTTTCGCAGTCGGAGTAGGTATGAAAAACCCCAATTCCGCAGTTCTCTAGTGTGGGTGTGTATATGATAGTCTTCTTGCACTCACAACCATCACCCCACCCTCAAGTAGAGACCTGCACGGAGTCATTTTCCACTCCGATTTTGTCTGTAGTTTATTTTAGTTTTTGAGACTTGCTAAAACGTCTATCAATCCTTCAAAATACATCATTTTGTAGAGAAGATGTTGGACAACAAAACTATGAACTTAAATAATTTTTAACGCTAAAGTTGAATTATTGACATGAAATTTACCAGATTCCGTGTAGGTCTCTACCCTCAAGATAGTATAATTAACTAAATTCATGATTCATTAAAATAAACAAAAAGCAATTTATTTTATTAAAGAAATGTTGAATTAGATATATCATATTCAAATGTTATATATTTCAATCAATCAATGTAAGCCATATACGAACATAATAGAAAAAAAAATCAAAACGAAAAAGTAAAAAAGATTTCAACAAGATGAAAGAAACACACACAGAGTCACCGAGCACTGTAAACGAAATATAAATTAATAGAAGAATAAAAAAAAACTGTTCAAAATCACTAAAGAAAATATATTGTTTTTGTTTTAATATTAATAATAGTTCGATGATTGTTATTCTTTTATAAATAAACTGGTTCTCCGTGACTACGTTTATTTTTTGTTATATCTATAATATAATAAAACAAAATAATAAATTTCAATTGAATTCTTTTTTCTTACTTCGTTCATCTTGTGTTTGAACAAAACTTAAATGTGAATTAATTGGAATAGCATGTTTTGCCGAATATCGATAACCATCAATATCAATAACTAAAATTTTTAATGTACGTTCGTGTTTACTGTTTTCAATAATTTGTTCCACTTGAGTTGTCGATAAATATTTCGTATCTTGATCATTTAATTCAAGAACGATGTCACCTTCGTTTATATCAAATATATCTGCTGCTAAACCTTTTTGAACTGATTTAACCGTTAATAAGAAATTTTCTCGATGTAATTTTAAGCCAAAATCATGTTCATAATTATATAAATTTAATTTACACAAACGCGGTTTCATATGACTTGTATTCGATAAGTGATAATCAAATACTGAACTTTCTAAATAACCACCACGTTGTTTTAAGATTTGATATCCTGGACCAGTTAATGTAACAAGTTCAACTTGACCATTTCGTTCAAATGCACGTTGAATTGCTTGTATCTTATCATCAAATGAAATGAAAGTTTGAATATTTTGTGTATCAATGTATAATATATGATCACCTTCACTTAAACCACTATAAAACACAACAAAAATTAAAGATAATGAACAAATTTTTATCCATACCTTCGTTTTGCTGGACTATTGGGTAATACTTCAACGACAATTGGTGTATCTAAATTTTGTTCGTTACTTAATCGAAAACCGCATCCACGAAATGATGAATCACGAGTGAGTACGCATTTACCTAAAATAAATTAATTTATCAGAATAAATTTATTAAAATATTTTTACGTGGTAATGGATCTGTTGGTTGAAATGATGGATCTCGATTGATATGTTCACCATGAAGACGTGATGCTGATTGAGATCTCTTGAATGATGATGGATATTCTTTAATATCATTGAGTGTTTCATTAGAAGTAGTAGTATCCTGATAGTGACGACTATCATGTAATGCTGATACAGATTTCGATGAACGTATTCTTAATGGTTTTACATCATTTGGTACAACAAGTAAACATACAACACCATTGCGACTAACATTTTGGATTAAATTTTCCACCTCTACATAAAATTAATTTCATAGTATACTAATCTTTGACTACTAGTAGAAAAAGGTTAACAAGATAAAATTTCAATCTGATATAGACACTCGAAAAAAAGACTGCTACGATCGAACGAAGATTGTCATATTTTTAAATTTATTCAACATCTCTGATTTTCAAAAACTTCGAGATTGAGTCAAAAATATTCTTTGCTTATTAATAAATTTGAAATATTATGCTCGGATAAGACTAAATCAACCCTACAGCCATTCATATTTTAAATTATATTGAACATTTTTTACCTTCACCCGATTTATTTTCTACATTTGCATTATTTACTTCAAGTAAACAGTCATTCACATGTAAACCAGCTTTATCTAAACAATAGAAACATTTGTAATCGCTTATCAGACATGAATTTTATATTTTACCAGCTGGAGAACCATGTTTAACATAACGAACAACATGTTTATTGTTGCCAGTTTCTAATTGAAAACCACATTGTTGACCAGGATTAATATGTAAACGACAGAAACGAAATACACGTTTTTCTGATACAACATCAACTGCTCCACGTGATAATGATAAATTTTTAGATAAATCAGTCGCAAATGGTGATGGTTTTGCTATTTGATTAATTCCGTATTCACCATGTTTATTATACGATGATTGTTGATTAGCATCTGAAAAATAAAAAATAATTCTTTCTTAAAATAATGATAACTAGAAATCTACTAATAGATGATTGATTGTTCATTTGATTAGTTGTTGCTGATAAATTAGATTTATCTCCAGGAGATAATGTTTTAGTAGGTGTATGTTTTACTATTTCACTTATAACAGTCGTTTTAGAAGGTGTCGGTGATGGTGGTGGCGATGGTCGCCGTGATGGTCGTGTTGATGGTGGTGGCGATGGTCGTCGTGATGGTGGTGGTGATGGTCGTCGTGATGGTGGTGGTGATGGTCGTCGTGATGGTGGTGGTGATGGTCGTGTTATTGGTCGTGATGAAGAACTTGGTGTTGTATACCTAGAATTGAAATATTTAAACTTTCGTTTTTCGATGTATTTAATTTACCGAACACAATTGGCTTTTCGTGATGATGGATCAATAGGATAATTACGAGTTTTATACCATTGATAACCATCATGATCAATAACAAGTAATTCAATTTGGTTATTTGAGTCATAACTGTCTGTGATATTATCTCGAACAGATTCATAATCGTCATTTTCAATATTTTCTCCATTTACTTCAATAATATAATCGTTATTATAAATCTTTGTAAGAGCAGCTGGTGAATTTGTTTTTAGATCTTGTATTTGAAATCCACCATTTCCACCGCGTTTACCTGGTAATTGATTAATATCAAATCCAATTTCTTGATACTGTGGCCCACTCTAACCACAAAAAAAAATACAAAAAAAAATGAAATGGAGCTGAAAACAAAATTAATTTACTTTAATTTGACAAAGACGCATTTCTGGATAAGTTTCATTGACAATAGTACTGGCTTTAGATGACTGTCTTGTAATAGTACTTGGTGGTTTTGGTACATAAGATGTATCATATGGTGGTAACGGTGTCATTGCATCTTTATTGATAACTTCTATTGATAATGGCTGGTTACGTGCATCAGATTCTTCGAATGCACTGCGTAGAAAGGGGTTAAAATCGGCCGCACCCACTTTTGATACATCACGATTATTAACAGTTAAAATATAATCATCCTCGCGAAGACCTTTGATTAAAAAGTAGATTTTAAAATTGAACAGAAATTTTTCTGATGTACTATTTACCATATTTTTCAGCAGGTGAACCGCGTGCAATATTAGTAATCATATGTGGATATGGACCTGGTTGTTTGGAATTTACGCTAAAACCAAAACTCTCACCTGGAGTACGACGAACTTGATATAGTCGTGAGTTTGGTATTGAATTTGCTGCTGCTTGTATTGGATTATGTTTTGCCAATGCTGCTAGACCAACTGGTGTACTGGGTACTTCACTTCGTGTCGGACTTCTTCCTAAAAATAAAGAACATGTTAAAAAAAACATCGTAAAAAATGTAAACTTACTTCCGTTTACTGATGGAGTTGGCGCCGTTGGTCGATAACGATCATCAGCATTACCCTTACCATTATTGTCATACTCATCATCAGTAACATCATCATCTAATCTTGTCGTTTGCACTGGACGGATATGATGAGATGATGCCAATGGTGTGTTATTTTGTTTAAAATTTTTGTATGTTTTCGTATCAAGAACATATAATTTCACATATAAATTTGTTTTTGCTTCTTTCATTTTGTCCATTATATGTTTACTTGGTCGATCATCAACAAACTCATCATTAACTTCAATAATTCGATCACTTTTACGTAATCCTTCTCTACTGGCTACTGAACTTGAATTAACATCTTGAATAAACATGCCAATATCACCATCACCATTAACAACTTCAAAGCCAAGCGGTTCATTATCTTTAGTTAAACGTATTTCACAAGTACGAGGCGTATTTTGAGGAAAACTCTTATAATCAGGTGGCATTGTTGGTGGTGTTTCTAATGTTGTGGCAAGTTTTGGATCAAATTTGGTTTTTTCCTTTATTAATTGATCATACCAACGTTTTTCAACAACTAGTAAATCAATAGTTCCTTTAGAATCTCGTGCTTTTTGAATAGCTGCTGTTAAATCTGCGTACTTGGCCTTGGCTTTAGTCATATCTTTCTTATTAACTTCAATAATAACATCCGAGATTCTGAGACCACCAGCAGCTGCTGGACTATTAGATTCAACTAATCCAACAAGAAATGGTGGTTCTGTTGTGTTTCCAAGACTGAAACCAAGTCCGGTATAGTCGGGCCATTTACGTATTTTGCAAAGACGAAATTTAACAGTACGCATTTTGGCTCTTGGATCGGGTGTAGACATGATAATAGTTGCTTATCGAATTACTTTTTTTTTAATTAAATACAAATAAAAATATCTACAAGATAAACTATCGACAAAAAGAATTCAAATGATATTTATTTTTCTTATAGATGTACATTCATATAAATAGTTTCTTACCTGTGGTTTATGTGTATGCGTTTAGCTACAACTAACAACGAAATAATATATAATTTTGCAGTAATCTTTTTTTTGTAACCACTAAAGTTTTTTTTCTCCCTGTGTCTATCAAGAAAGCTAAACAGTCTGATAAGAACCATATATGTGTAATGTAGATGATATATAAGACAGAAGAGAAAGTAAAAAAAGAACATCTTTACACATATCTATCTTGTAAGTTGGAGAACAAAGAGATATTTCAACTTTTTTTTTTAAGTTGAAAATATGTGAGTTATGGCGTGAAAAGATATACGTATATTCATGTCTCTTAAAACTCACGTATATAACAACAAAGTATATTATAAAAAGATTGAAATCTGATATATGAATTTGTTACTTCTTTTTATCTCATATGCAAAAATTGTCATTATTACTAATTAATTGATTATGTAAATTAATTCTAAATCGAAATTTAGTAGATGACAACACATTAAAACGTAACATTTTCATTTACTTACCCATTCTATTCATATCTTTTCTTTAAACTCTACTGAAAGTTGGTCCTTCACTCTCTATATATTTACAGATAAGATAACAATAGAAAAATAAATAAAACTTTTGATAATATGAATGATGTAAAAACATCAGCTCATCATTTTCGTTTTTCATTAAAACCAAATTTCAAAACAAAATCTATTGATAATCATGTATAATGATCTAGAATCAGTTTATTTGATTCGTCCATAGTTTTAAACTAAAACTATTATTATCAAATGAGAGAGAAAATCAAGTAAATTATAAAATACTACTGCACAAAACAATCGGAAAAGATATATTATTCATAATATGAATATGATGAAATTTTTATAATAATAAAATAGACGTATGACTTCTTGTGATGAAACAACAACGAACTAAATAAAGAATGTAAAGAATTACATGATGAAGGCCAAGTAAATATTATCTTTTGAATAGCTATCTTCTGCCGGTTTTTTCCTTCACTTCTATAATATCACATGAGAATTAGAAAGATATATAATGTTGTGTTTTTCTTTTCCATATATGAAATATTAACGATATATTCACATAAGCAAACTATCGATTATTGATTTTGATTAATTACCGGAAGCGTGCATGTTTATTTCTTTTATAGAATAAAATTTTATAATTTGATTATAGATTATTCAAACCATGATAATACACATATAATTGTTATTCATTTTCTCTTTTATGTTAAACACGAATTATTACTTACGACGCATTTATGTAAATACATTAAACGTAGTGAAGTATTCTATATTTAACTGCTAATTGTTCTTACATAGAAGCTTTTGAGATAAACGGAATATTTATCGTATAATAAATGGAAATTTACTTTAAAATTTTATTAGAAAGCAAAAAACAATATCCTTTTTTTTCTTATTCAAATTGAACATTTCGTTGACGAAATAAATCTTTTAAAATCTCATCCATTTGAGCATTATGACCAGCTAATTGACGTGCTATTTGTACTGACCATTCAAAATATTCTTTAACACGTTGTTCTGACCAACCAATTGGTGTCTCACGATTTAAATCACGTAAATTATATATTTTATCCGCTAGACGAACAATAATAGCATCTGAACTTAATTGTTTAGCATTAAGAATTTGTAAACGTTTACGTTCAGCTTTTGGTAAATTTTTGTCATCAGTTAATTCAGCGACAAGATCTATAACATACATAGAAACACGCTAATAAAAATGAGAGATGAATACCGGCGATTCGAGTTCCAAATTCTTGTTGAAGTTCTTCATGTGTTGTTTCCGTATCTTCAACTGTATCATGTAAAAGAGCAACCTAAATAATAGAATTTATCCCCATAATCAATCTCAATTGAAAAAAAATACCTACAATAAGTAAATCAATATCTTTAATACCAGCTTCATTACTCAAAATATGTGCAACTCCTATTGGATGATTAATATAGGGTGTTCCATCTGAATCTTTTCGTTTTTGAAATCGATGTTTATGAGCAGCAAATTGCAATGCATGCATAAATTTTTCCATATCTATTAAGTATATATTTAAAATATCCCAATTCTATCTTATTCAAAAGCAAATAAATATATATAGTTTTTTTTTTGTAAAGCATTTTTTTGTTATATTTGTTAAATTAAAAAAAATATTATCTAGTAAATATATACAAATGTGAACAAGAAAAATAAAATAAGTATTCATAATATAAATATTTGCACAAAAGTCACCAAATACTGTAGAATAAATAAAAAGATAAGACAAGTAACCCCATTATACCAAGACAAATAAAAATAGAAGCACTTATGTATATTTACGATAAATAAATCATTCATTTTTAACGTTCTTCATCTATTGTTCGTTCAGGTACTTCTTTTATTGTATTTATTGGATATTGCGTTAATTTACCAAAGCTATTACGCATTTTTTTATCATTTCCAAATGAAATATTATTATTATCAACAGATTCAATACTAAATCGATTGTTTAATACTAAAAATTTGAATAAAAACGAATCAAGTGAAATATGAAATCGAAAAAACATTTACCATATGGAACAAGTATTAGCGATGTATTAGATATATTTGTATTTAAATTATTATTGCTATTATCATTTGGAATAGTTGAGTAATATTTAGTTGTCGAATCAGTGAATTTCCCAATAAAATTATCGAGAATTTTATAATTTAAATTTGTATTCAATGTTTCTAATGGAGCAACAACAGCAGTATCCGAACAGATGACTAAAACAAAAGAAAGTAAGGAAAGAATTCAGTTTGAATCTATACATACGTCCGGCTTGTTTACGTTCAAGTAATTTATTCAGATCAGGTGTAGATTTTGCGCCACTAATCACTCTTGTACTAAAAATACTTGTTAACGGAGCATAATTAACTAAACCAAAATAAATTCAAATAATTATTCTTTCAAAAGAAATTTTTTATATACAAATATGTTTATCTGGTGAAGCACCATGAACTGTATTATAATAACTATGTTGTAATGTTGCTTCTATAAAAATAGAATATTATGTTTCCATTATTATATATGTAGATAATATTATAATCAGTAAAATTAAAGAAATAAAACTAAGAAGCAACCCTGTTACAAATAAGCAAATACAAATCATTAAATTAACTAGTATGTATGTGTATATGTGTTATCAAACAGAGCAGATGAATCACACATGATTATTTTATTTTTTGCTAGATTTATCAATACACACGCAACTAGTGTACCCGAATTTCGACGTAAATAACCATCATTATTTTCTGAACCTGATTGTAAATAGAATCTTGCTGGATTAAAACCAGGTATTACACTAGATTTTCGACGTAATTTTCTTGATGATAAAGGATATGATTCAGACTGATGTGTATTTATGTCTAGAAGGAATATTAAGCAGCAAACCCATGGTTAGTATTTATGTTATATTCTATAAATGGCTACAAAAATACAAGAGCAGCACCAAAAAAATACGTAACTACATGTAATTGTCTCCCACCTAAGAGACGACGTGTAAAAACTTTGCCTTTTTTAAAATAATAACATCCAAAAAATATGCGAAGTTTAAATAAATTTAACTTACGTTGTAAATCTGATTCGTCATCTTCAAGAGATTTTGGTTTTAAAACGTAATTATTGTTATGATTATTCGAAACTAGATAGAGAATATTATAATTATTTAAAAAAAGTTGTTAGCGCAATCCCTGGCGGGTGTAAAATATGAAACATGATCTAATTGTTGCTTCTACCTTAAAGAAGATAGTTTCATTGTATCTTTATGAAGCGGATTTTGCCTCATTCTGTAGCATAAAGGTATAGAAATATAGGAAAGAAATAATTTATATATGATGTACTCGCTTTATTAGCGTTTTAACAGTTATGTGACTGTGGATATCTTAATCTTTGCTTGTTTACGTCTACATCCACACCCTATAGAAAGGCCTATGATGCCTTGCCGACCACGGCTGTGACGAGGTTAAGAGAACTTATGTCAGTCATGTCTGTGATTTCGTGTCGGTCACGTCGGTGATGATTTACTACGATATTTCGGCTACTTGTGCTGCTTATGTCGCTCAGGTCTGTGACGCTCTGTCGGTCATGTCGGTCATGTCTGTGATATTTTGTCAGTCACGTCAGTATGAGGGAGGAGGAGTGAGTGCAAATTTCTACCACTTAACACTCCTTTTAGATCGTGTTTCACAAAAGAATTTCATAGATAAATTTACGTTTTGTTGTACTTGAATTAATATCATCAATATTTGTTTGTTCTGATGATCGACTTGTTGTTAACCCACTACTACTTCGATAAAGTGTTTTTGATGATAAAGATCGTTGTTTAATAATTCTCGGATCATTTTTTTCAGGTGATTTATTGCTTTTAATTTTATTTAAAGTTGATTCATCACTTGATTTCGATGATGATAATGATATTAATTCTGATTGTGGTAATGATGATGACATATTTGGTTCTAATTCGATTTCACGTGGTGAATCAGGTATTGGTACTTTTGCACTACGTCTTGGTGGACTATGTGCAGCTTCTCGATTACTTTTTGGTAGAACTGTACGAATATTATTAGGATTTGATGTAACTGAATCGATCTATAAAAGAAAATAAAAATTTTAGTTTTTTGTTCTTCTCTTCAATTAAATAATTTACTTCGGGTGGGACATCGAAACATCCATAAGCTCCAGGTGAAATATGTAATTCCACATGAAAACGTTTTTCTGAATCTTCTTCTTCACTTGAATCTTCATATAACATTATAACAACTTGTGTTAAATAATTTAATTCAGAAACTGTATCTAAATAATCCATTGAACGTTTCCATTGTTCATCATTTGATGTCTAAATATAACAAAAAGAAAATTTATCAATCATTTAATAAATATATGGTTATTATTTACATCTAATAAACCTCCATAACGAATTGCTGTCAGTAGTGAATGAACATGAGATTCACTAGTAAAATAAAGTCGTGTACGAACATGTCGACCAGGTGTTTGAATACCTTTTGAACAACTATAAAAACAAACAAAAGAAAGATTTTTCATATGTATAATAACAGATATATTAAAATACCACATGCATTAACATGCAGTCGAAAAAATCTAATGCCTTTTAAATTACTTTCTTTTATCTTAGCATATGAATATAATCCTTTTACCATTGAATCATCATGGAAAGAAAAAGAATAAAAACAAAAAAAAATAAAAACACCAAAATGAGCCAAAGGAAAAAATAAATAATGCGGCATAGATAAAATGATACCTGATTCGATCGGAATCGAATTGATTCAAGTACCTATGGTTGTTTTTTTTTAATTCTTATATATTTTCTTTCTTATTAATAATTAAATTTAAATATCTTACCTTGGATCTAATTTATTAACATGTTCATCATGAGTAAGAACACCGGTTAAATTACATTGAAGATCTATAAGTAAAAATTTTAGATGTTGGAAATTTATAATTTTGTAATATACCAGCTCGAATTTTTCTAAGTAATGGTGTAACAATTCCACGAGCAATACTTAATTTTTCTTCAACTGTCATACCATATTCCTGAAAAATATTTATTTCGAAATAATAATTTCTATGTTTTTTTTTGAATTCTTTTACTTGTGGTACAACAAGATCAGCTAATGCTTTTGAAGATAAATACAAATCTGTAGCATGAGGAAATTGAACAATACTTTTATTATGAAGTAAATCATATTTTATTGAATCATATATGTCAGGTACTTTTGATATATTAAATTTATCTTTTTGTACATTATAAAAATCTTTTTCTAATTTAACCCCTATGATATAAAATTATTTAATAAGAATAAACTTTTGTTAAAAAAAACAAACATACATCGTCTTAAACATAAATCCCATGTTTCGGAATGATAAAGTGTGTCTAAAATATATAAAATTAATAATAGGGAAACGTTTTTAATATTGAATATACCTGAATTTTCTTTATGTGAACGTGATCGAATAAGTACAGTCATTTCACGTATATATTCAAATATTTCTCGACATTTAGTAACAGGATTTTTAATATATCTCATGGATGATATTAATGATCGTGAACCAGTGGGTGCAATTACATTAAAATCCTCATTTGTAAATTCTCGATCTTTTGCTAAACGATCATGTAATGTTTGTTTAACTTTTTGTTGTTCTTTTGTTGAATCAACATCATTATCAAGTAGACCATTTGTATTTGCACTTTTAACCATTTGTACAAGTATAGGTGGTAATTCACCATCAAGTGCTAATAAACCTTTTGCAAATGCAGCAGCTGTCATTTGTACACGACCTTCATCTGAAGCATAAATTTTTAAATCATGCCGAAATGTGGAATGTAAACGAAGAAGACCAACATCAGGCCGATCACCACCAGCACCTTGCCCACCGGGATACATTTTACGAAATGCCTAATAGAGATTATTATATTAAACAAATATAAGAAGAAGATAGTTTTACTTTTCCAAGCGCTTCAGCTTGATTTTTTCCTGTTTGAGTTAATTGTCCACCCCATTTTACTACTAAGAGTAATGATGGTTGTGATGGAATGTCAACGGTTTCTAAAAAAAATTATTTTGTCTACAAATAAATCTTAAATTTACTTACCATCTTCACTACTGGATTTTTTTGGTAAACCTTTTGGTAAATATTTTAATTGAATTTTTCTATTAATACCAGAAAAATGTCCATATAATTCTAATACTTGTTTCAGTTGAAGTAATTTTCCTTTTGTTTCAGGTGAATTAGGAAATTGCTAAATTTAAAAAATAGTTCATATGGTAAGAAGTAAAACTAATTAGTTTTTCTTACATTTATTTGATTATCATCAAGTTCTTTTAATAATGTTCGAGCAATATCAAGTACTTCCTAAAAAATAAGAAAATCAATTATTATTTTAATAAATTGAAAAAAAACTAACTTGTAATTGACCAGGGTGTTTTAATTTCAAATGACCTGTCTTTGGTCCATTATATTTTTCAAATAATTGAAAAAATCTGTTATTAAAAAATAAATCATTCAGAAAATGAATATATATATGTGCATATAATCTTACAATGGATGTAGAACAGCCATTTTCATTTTTTGTTTTGGTGTTCGATCACCATGTCGAATAACAGCAATAACACAACGAAGTTCCATTCTTGTACCAAATACAGTTGGTACAAATGGTGGATCATCAGGTTGATAAGCTATTGGATATGGAATCGCATATGCTGATGAAAGTTCTCGCATAATCATATGTCTTAAAAAGTAACAAAAATAAAAAGAGCTCATTAAAATTTCTTTAACAATACCCAAGAATCGATGCACAATCATCATAATATTTTGTACTATTTTTAACAAAACTAAAACCATTTACATCGCAAACAAATGATTTTCCTTCAGCACGAAGTAAATCAAAACCACATACAGTTTGCTTAAAATAAATAAAAGAAAATTAGTTTCTATTTTGTTTTAGGATATGTATAAACTTATATACTTTAAATGCTAAACATATTTTCATAGCAATTAATTTTTCATCAGCACGTAATATAACTGGATAACGTACTTCTTTACCAAATTCATCTCGTTCAACTTTACCATCAAGTCCAGGAGATTTTCTTGCTTCAGCATGTGCATATTCAGCACCGACTGTATAAACCTATAGGAAAAAAATTATTATTTATATAGGAAGATTCGAATACATACTTTAACATCTGTACCATCGGTTGGCATAAATTCTTCATAAATATATGAACCATCTTTACGAATATTATTCTCTGCTGTGTATACACTACTTCGACTGCCAATCTAAAGGAAAAATATTTCCGGTCGAGAAATTTCAACAAAAGTCATGAATAAAGACCTTTCGAAATAATCTTTGTGAACCACCACCAGCTGACGATGGAAAATAAATATAAACATCATGATTTTCCGCTGATACAGGTTTCTCTACGAATGGTTTATGAAATATTTCTCCATCAATTTCAATTTGATCATCTTGTTCATTAACAGTAGACAATGTTTCCCATGTTCCGTCTTGAGAATAAAAATGAAAAAATCTAATTTAATAAATAAAATATTTATTTACCTATATTTAAAATTCTTCGAATTACACCATAACGTGGTTGTACTATACCAGCATCTTTAAGTATTTCATGTACTTTTATACGATCCATAATATCCCATTGTTTATCAAGATCATTGATAAGAAATGGTTGATGAAGACGTGCATATTCTTGAGTTTTACCCAATGGAAATCCTTTACTATGGAAACTCATTAAAACATGACAAAATGGCCATTCTTCAACTGGTTTTTCATGTATAGTTGTTTCAGGAAAAATATGTATACGAAGAAATTCAAATTGTTCTAAACGACGTAGAATTTCTTCCATTGGTTTAGCTTTGATTTTTTTCCATTGTGCACAAATACCAACAGTTATATAACGACAACTCTCCTAGTGAGATAAAGAAAAGAAATAGAATTTTTATTTAAAAATTAAAATTCAATATATACTTCGCTGTCATTTAAGGTATTATGATCTTCCTCAATACCATCAGATTCATCATCATGTAAAGATTCATCACCATATTCATCATACGTAATATCTGCATTATATTCACTCATTTCTTTATTATTATTAGTATTATTATTATTGTTATTCAATTAAAAAGAAAAAAACATCCCTATCGATATATTGATTTACGTTACATCTGTTTTTAACTAGCAGAATTTTCTCATCATATATTGGTTCGTTCTGAAACCTATATGCATGTGATTAACGCCCTCTGTCATTATTATGTTTTTGAGTCACTAGATATTGGACAAGATAAATTCAACCCATCACATGTTATATGTGTATTTGGAGAGCCGGTTAAACCAAATTTTATCGTGTGTTTTTTAACATCATTATCATCACCACATGAACATCGACAATTAAATTTATATTCAGGTGTAACAATCTAAATGAAATTAAATAGAATGAATTTATTTTTAAATATATATATAATCAGATCTATAATAGAATCCATTATCGAAAGTATACTTAGAATTAGTAAGGATATTGCTTGAAGTAATTCAGGATATTTGTCTATAACTAGAACATAGGGACGCTAGAGAATGTCTAAAAATACCAGACTAGTCTACTTAACATATTACGCATGATCAATGATACACCGGAATAGCAATTTATTGAGGTAAATTATGAATTCTAAAGAAAGTTAATCTTTTAATTTGAAAACAATTATTTTGACATTAAATAGATGCATTGATGCATGTACGCTCAGTCTGACAACAATAATTCAAAGAAATGCGGTCTAATTGTTTTTCCATGTATTTTCCTATCGTAAGTGATCAATCTACTTAAAAAAGTCACGACTCAGGAAGAACAACAGATAGATTCTATTCTATGAATAAAATAAGATTTTCTTGGGATATATAATTTATTTACCATTTCATATAAATCATGTAGTAAATTATTATCTTGAAAATCACAATTAGCTATTTTCTTTGTTGTATCACAGTAACAATTACAATCGAGAAATTCTAATTGAAATTTATCTTTAATATAAACATGTGGTTGTGGTAAATTTGAATTATTTACAGAAGATATTGTATTATTATTCAATGGATCATCGATAGCATTACAACTAACACGTGAACCCATAGGATAAGAAAAATAAAGAATGATTTAATTATTAAAAAAACAAAATAATAGAAAGGCGCTAGGAAAAATATCGACAATGTAAACAACATTAAGTAAATAGTTCATTTAATCTCTGTCTTTTTCGTCGTCTTCTTCGAAATGTTGTTAATATCGTAGTTGATGCTATATTTTTATTAGATAAATCCTGATTTAAATATCGTACATCAATAATTTGTGATGAAGGTATTGATCGTTTACTCGTCATACTTAATATAATTATGAGAATAATAATTCCTATTGTAAGTATTCCAAATGCAGAATAACGAAATCGTTGCCAGAAAATATCACGTTCTTGAGTTTTTCGATAATTTGTAATACCTAAAAAAACTCTTTTTCTATTTATAAATTATTATCCTCGATGTCTAGACGAATCAGATTTTCTCCACATGTAATCTATTCTTGATATAATAAATGTCTATCCTATACTCATTATATCAATTAACATATTGTTAATATTAATAAATAGAATATGGTTGAGTAAAAGAAATTGACATGTAGTGCATGTCAAATTTGTCATGAATTTTGTACTAGGAAGTGATCTTATGATAATTTTTATTTCTATTAGACTTTCTATTTATAGAAAAAAACAACATTTCAACAGATGTTTAAGTAAAAATTTTGTTAATTGAAATTGACGTCAATGCATGCTTCTAGAAGATTCTAGGTACTATCGAAAGAAGACATGTATATTTATTTGAATTGAAAATTTTACCAAATACAAGATTTTCATTTTTACTAAGCATTTCTTCGGATCGATATTGTAATTCATCTAGTTGTTCACGTCGATTTACTACATGTTCAAGTGCATATCGAAGATCATTATCAGTTTGATCAACTATTTTATGCATAGTATCTAAATGTTCTTGACTTTCTTGTGCAGATGTACGATTATTTAATACTATAGCTGATTTAATATTTAAATATGATGATGGTGAATTCTGTTTTTCTAATGATTTTTCATTATTTATAATAATTGGTACTGATCGACTTGATTTCAATGATAATTTACCGAGCATTTTTTTTGTGGTTCAAAATTATTCAATATTTTCTTCATGTAAAAGATTCAAAAATTTCTTTTTTTTTTAGTTAAAACAAAATTCCTCTATAATTCCATAATAGAAAAACAAAGCGCGTAACAGTTTGACTGTTTCTAGATTTATTTTTATTATATACAATGTAAAATATTTATTTACGACCAACTCGAAATGACCATTGATACCGTAATTGTTGTCGTGATCGAAATCGAACATAACAACATAGAGTTTCAATAATAGCTTGACGAAAACTACGTGAACTATATACATATAGAAAAGGGTTGAGTAAGGAATTTATATAACCAAACCAAAATATAATGATTTGAAGTGAATTTGGAAATTTATTTGGATAGAATATCATCGTCGGATAAGATATTGTAAATGGAAGCCAACAAATAAGAAAAACAGCAAGTAAAATTCCTATAAAAAGAAAAGAAAAGATTAGTTTTTCTTTTTAATATTATATACTTTAATAGGCTTCATTGAATATGAATAGTATATTCTTAATTGATTATAAAAAAAAATCTTTTGTTTAATCTTAATATAATAGTCTTAGTTTCCAAAAGAAATTTTAAAGGCTTTTACATCTTTAATATAGTTTCTATTAAGATAAAATTATGTGGGCGTATATGAATATATGGGAACGGGTCAACTCGTCATGATTTTTTTTGACAGGGCTTTCGTAACGAAAGTCGTGTCAAAAAAACGTGACGAATTGATACGTTCTCGAATATATTATCAAAGAAACAATTAGTTGACTAACATCAGATTATTTAACTAGTCTCACGTTCTTCACTTATTACTAGTATCTCTTTTTTATAAAATGTATACCTAGCATTCGGCTTGCTTTTTGATTTCGTCTTAAACGGGCTTTATGTCTTTCATGCATAAATTGTGCGACTGCACGTTGACTATAACGACTTGAATGATATGATGTTGATAAACCTGATTGTTGTGTATGACGATTTAAACGACGATGTTCTTCATCAACATTATTTTCGAATGATGAACTATGTTCTGATAAATCTGTTGGTACAATAGCAGTATTACCAAGACATTGAACAGATGAATGTAAATGTGATCGATTACGATCAGTTGTTACAGAATTTGGACGTGAATTAGGATAATGAGTACTATTATTAATAGTTCGATGTTGATCTTCAATAATTGCTTTTGTTATAACTGTTTGTGAAGGATTTTGATTTTGATAATAATAATATGATACACAACGTGCTGCTGGTAATGATGATGTACGTGTACTATGACGAGCTCGAACTAAGTGTTGTTCTTCTTCTTGATTATTATTATTTGAATCATGTTTTAATCGATTATCTTCAATTCCATCATTACAAAAACGTTTTTGTCCTGTAAATGTTGCTGTTGTGGCATTTCGAGATGAATAATGATAAGAAGCTGCTGATGATAATGTTCTTACTTTTAATAAATTAGTATTTATATTTCTAGTAACTGTTGCTGATCGTCCTTTAGATGTAATATGATGATATTCATTCGCATGTTTTCGAGTTATTGATACTTTATTTATTACAATGGGTCTTTCATTGGTACGTAAAGATTCTTTGTTAGTTGATTTTCTTGTTTGACTTCGTTGAAAATATTTATAAATAAGAGAACGTAATGATGTAAATGACATAGATATTGATGAACTGGTATTTTTACTATTCCGAGTATGATCACCAAAGATCGATGTTGTGTTGCCTGTTATAACGGATGTTTTCAAATCATTAGACGATGTACTCATATCGATTGTGTCCCAAGTACCTCGTATCTATAGAGAATAAAACAAAACAATATCATTGTAAGTGATCTATTAATTTAAGTATGACTAATTTTAATTTTCTTTTTGACTTATTTAATAAATAATAAGAACGGATGTTTTTTTCAAAAACTCTTTTTGAGTACACTTCAAATGAAAGAGTAAATTACGTTTATAAAATATTACTTATTATTTTTCTTTTGTATATAATTATTACTGGAAGTAAAGAAGAATAAGAAATTTTATACAGGAAATTATTTAGATCTTTTTTTTTAAAATATAAAACAAGGTGATAACAAATTTCCTTAAGCATGTAAAGTCATGATTCATATCGGATATCTATATCTTTTGTTTAATATATAATCTAGGAAATAAAATTCAAACAACTTACTAATACTTCAATATTTTTTATATTCACGATGATCCGTGAATAACAAGCAAGCATAAAGAATAGTGGTATATAGTAGAAAAGTGAACATAATATAAGTATAACAAATGGAGGTGCTGGATGTACACAGGATGGTTCATTTCTATTATAACGGTGCGCAATAAATATTGAACCTGGCCATATGGCAAAGGGAATAGCCCATGAACTGATTATAAATATTAATATAGATGAATAAGAACGATTACGTAGATGAAAATAAGGTGCTAAAAAAGAAACAACGTCATTCAACAAATAGAAAAAAATATTGAAATAAAATACCAGTTAATGCCCAATATCGATCTAAAGCCATAGAAGCAAGAGTAAGAAATGATGCTGTTGAACATGTAAAATCAATTGCCATCCAGACATAACAAAGGCGATAATCATATGGCCAACGTAAATGTAATGAATGTACTATCATAAGTGGCATGACAAATAAGCCAACAAAAAAATCTGCCAGACATAAACTGACAATAAAATAGTCAGAATAAGATCGAGCATGAAGTCGAAATTTAACTGAAAGTAATACTAATCCATTTCCTACAAAATAAAATAAAATCACGTTTACTTTTTTTTTTCGATTAGGTCAAAGTAACTTTTAAATAACAAACCTAATATAGTTAGAAGAGTAATCACACTGCATAAAGTAAGCACGCTGATTGTTCTAAAAGACCATATCCAGTCAGGATTTTCAGTAATATTTGAATTATTACTAATAGAAGTCATGCATAAATTTCAAATGGCAAATTAAATAATGTATCTAGGTCAATTTACAACTATAATTCTATAGAAATCGAAAGATTTCATAGAAATTCTTATATTAATAATAACGAGACATTATAGTATGGATTGTGTCGAATACTAAATGGTACGACAATAAGGATAATCACATTAGAGGACGGATATAGATAATTCGTCGATCTGGAAAGAAAAACACAAAAACATTAACAGCAGGTAATTTTAAATAGATTGATTGAGAAAAATTCCTAATATTTCTTACTAATGAAAAAGAGAAAACTACACGGGTGATGAATGGAAACTACGTAGTGGATAGAAACGCATGTAAAAGAGACGATGTGAGATTACGCATTAACAAAAATTAATGTTGAGCTGCTTAGTCTTTTCTTTTTTCTCTTTCTTTTCTACTTGTTGTAATAAAAAAAGAAGAAGAAAAAGCAAGAACGATATAGAAAAATGTATAGAGTATAAGTAGTAACTTCATTAACTGAAATACTCAATATAGAAATATGAAGCATTTTTTACATCTTTTCTTATTATCATGACAAGAAAGGAAGATAGAAAAGTAATGGAATTCTCTATTGTACTTTTCATTGAAATACTACTTTGTCTTTTTTCTTTTTTTTTTCTTTAATATGTTGAAGAGACTTATTGAGTAGTACAAGTAGTAGACAGATATCTATCATTTTTTATTGAAGCGATCATGGTCCTAGGTTTTTTTATCGTTTGATAATATCATTTTTCTTAATGACTATTATTATCATCATAAGAATCTACCTGTCACTAATCGTTAATGAATAAGATTGATTTTTAAAAAGACGTGAGACAAAATATCAAAAAACAAATGTGTAGAAACATCGACGAGAGAAAAACATACTGGTAGGGATTATTCTGATTTCGTCATGTATCAAGATGAAGCATCCGATTGATAATGTATGTGTTAATTTAATATAAACTTTCAAGTGTAAATAAGACGGTTTCTCGTCTTGTTCGTTGTCTCACAACTCTATAAGTACTTCAGAAAAGATTTATTGACAAATCATTCATGTTTGTTGTTGATTTTATCTCTATGCTAGAAATCGGTCAAAGGAAAAACGAATCTATCAATACAATTCGGACAATACTATGGATTTTGAAAAAGACTAATAAACTATGATTATTTATAAGAATGAAAAAAAAAGCTTGAAATCTCTTTAAAAAAATGAACTTGCCAGTAAATTGTAAGTCATTCTTTGCTTGAAAAGTCTATAGACAAGCTGAAGAGGAAAACGTAAATTAAGTGTATAGACAAACGTGTGTGTACTAAGATGATGGAACTACATGCGTAATAAAGTTCACCAATCAAATACTACGAGTATTTGACGAGTCTGAATACAAAAATGATGTTGACTTCTTTTTTTGAGGATGTAACAATTGAAACAAAAACAAAATGAATGAAAACTGCTTGCTTATGCATGTCTTAGTACGAGACAGGAAATGAAATTAGTTATAAAAATAATAATACAAAAATCTACATTATCGATTTGATTTAGTCATCGTGTTATTACGCATATTAGTAAACTAGACATATACAAAAACAGATAAATTGAACTAAATGATAATTATCATAAAATTAACTACAATTCTGAGTTTTTCTAAAAAGGAAGCGTAATATGATATTTTTTTTATAACAGGTACTTATTACTTTTTGTTTTTTAGCCAGACAGTATATTTACATCACAAAAAGAAAAACGTCATTGATTAGTCTGCACGAGTGCGGAATCTTTAGGTTTTTATATATAATGCACTTTTTCTTGTCTAAATGAAACAAAATTACTAAAATGTCATACTGTATTTTCAGTCAATATATTGAAGAATCTTGTGACGATGGAAATATATTTTTGTAAATGACAAATCTCTTGGGTTTTGCTATGTATATATGTCAATGGTGGATGTTTGTGTGCTTCACTAATTTACTAGCAAATAATAACGATTGCTAAAAGTTAGAAACTATAACAGAAGAAGAAAAAAAAGGAATGGTGTATGACGATAGATCAACAACAATGGCGCCTAAACTCATTCTATTATACAAGCGAACTACTAATCGACGTACTCAATTTATTTTTTCTACATCGTTTCTTCTATTACCATTTCATTTAAGAACATTAGAAAGAGAATAGATGCACTTGCCGGTAAAATGGGTCCATCTTTATTATTGATTGTTACTCTACCTTACATTAATAAATGAGGAGAAAAAAAAATCATATAGTTTTACAAGCATGTCAAAAGCAATGAAAACTCATAAGACTATCTTTGCTACACCAGTACATATCTACATATATAAATAATTAATTATATTTTGTTTGTCATGCTCTCAAGAATAGGCAGAAAAAAAATCAAAATAACATGCATGCAAAACGTCATTCCATTTGTTTATGTGATGAAGGCAAGTCATATAGATAGACACATGAATTGATTCCACATTCAATTATAGAATACATGCATCTGATCAAACAATCAGATATTTATATCTAATATACTTGTTGTCAATAGAAAAGCGCTTATTTTCTCTGAAAAAAAACTTCTTTTGAATGTCTATTCATATAATGGCGATATGCTTCATAGAATATTCTGATATATACGGGGTTTTTCTTTGACATTTAATTATAAAATATGTATATCAATGTCAACTACAATCAAAAAACATGCATATATATATTCATATAGAAGATTTATGTGATCTATAGTTTTCATGTAAATTATAAAACAAATAAAAAGATTGTTAAATAGTTCCGTGGGATTTTTACATACTTAACTATTTACATTTATTATTTTTTTGCTGACGTCATAGATAAAATCTTCATTCTATATGAAATAATATTTTATTTATATTTTGAACTTTTTTTTTTTTATAATGACATGTTTTCTTTTTGTCTGTATAAAAAACATTCTTTTCACTTTACTCGATATTTATTTATTTAAGTAAAAGAAGTAGATATAGAAAGAAAAAAATAAGACAAAAGAAAATTTTTTTTTGTTATTATCGACAATTAAAATTAAGTTGAGTTGGATGTGAATATGCACGTGTCATTTCAAGTTTTTTCTTTCGTTGAATATCAATTGGAAAACAATTCCAAAACCGAATTGTTTCATCAGCTGACAGACTAACAATTGGATTTCCTCTGGGACTCATTATTACCGATAGAATTCGTGATGTGTGTCCTTATAAATAAAATAAAAAACGTTATTAAAATATTAAAAAAAGTAGGAACATTATGATCTTTACCACGCAATGTATGACATTTTTCCATTGATGGATAATGCCAAATACAAAGATCATTACTTGGATGACCTTGACCAGTTATAATTTGTTTATAATCTGTTGACCAAAGAATTGATGAAATCTAAAATAAGAAGGATTGTTTTTTCTTTATAATATAAATCTATTTTAATTAAACTTGTGATTCTGTATCAATAGATTGTTGACATGTTCCATTGTTATTATTCCAAAAACGTAAATAACCATCGGAATGACCACCGCCAGTTGCTAATAATTTCGAACCTTCCCATGGACACCAAGCAATAGCCTTGAATAAAATTATGAAAATAGAATTATCTCTTTTTTTTGAAATTACTTTAACAGCTGCTTTATGTTCTTTAAAATGCCACAAAGGTTTTGTACGCGAATTTCCTCTTGTATTATTATCATCAGTTGGTGGTAATAATGATGAAAGACCGTCACCAACTGTTCCATTGTTCATATCTCCATTTGAATACCATTGATGAAAATCCCAAACACAAACAGTATTATCATTACTACCACTAGCTAAATATCGTCCATTAGGACACCATTTCAGACCACAAATTTCTTGACGATGATGTTGGAATTTAATAATACATTCTTTTTGGCGTACATCATATAAAATTATATCACCTGTATTACGTGTACCACTAGAAAAGCAAAAGTTGTTAGACTTCTAATCCTAAATGAATAGAAACGTTGGACTATCATGCAAAAACTATAGTTTTATTATTAAGATCAGTAATAATCTGGAGATTTTTTAATCAAATCAGTTTCATTGTATTTTAAATATAGTTTTTATTAATGAAATATAAAACCAACGGCTTGTTCTTGACAGCAAGGTTAGACTAATAGTTAAAATAGAAACTTTAACCTTATAGTACGCTTACAGTACTGTCTAAAATAACTATGTCTTTTTTCCTTATTATAAAAAGAATCATTATAGACAAATATTTTTCTGCTCTAATTATTATATTTGTTTGATGTTATAAATACTATGCAGAATTATACGTCATATGAATAAAGAAAAGTTCCTATAATACAAAATAATATTTAGAATATGTAGTACTGCATTGGATTTTCATATAGAAAAATTCCGAAAGGATAAACACATTTCACTTTCAAATAATTGAGCGATATTTACAGTTAATGTAAACATATCCCTAATAGTATATGAAAAATAAATTTTCTTTTACCAAGCAATAACATTTTGATTCCATGCAAGACTTGGGATTCTATCATCGTCATCAAGCATATTATTACTAATTAATTTTCGTTTGCATGTTTGTTTCTTAACATCATATATGTGTACTTGTTGACAAGATGTTCCAATAGCAAGATAAGGTGCTTGATTGTGCCATGAAACACTTGATATGTATTGTGTTTGTTCATCATCATCTTCATCATCATTTGATTGAAGTTCAAGTAATTTAGTTACATTACCGGTAGCATCGTTCCAAAGGAAAACACAATTTAATAAAGCAACAGCAATCATATTTAATGTTTTACCCCAATCAATTAAATTTAAATCTAATTTAAAATAAGAAGATTTAAGATTTTAAATAAAATTATATTTACAAAAATCATCAACTAAATCAGGTGCATCAAGAATGCGTTCTGGTGTTGAACTGATATATCGTTCTTTTGATGTGATTGTTAATGCTTCGATTTGTCTAGCAAGATCACATGGATCTAGTAAAATTTGTTATTTATATCTAATTGAAATAAATCACATACCTATTGGTCTGGGTTGAAGTGTTTTAACACCAAAATTATAAATTCGTCGATTTTGTGGCAAAAAATGTTCAAGTAATTCCATTGTTTTCTTTGCTGAATTTGTTTGTACTTGTTGATTTGTTCGTTTTTTAATACGACGTTGTTGACTGATTAAAGTAATTTGTTCGTTATTTGATGATGTTACATGAGACTTGTATTGAAGATTTCCAGAAACAAGCATATCAAGTGCAAAATCACAATCAAGATCAATACGACGTGGAATAAATCTAATTAGAATAAATATGATTTATAATAAATCAACTGTGCGAAAATAAAGCTCTCGAGAGAATGCACACAGGCCATAAGGAATTCTCAGAATAAATGATTCATTTTAGATTTTGGAGATTGATCAGTTAACTTCAAAGCTACATATATATATAAAATAATTTATTACCTATCACCACGTAAAACGTTAGGTACATCTCTTCGAGCACGTACAGACCATGCTTTTGGTTTTTTGCTTGAAGATATTCTTGCATCATCTGCCATAGCAAAATGATTAGTACGTGAAGAATTATTTACATTATCATCATCATCATCATGAAATGGACTACGAATAACACGTCGATTGATTTCCAACAAGCTAAGACCTATACGATATTTAAAATAAATACTGAAAACGTTCTTCAAAAGAAAAACATACTTCGTTCCATAGGAAATCGTTTTGGAGTTAACATGCCGATATGTGTCATTTGTGGTATTTCTTGTTATAGATCATAAACTGTTTAACTAGTCAAATATAGTTGTGTCACACAAAGAGCTAGAGAATGAATCATTGATCTATTCTTTTATTGGATAAATTTGAAAAATGAGGAAAAAAATGACATAGTAAAATAATGGCTCGAAAGTATCAGGAAATTGACAAAGAAATTCGAAGAATTGAAGGACAACTTCTCGTTGCAAAACAAATATGTCGAGAAAATGTATTTATATATCTTTTAAAAAAATATATCAAAAATATTTATTTTCAATAGGTTAAAGAAATCAATCATTTAAAAAGCCAACAAAAGAATGATTCTATTCTACAACAAATAAACGATCTCTTATCAATTAAATCACTTAATTCCGATGAACATGCCGATCAATTTAATAGATTAGTAAGTAGAACAAAAAAATTCTTCTGTATACGATTTTTTTGTCATTAGCTTCATTTAGTGTATGAACAACAAACCGTTAGTTTAGATAATACAATACAATATGATGAACAAGAAAAAAAGGTATGATCTGATCTTAACAAGACAAAAACCGTATTCCGATATAAAATTTCATTTTTAAGAATAACTCTATTCGTTATATATATAAATCCCCGTAGGTTTTATTAAATTAATAAAGCTCTTCATGTCTAGAATGAACAGTGCAATTCATTACTTGTTAATCTTTCATTAAATATTGCTGAACTTGAATCAATATTTGATAATGCCAAAACTTTATTTACACAACCAATTACATCCGTTAATATGTTCAATAGTAAGTGAAATGAGCAAATAAATATTTATATGAATTAATTCATTATCTTTAGATAATACGTCACTTCAAGAAATTGCAGATGATCAGCTTTCTGATACTTATATTAAAGAACGAGATTCAATTCAAATTTATGACCTTCAAAAACGAGTTGAGATACTACATAAAAGACTTGCTGATACTGATCAATGTGATGATTGTTTCATACAATAAAAAGAGTTCTGTTTTTTTTCTCTCTAAATAATAAAGCGCGTTAGATATTTTCATTTTTTTTTTTCGTTTGTAAAATGTCTGATTCTAGAAATAATGATTGGCAAAGATCAACTGGTGAGTATAGAATGATTTTACATTCAGTTCATATATAAAAATAAATGAATTTACGGAAGATTTATATTCATATATCGATTTTCTTAGCATTAGCATTTACAGGTGGTGGTCTATGTGGTTATTTAATTCGTTCAATACGTCCTATTGCTATATTAACATCAATGATAACTGGTGCTGCACTTGGTTCTTTAGCTACATATGAATATTTTGATAACGAACAAAAACATTTATCTTGTCAAAAATTACCACAAATTAATAATTTTCAGATTAAAAAGCAACACCAAAATGAATATTTTCCGAAATAAAAATACGTTATCGTCACATCGATTTATCGTATATATATAAATGGATGTTTATAAGAAACAAAAAATAAACATTAACAGACACACACTGTTCAAGACAAATAGAAAAAGAAAAAAAAATTTTTTGGTTTTAATATTTTGTTCAAAACAATTAACGATCATTTACATATATTTGTAAATATATTCATTCTCTACATTAAGTAAAAATTAGTCATGATACTATACAATTGATTTATCAGACATCTATATATATATATATAATTTCTCTATTGTTTTTCTTTACCAATGTGCATTATGTATATCAGCTACTTTTGTAAGAAACTCTGCATGACTTGCGTATAAGGGCGTTTCCGAACCAAGATCATGCCAAAAAGCTTTTGAAGCATCACTACCACCATGAACTTCAATTAATGCCAAATGTTCATTATTTCCATCATGAAAATTGTACGCTAAAAAGATTCAAATCGTTTTATATTTGCTAACTATAGACTTATGTACTTCAAGTTCGAATTTGTTCATGTTTCTATTTTTTCCTTCCTTTCATAGATTTTATTTACATAACCTTCACATAATTTATAATCAGTCATTATTTTTGCAAAAGAAACACTTCAAAATTGAGAATTTATTCAGTAGACAACTTCGTCGAAAATCATTGTTAAAGAAATTTTATTTTCAGTATACTATCGGACTTTTATAAACGTTAATTAAATTTCCAACGAGAAAAATATCCGTCAACTATTAAAATCTATCAAAAAAAACGTTGTTTTTTCATAAATATTGATTATGTATCTAATAACAGACATCATGATATGTATTTACAGACACTCGATATAACTCCTAATTAAAGTCTATAAAAATAAGAGCTATTTTTTTGTATTCTCACCTGTTGTTTCCATCCAGCTATTATCTGTATTTCTAAAAAAAGAATAAATCGACTGATTATAAAATAATTATATGAATTATTTTAAATACCTTGGATCATCAACATAACCACAATATATTCTAATTCCACCATTTTCAAAAACATCTTTTATTGTTGCTAATAAATTATGTTTACTACGTTCATCTAAATCTGGAAAATTAAGTGTTTCTTCATGAAATTCACGTTGTAATGTGTCAGTAACTTTTTCTTTTTTTTCAACCATTCCACCTGGTATAGCATATTCATTTGTATCTTTACGAAGTATACAAACAAATTCTAAAATTTGTTTTTGCGTTCTAGGATGCACCATTATTTGACCATTTTGATCACGTTTCCAACGTGTTACTATTGGATCAGCAGCATGATTTGGACCGAAATGACCTGAGAAAAATAAATAAAATTTTCTTTTCATTATTTTTAAATAAAAAGTATACCAAGATGTCCTCGTCCAGTTAAACCAGTACGTCCACATGGATTTTGTGGTACACGTCGAACAACTTTATATGGTCCATGATAAGATCTTCTATCACATAAGCGATCATCTAAATTCCATGGTATTTCTACTTTTGGATCATCTCGAGGATCTTTATCAACATATTCTTTGGTGGATGTTTTAACTTTTTCCGATGTAAATTCAACCGGTTGATACTCATACGAGGTTGACCAATTTATTTTATTATTTGGTACAACTGCTCGATATACTGCTGGTTGATCTTTTGTACCTGTACGAGTATATTTTGCATTAACACATGTGTTTTCAGATTTCGATGGATCACATCCTTGACCACAATTACGACATTTATGATGTGGGGGAATACGATATACTTCACGTTGATCGATACGCGTATTCAAATGAATATTGAAACGCGAAAGAAAATTACCCATGTTTTTTATTCAGATATGTAATGAATAGTAGAATAATAACTGTAATATGATTATCATCTAAAAAACATTTTCCATGTAACACATGAAATTTATTCCTATGCTTTCGGTTACTATGGGCTTCTATATATTCAAGTGTTTGTACGGTTATGTATGACGTCACATCCCTTATTCATCTTACCTACTGACGTTAATCGCCTACACGTGTATATAAAAAATAAAGGTTGTTTTGTTTCTCAAACGAAAAGGAATCAACTAAAGACAAGGTTTTCTTCTATCAGGTGTTTTATTCATTAGAAAACATTATTCACTGTTTCATTTTATCTTATGATGTGTTGCTAGGTAACCAAGAAAAAAACTCAGAGAAAAAAAGAATTTCTCAAGAAATTTTTCCGTTCTGTCATATCTAGAAGAAAAAGAAATATTTTTTTTTTTTGCTTTCTTTTTTATTGTATACATCTTGTGCTTGTATATCACAGAAAAAGAAAAGAAGGCAGACTACAAAGAGGTGTGGACCATCCATTGCATACAAAAAAAAAAGAACAACAAAAGAAAAACAAACGAGATTCTTCATCATAATAATAAACAGAAAAAAAAGTGAGAGTACAATTTATTCGAACTGAATTAATCTTCATTACCCAAACATAATATTTAATTCACTGTATTCAGAAAAAAAAACATTTATATATATAGAGAAAGAAAAATTTATAATTGCTTTATTATAAACGAAAAAAAAAAAGATATAGCAGCCAGAACAAAAGAAAAAATAATGATAAGAATCAGTTTAAATTATTAGAAGAGAATGTGCAAGAAAAAAATTTCGAAAGAAAAACTTTATTTATTAAATGCTGATGCAACAGCCCACATAACATCCATTTTTGAATCATATTTACTTGTTTCTTGATCAGGATCAAGATCAAGTAATTCACGTACATGTTTCATAGCTACTTCATAATCTTCATCTGATAAAGATGTGAATGCATTTTCAAGAACATCTAGAAAACAAAATATACAAAAAATTCTATATGGATTTATTTTTCTTCTTACCACTTGAATGTGCAAGATAGATCAATGCTAATATACGTCTATCTATACGACGTGGATCATTTGGCCAACGTGTTAATACACTATCTTGAAGTTTTTTTATTAATTTCATTTTATGTACGTTATCATTAAGTGGATGTGTTGTCATATCAAATAAGAAAAAATTTTGTTTTTCTGTTGTACATATTCCTTTATCAACAAGATTCTTTGCTAAACGTTCACGAACATTACGTAGTTGATATTTTAATTTTAACGGATTCCAACATTCACCTAGAAAATAATAAACTATTTTATATGAAAAGTAATTCAAAAAGATTGTGCTCTATTGATACGAGTACATTTTCATGTTCTTCTATATTTAGATTGGCCTCAAAAGGTACACAATTTATTACGATTCTCAATAATTTTCAAATAAAAAAAAAGAACTACGATACAATCCTTCTTCGAAATAATACTAGTACATACAAAAAGTACGAATAACACTAATTTGTCCTTTTTATCATGTTATTGATCTATTATTTACTGAATACCGCCTCCGCTTGAAATGCATATAATGAAAAGTACAAAAAGTGTATTCATTTAATTCAGGACTTTTGAGTATTAAGTAAATAAGTTAGCTTTTATAATCAATCGCAACGAAGAAAAGAAATAAAACTGAGATATTCTAATACATATTCTAAATTAAACGAAATTGTAAGTGGAAATTTTGATGAACTACATAGTACTTTGAGCTGTATTCTAATGAACAATTTAAAATTTTGCATACCACTAAGATATTCAATCCAGGTTTGTACTGTTTCAGGTGGTTGTGTTTCTTTGATATGTCGTAATGATTCATCAAGTAAAACATCTCCTGTTGCTGTATCATCAAGTAATACAACTTTACGATTAGCTAATGTTCGACGACGTGCGCCAGTCTTTTCGAGTTCAACACGACCACGAAAACTTAATTCAGTTAAAATACAACCACGTAAACCTGATGATATACAATCATTCCAAAATGATGTATAACCCTATGAAAGAAAGAAAAATAAATGTGGTTTATTTCTTTTTTTGTTAAATTTTAATTAACAAACTTCTCGATCTTTTAAACCAAGTAAAAGTACTTCTTCCATAAGTGTAAGACGTGTTTCTTTATCATCATCATTATCTAGTTCATCATCTTTATTTCGATCATTATGATCATTGTCATTTGATTGAAATTGATTATTACTTGCTGATTCGGTAAATGTTCCACTAGAACTTGATGATGCTGGTTTAACAACACGTCTTGTAATTGTAGTCATTTTTTATTATCCGAAAAAAAAGAAATTGTTTTTTTTCTAAAATATAAATAAATATACTATCAATCAAAGTCATCTAGTAAATAATTTAATGATACATATTCAAATGAAACTAATCATTTAGTTGTTTTTGTTTATTTATTTTTCTATGGAACATATTTATGATGTAGGAATCAATAAAATGCAAGAGCGCATGATCTGTATATTTGTTTTGTTCATCATTAAAATACAGGCAGACATTAATACAATGAGTATGAGTCATTCATTATATTTTTAGTTTATATTAGTGTAGAGTCACTAAAAGGTAATGACAAATATTTTTTTTTTCATAATAATAATTTCAAAATGGACGCAATGGGAAGGAAGTACAGAAAGGGTAATGATAACTTTCGGTAAATAACGACATCTATAGGACACTAGATGAAGTCTACTATATATATAATTTCTGTGTACGTGATCTAAATAAAAGAAATATGAATACTAGAAAGTATAATTTTACTAAAGAAATATTTATTATATATGATATTATTGACGAGCAGACTGTACTTGAAATAATGAGTTTCCTTGAAATAAATGAAAGTCTACATCGAAAAATATCTTCGTTATAATCGGTTCGACAAGTGAAATATATGTTCATAGTTTAGATGAATTGAAGTTGAGAATCATGAGGTATTTTATCTACCGAATTATTATCGGTATGGTTAGATGAGTAGAGTTAACTATTAAATTTTTCAGAATAATAACTGCAATGAAACTGTCGCATATGATTCAAGATCATCATTAGAATCGATTATCGAATGTATATTCTATCAGCATGCTATGTCTTTCTATCGAATTCTAGCTATATTGCATAAAATTAACTGAACAACACTGGAAGATTTATCTACCTGATCTTCTATCAAATTATGCATTTATATGAAACACATAGGAAACTATTCAGATCGTCATATCAGAACTAGAATACAGATTTCATTTCTTTTCCTGTTCAATTGTCAAACTGTCATTAGTAACAAATAGTAACTAAATATTACTACATTTTTTGTTTAAACTGACTTTTTACGTACCACTACAGATAGATTAATTCTATAATATCTCGATCCATTGCCAGTATATCAAACAAAAAATAATAGTGACAGAAACTGTATCGTATTTCTAAATAAAATACTCATTTGGCTGCAATAACTTTTATCGTAGCAATGAATAAAAATCTGTTTAATCGAATCATATAATGAATTGTAATTTAATCGAAAATTTATGTATCATGGTTAAACCTTTCATATATTTTGTTATTTGTAAATCAAAACAATATTTTTAACCAATTAATCTTTTAATAGAATGTCTAAATAATCAAATATGAGAAAATAACTTTACACGATCGTCTTGATTCATTTTCGTATTCTATATATTTTCATTAATAAGCCATTTTATCTAAATCGAAAGTTTGTGTGCATCTGCTATGTAGCCAATTATTTTCTTTCATCTTCACAGTAGCAGGTGAGAAGAAAAAGGAAACGTAATCAAATCCAAACTAGATCGATTATTAAAATCACAAGTTTATCTCAACCAATGTATAGTTGATAACACTAAGATCTACAAAAAAATATATATCCTCTATTCGTTATTGAATTTTCAATGCGAGTGAATATTCAGTTTCTTCGTTATACACACATCTAGTTGCTTTTTAACACCTCCATTCATTCCTTTGAGACTAGAACTCAATTAATTCTTACACATCAGTAGGAAATCAACTGTGTGAAAATTCATGTTAAAATATTGTTTTCTTTCAATTGCTCATAATAACTATACAACTATTTCCTATTTCAAATGTGTTATTATGAGAAACCGGATGATATATGAAAAGGAAAACAAAAGAGATAGTTTTTTTCTCTCTCTCTCTCCTTCTCTCTAACGACCATGTCCATCTGCTTGTACATCATCGCAATGTTTAGCTCGTTATGACACCTTTTCTTTTTCTAAACGATGGACGAATAAAAAAAAGAAATTAGTTGAGCATCTGACGACGAATTCTTTCCTTCCTTCTTCAATTATGTCAATCGATAGAATAAATTCACACACCTGTCTTAACACTCATTCATTCATATTATAAAAATGATTCATGTACGTATCGACAATCATCATTCAACTGCAGTTGATATTTATGTTAATATTTCTGAAAAAAATATGATTACTTCATCATCACCTATCTCATCCAATGATGAACATATTTATGATCATTTAGTTCATAATGAAAATTATCTTCCACGACAATCGAAAATTGTTAAAAATCGAACAGATTCAAATCAATCAATAAATAAAAAAAATTATACACTTCAACAAGTACTCGACAATGTTGAAACTATACAAAAACAATATGAAAAAGTTATTCATACACGAACAACATCATCTACATCCACATGTTTCTTTTCATTTAAACAAATAACAAAAATATTAAAAAATTTACGAACAATAAAAACAACAAAAACAAATGAAGAAATAATTGAAACAAGTTATTCGGAAAATAAATCGCCATTTATATTTGGTGGTGAAACTTTACAATGGATTGCTTTACCACAAGATGATGATGCTGATCATATTTATGAAAATGAATTTATTCAATGATTACGTTTGGATTAGACATATTTAACATACCGGTGATTTCGTTTTTGTGTACATATTTCTTTCTCTATATAACATAATAAATAACAAGAAATAGATATATGCTGTCATCAGAAAAATTATCCGACTTCGATATATGTGTAGGAATGACATAATCATCAGAAGATATACTTGATTCATAAAAAATATATTTCGCTAACATCGATAATAGAGGTAACTGTGAGAATGTGAATAGGGTGTCAAGATAGACATTTATACTTGAAAGTATATATTTTTATTGATACCATTTATTTTGGAATGGTACTGCTATTAAATAAGATCATCAAATAACTATTGAGAAGATGAATGCATTAATCGATTGAACTACTCATTCACATGAGTATTAGTATGCTCAAAATAAAACATACAATCTATGAAATTTGTAATAGCAGTTGTTCATGACATTAAAACAGTGGGATGTACGATACCGTTAATTACATGTCTCGTATGTAATATGGCGAGCTCTTTCCATATATCAAAAACAAATATCCTGCTGTAGTATTTAAAAGACACAATATTTCATTGACTGAGGTTATACTGAATATAGCTGTCATTAAAACAAGCATGTATTAAATTTCAAAATATGTCATTAACAACTTGTCTTACTTAAATATTCTAATAGTCATGAAGCAGAAAGAGAATATTTCTATTTTTCAAGATCTAAAAGGAATGAATCTATCCTACCCCGACAGACAAGATCTCTAAAAAAACGCGTTCAAAATTCGTAAATACACCGTTTTTACGGATTCTTAACGCGTTTCTGCGCAATTTTTTGGAAAGCGTTCTACTGCGTTAAAATCTACTCAGTATTTACTCGTTGAAACGCGGAATTCGACATGGTTTTACGCGTTATTTTGTGAGTTTTAACGCTTTAAGCACAGATTATCGACGCGTTAACCGCAGTAGACAAGCTAAGGGAGATAAAAATCGTAGAAATGTGCGCTTTTCCAGATTTTTTTTCGTTAAAATTTCAAAATTTCTACGCTGTATTTCTCTGTTTCTTTCTGAGTTTTGTCTGTCTAGGTACAGGTGTATTTCTTGTATGAGAAATTCGATATATCAGTTGTGTATAGTGTGTAATCATTTTTCATACAAAATCAATGATTTAACTTAGAATCTTAGTTCTAGTACATAAAAATTATATTAATTTCACTAGTGAATACTTTTTATTTTGAATTACTTAGATTTTTAATACTTTTCTTCTGGCAAGGGAAATTAAAAAAATATGATTAATGTATTAAGAATATTCTTCCTACAGTCAAATAATCTGATGTCTCATATCATATAAGGACAAATTTTATATAGATTAAATTCATTCAATGTCAAAATCGAAAACTTAGATATATTCATTTCTTTCACTTGATGTTTATCATTAGTATTTGAAAAATAATTGCAAGTCATACTTTTTTTTCATATTTAAATATAAGACATCTTGGTAGAATGAACACGTCGAAGTCTATAGAAGCAATTATTAATAAGCATTATGTCTGCATCGAGAATTTTCTAGATTAGTCTGTTATTTTATGTTTAGAATATAGGACATAACAAAGTATCGTTAAAAAAAACTAGATTAAAGGGTACTAGTTATCCGCAAAAACAAAATGTTGATGAGATTTATATGACTTACAGCTCAGTTTTTATTATCGTTTTACAAAGAATTTTGTCTGAGTACAAGCTCAAGAGTTTTGCTTAGAGCAACCTGTGACATTGTAATAAAACCTTAGCCTGCAAATTTCACCCACGTCCTGTTTTTGTAATAGAATATTATCTGTATGTTTAAAAGGCTTTTGTAAGATTTTTCATTGAACTTCTTTGAAAAAAAAAATTGAACTAATTAAATTGATGAAAAGATGATGACAAGATAAATTAGTTTTATCTGACATACATCAAATTGATGATTATTTGCTAATTTCTTTTGACATAATCATCTTTCCCATTGAATATAATATTAATACGTAATTTATATCTTCTTTCCTCATTAAAAACAAAGAAAAGAAAAGTTTCTCTGAGCCAAAAAAAGAAAAACGGATATATAGAAAATGATTCATTTATTTCCGCCATTCTTCATTCTCTTCATTGTATATAATCAACCAACCACTAGTCGTCCTCTTTTTCTACTTTTAGTTATCCAAACTACTACGTCTTACTTTTTCTCTTTCTTTGTTAAATAGAAGTGATAGAACAAGATTCTTTCATCTTCAAGTTTAGTTTCTTTTTCTGTATCACTAACATGGAAGGTAAGAATACTAAGAAAAAATAGCCTTTTTTTGTTATAAAATGAATCTATTTTAATTCTTTCAAAAGGTTGTCCACGTCTTCCTGGATTAGGTTTCGATTTAAAACTATCCATTGAATCAGTTAATTTATGTGAAAAAATTCCCAATGTAATATATCAATTCTCTACAAAAATTAGTATTGATTATTTTTCTTATTTAGTATATTAATACTCATTATGAAGAAAATGGTGAAAATTTTACGAATGAATGTGAACAAATGAATCGTCTTCGACAAGTAATTTTCTAAAAGCGAAAAGAAAGATAATAAGTTTTTGTTTGTTTATTTAAGACTTCTATCAGTTGTTCAATAGATGAAGTTGGTGTACAAATTCTTAAACGTTATTATTGTCAATTACAGTTATTGTCTAATCGTTTTCCTATGTTACCTGATACAGAATGTTCTGTTCGATTTACTTGGTAAAATGATTTAAAAGTAAAAGAATATTTCATATTTTTTTTTATAGGGAAGATGCATTTCAAAGAGAAGATAATACATATAGTGATATTCGATTTGAAGAAGCTTGTATATTATACAATATTGGAGCAATGTATTCAAAATTAGGTGCCCATGAATCAAGAAAATCACATGAAGTATATGACGAAAAAGATATTTATTGAATTAATTTTAATTTTATAGAGTATGAAAGATGCTTGTACTTATTTTCGATATTCAGCTGCATGTTTTGAAAAATTACGTGATCAATATACACCGTATTCGTTAGATTTCAGTTCAGATATATTAACATGTCAAGTTGATATTCTTTTGGTAGGAGTTAATCTTTATTTGAATATATTTTGTAATGAAATTTATATTTTAAAGGCACAAGCACATGAAGCTGTACTTGAAAAATCTTTACTCGATCAACGACCATTATCAGTGAATGCTCATATAGCAATGCAAATATCAGAATATTATAAAACGGCACTTGCTAATCTTATGAAACCAGGAATTAATTCAATTGTATCAAAAAAATTTCGAGTAAGATTCGAAAGTTAAAAGATGTGCGTGTGATAAATCTTTCATGTCTGTAACGATTAGGTCATTCGACTGTAAGTTTAATGTAGTAGAGTACAAAGATGTTTTGTGACAGACTAATAATAGCATGTAGAATTCTATGTTTTTCCAGATGTATAAATAAAGACAAACAGGTATATACTGTTAAATCAATAGTATGTTTACTTATCTTTTTTAGGAATGGCGTGTCGCTTTAACATATAAACTATCGTATTATCTTGCAATAACATATTATTGTTGTGGTAATATAGCTGAAGAGAATAAAAAACGTGGTGAAGCTGTTTGTTATTTTGAAAATGCTGTTGAACGACTTAAAGATGGTTGGAAAAATGCGGAAAAAATTTCATCAGACAAAACAACGATATATAAAGATGCACATGCATTTGCCTATGATCTTATTATGGAAAAGTAAATTAAAAATTTATTATTAATCTAAAGAAAATAATTGAATACCTTTATATAGATATAAATCAGCTAAACGTGATAATGACAGTGTCTATTTTGAGAAAGTACCTTCATTATCAAGTTTACCAGCGATACAAGGTAGTTAAATTTGATATTAATAAAAAGAGTTTAATTATTTGAGTTTATTAAAGGAGTTATTGTGGCTAAATCACAAGCATTTGATTGTCATAATCCTGATGTATGTGGAGTAGATATTTTTCAAAAACTAATACCAATGGTAAAGTATATCTTGTGATGAAATGCGAAGTTTTATATAAATTTTGATATTTAGGATATACATCTAGCTGCATCGGAATATAGTGAAGAAAAAGCAAAAGTTTTACGTAAAACTGTTGAATTAACAGTAAACAAAAATCAAGAACTTGAGTAAGAAAATTTATATAGTTCATAAAACCTATTCATTTATTTATTTTAAGAGCTTTTATGAGTTGTTTACAACTAGATCGTATTCCATTAAATAATGACTATCTTCGTTTACCACATGAATTACTTGATTGTTGTGCTGCTGTTGCTGCCCGCTCAAACATGTTGAAAGATTTAATTTCAGCTATGCAAGGTATGTGGGTGTAATTGTATTCTCCTCAAAACTAAATTTTTATCCTATTATAGAACTTAATAGCCACCATTGTAATGTAACTGAACAGATAACGAATATTGAACCACTACTTCAAACCTTTGAATTAACCAATAATTCAATAAAATCAAATAAAGAATATCAAGATTTACAAAATAATGTAAAAAATATTCATGAAATGATGTTGCAAGCTAATGAAAGTAATACGGAATTACATCGATATATGACAACAATGATGGAACATTTGAAAATTCTGAATTTACCGATTGAAGAAATAGAAAAATCTTTACCAACGATAATTGAATTTAACAGTATGAGAACTTTATTTCGTTTGAATTATTTTTTTATTTTATAATTTAGATGAAAATAATAAATCGAAATTATCACGTATTAATGTATTACTTGAAAAAATTGAAACAATGAAAAAACAACGTGAGATATTATTAAATGATCTTCGTAAAAAACTCGATAGTGATGATATTACAAAACTTGTTCTTATGCGACGACAAGAAAATCATAAAGTATAACTTTTCTTTTTCTTAATTCAATTACATAATTATTCATTTTTTTCTAGACTTTATTTATTACTCAAATAAAAAAACATGAAGAACTGATCAATACTATCAAACAAAATTGTACAGCACAAGAGAATATTCTTCAATCATTCACAGAAGCTAATGCAGATATCGCTGAATTACGAACAAAAATAACAAATACATATGAAATGTAAAATAAATCTCTTTGAATATTTCATACATATTGTTTTATTTCTATATTAGTCGTCAACGATTGATTCAAGAATATATCAATTCATTTAAATCATATAATGCTACTCTATCGAAAGCAAATGAAGGAATTGAATTCTATAAGAAAGTAATAGATGTTTTTGAGATCTATTTCAACTATATTTTATTGTTTTTAGCAAAGTACAAAATTGAATTCATTAAATGAAAATTTGATTACTTTACAATCTCGACAGCAACAATCAAAACCTCTAGTAAATTGCCAAATACCAGCTCAGTATAGTACATCGGATTCAGACAAAGATTTGCAAACCATTCCTGATCGACCACGTTTGAAGGATTATTTAGCTGCTATGAAACCTGATACGTGGGGTTCAACAGCAAATCGTTCAACACCTAGAATCGAAGATAATATTTATATGCCGCCACCACCACCACAACCAACAGCAGTATCTCATATGAACAGTAATAATAATTATTATACTAATACAATGCCATCGTCTGGTAATTTGTATTCAAATATGAATGGACAACCTTATACATCTTTACCAAATTTTAATTCATATCAAATGCAGCAGCCGATTCGTTCTGAACTACCGCAAATGCATTATGCACCACCACCACAACCATCAGCTCCAACAATACAACCGCCATCGTCTTTTACATATCAACAACCGATGTATAATCAATCGTATTCATATGATCCAAATATGAATAATCAATCTCAAATGAATTATAATTCTTCTAGTACTCAATCATTTCCTCAACAACAATTCTATCCTTCTCAATCTCAACAGCCAGTTTATCAACCGCCATTACAACATCAATTATCACAACCAACATATCATTCAGGTTTACAACATCCGTCCATGTATCAATCTCAAAATTTTAGTAATTCAAATCAACAATCTGTGTCACATTTACCTACTAAATTTGATCCATATCGTCCACAACCAGTTGGTGCGTATGACATTCCAAATGTACAACAAAATACAATTCCATCACATCTTATTAATCCTCAAGATATCTATCGTCCTGGTGGATTACTTGGAATAAATCAAACACAAATCTCATCATTAAACAATAATAATTATGATCAAAATCAATTTGTGAGATATATTCCTTCTTCTTCTTCAACTGTCTCTTCGTCTTTTGCTAATTTATCAATGAACTAGATTTCGAATGATTTAACTTTAAGGTTATTTTTTTTTAAATAAAATTACAATTTGCATGAATAAAACTGTTAATCCTTTATTTTTTTTTCAATTATTAAATCTAAATCATCGACGTATTGATCCGTATGTTATTGTAAAGAGTACAGCAATTCATATACATACTAATTATTATTATAACACTCATAGAGCTTCTTAGTTTTTTGATTAAATTCAGATTTTTCTTATGTTGATGATAGTGCAAAGTACAATAAAAAATATGTTACAACGCAGTTTATACAGCAACATTGTTCTTTGATTTTGAGTTATGCTCGGTATTTAATCGATATTTGAATGTAGTGATGAATATGAAACATACTAATAAAATGCATATTTTCAAGTATTCATTCTTTATTTTTTCTATGTGGATTAACTATGTATTTTGCTATTTATAATTAAACGATATTATGTTCGATACCATCTATTGTCAGTTGATGGTACACATTTCATATCCCAGTAAATATCTCCCAGCTAAGATTTCGTACATACTTGTTTCTGTTATGAATCGATTTTAAACAAGTCCGAATTATTTTGACTAAAATAATCTCTTATGTGGAGGATGAGTAAGTCAAAAAAACGTTATTGCGTGCATTTTTTTATCTATATCTGAATAAGCTCAAAAGTTTATAAACATGATAGTTTTCCTGTATGAAAATGAATACCATAATTAGTCTTGAATTGCAAATTACAGGTTTCAGATGTATTTATAGAAATATCATTAAAGAAAAGATTCGTAAAAAATGGATTATTTGAATTTATCGATTAGACTTTGATCGATTTCTGCATTAGTATCAAATCTAATATGTTCATTTTTTATTTCATTCCATTGATAATAATTTCCTCGTACTATTTCATTTTCTCTTGTTGAAAATCGTAATTCAAGTAATGAATTGCTACTTCTCAAATATAATATTAATAGATTTGATGAGATTTGAAATAGAAATCTTGGTTGTTTAGTTAATTGAATAGGAATCATTTTTGTATTTGATGATTTTCTGAAATAAAATTCGAATAATTTTACTTCCAATAAATCATTATTCGCGTCTGTAATTGGTAAAATATGTAAATATAAACCTAATTCTTGTAATTGATCATAAATTAACTCGTTTTGATCTAGATCAATCAATGGAATTATTTTATTTTCATTTGTTATTGCAACAAATTCTTTTGTTCGTATACAAGAAATTTTCAAAGGAAGATTACATAGAGAAATCAAATGTTTCATACAAGTTCGTAATTTCCATTCTTGAGCCGTAGTTAATCGAATATCCGGTTCAATTAAACATACTTTTAACCAAGTATTAATTGTATGTGGACGAAAATTTACATCAGTATTTAGATGTATATCAGATACAATCGAATGCCATGATGTACTCGTTTGTGTAGCAACTGTAGTATCCGATGGATCATGTACCATAACACTCATATCATCATCAATTATTGTTGATGATGATGATGAAGTATCAGTGTCAAATGACGGCACACTCATTGATTTGATAAATACAAAAAAATCAAATAATATAATATAACAGATGCGCCGTTTTCCATATAAGAAGAAAAAAACTATTAAAAAAAGCTTGTGAATATTTTTTAGCACAATTTACATATACTATCTATGTTTCACATGATCCAAAATGAAACTGCGTAATTTAATGTTAATATTTGTCCAGAAAAATAGTAGCGCTATATTTTGATATCTTTGTTTGTATTGTCTTCTATATATATTTCTTCTTCTTACATATTAATATCATGTTATGATGATGCAATGTAGTCTTCGTATTGAAACACACCTCTTTCCACACTGCCGTTACTCGATTTATTATGATGGTCTAACAGATTCGACTATTCTTATTTCTTCGTTAGAAACAAGGCGTTCTCTCTATTCTCTCTTTATTTTTCTCTTATTCTTTATATTCGTTCCATATATAAATAAACAAAAGTACATATAATTCGTTTCTTTTCTTTTTCATCGTAAAATAACTAGACACGATTACATTCCTCGATACAGAAGGATTTATATTTTCAAATTAATTCAAAGAACATGTCTCTCAATATTGCTCAAATACTCCAAGATGATTTAATTACGCCTATGGTACGAAAAACAGCTTATGGTCTTGCAACAACATGTATACTTGGTGCTGCTGTTTATGCTGGTTATTGTGTTGCAGCACCGGAAAAACATATTATCCGGCAACATCGCCATCCTGAACTTAATGATCAGGTAGGCTATGCAATCTATATAAAGTCTAATATAGTATTACAATCGAACATGACGTCAGTAATGACCATATGTAGATTGAAAGAAAAAATCTGTTACATTCTTTTTCTGAATAATATTACTGACTTAATAGATATCAATAGCGCACATGGAATGTAACTAAACGTACTCGTTTTAAGACGTTTTTTATTTATATTTGAAAGTACAGATTGTTTTTATTTTGACATGCACATGAAAATAACATTGCAATGTACTTTATCGTAATATGAACAACAATAAGCAAATAAATGGCGAGTACGAGCTCTTTTAATAATGAAATGTATGCAAAAAGAAACAGAATGTGTACCGGAGACACTTGAAGTTTTCTGCAATGAATTCATACAAATATTTTCTTTAATCTATGCTGATATTTATTGTAAAAGCAGACAAAAAATATAGGTATGCAAATTAAAGTCTGTCTCGTGTTGAGTCTACGATCATAATCAAAATTTGATTTACGTCGTTGTATTTCGATATACTGTTTGAAAAACTATAAGGGTTTATGTCAATAGTGTACCTTGATTCGACTAGGTTATTAAGACAAAATTATATTGATGACTCATAACTATTTCTTATTAAACGTAAAAAAATACGGCAGCAGCGACATAAGTAGTCTTACCTGACAGAATTCAATCTTTGACATTTACAAATACCTAGACGATGAAATAAGAAAAATGTTTTGTATTAGATTGTGACCCTGCTGTTTCATTGATAAATATATGAAAATAATTTATGCTTAATATAATCGTGTTTGACTTCTAAATTTATTTTATTAATTAGATTGAAAAAGTTGTTGATTCATTAAAAATAACTGATGATCAACTTATACATATTATGCATATATTGGAAGAAGAGATGAGTGCTGGTCTTTCACCAATAACACATAAACAAGCAACAGTAAAAATGTTTCCAACATATGTACGAAATATTCCAAATGGTACGGAAGTTGGTCAGGTACTTGCACTTGATCTAGGCGGAACAAATTTTCGTGTACTTCTAATTGATTTACGTGGTAATGCAAGAGTAGAATTAACATCGAAAATTTTTGTTATTCCACAATCAATTATGATTGGTGATGGCAGACATGTATGTTTATCATATTTTTTGTACTTTAATTGTTGTAAAAGATAAAATATTTTCAATTGAATTTAGTTATTTTGTCATTTAGCTGAATGTTTATATGATTTTATGTTAAAAGAAAATTTATTACGTACAGGAATATGTTATCCATTAGGTATGTATGAATATAAAAACAACTGGATGTAATACTAGAAAAATGTTTTTTTTTTCAGGTTTTACATTTTCATTTCCTTGCAGACAAGAAGGTTTAGCATCAGCTCGATTAACATCTTGGACAAAAGGTTTTAGTTGTTCAGGTGTTGTTAATGAAGATGTTGTTAAACTTTTACAAGAAGCTATTAATGAAAAGGTAATAATATAAGAAGTTCAAAGAAACATTATATATTCTTTTTTAGGGTATTAATGCAAAATGTGTAGCATTAGTAAATGATACAGTTGGTACATTAATGGCTTGTGCATATAAAGATCCAGCAACTGCTATTGGTCTTATATTAGGAACTGGTACAAATGCATGTTATATTGAAAATTTAGATAAAGTTGGTACATGGAATAGTGATTATGATGAACCAAAACAAGTTATTATTAATATGGAATGGGGTGCGTTTGGAGATAATGGTCGTTTAAATCTTATTCGAACAAAATATGATGAAGAAGTTGATCTTTCATCAATAAATCCTGGCAAACAAATGTAGATTTTTATTTTTTACTAAGTTCATATCATTTTCTCTTTATATTTTCTAGTTTTGAAAAAATGATTTCTGGAATGTATATGGGTGAAATTGTTCGTTTAATTATACTTGATTTACTTCAACAAGAATTACTTTTTCTTGGTCATCGTGATACATATGGAGATTATAAAACACCACTTTATAATCGTGGTGGTTTTTATACGAAATTTGTTTCTACAGTTGAAACTGATGAAGGTGAACAATAAAGTTTTATTTGATTTTACATTTCTTTGATTGATTTTAAAGGTATTAAATTCTCAAATACACGTCGAGTACTTGAAGATATTGGTATTCATAATCCTACATACGATGATTGTGCTATTGTTCAACATATATGTCGACAAGTTTCTAAACGTGCTGCTAGATTAGCTGGTGCTGGTGGGTGATATTTGTAATTTTTTGTTTGTCGAAAATCTATTTGAATATAATTCAAGGTTTGGCTGTATTGGTTAATCGAATTGGTAAAAGTGATGTTACTGTTGGTGTTGATGGTTCACTCTATCGATATCATCCACGTTTTAAACGTAATATGGAAAGATGTATGGAAACATTAGTGAACAAAGATGTTAAAGTAAGATATAGTTCCTTATTTCAAATATTTATATATATATATATAGCAAATTTAATTACGTTAAAAAGTCTTTTATTAATTTATAAAACAAAAACACTAAAATAAATATCTTTAGTTTGCTCTGGAAACTATTCCTGATGCGAGTGGTATTGGTGCTGCTGTCACAGCTGCAGCTGAATGTCGTTTATCTAAATTGAAATAAATGACTGTAGAGTATAGTTAGATTAGATTAGTTTATTGTTTCATAGATTTGTTGTTACTATGCTGCATGTATATAGAAAAATATTATGTTGATAAATAATAAAAATAAAATCTTGTGTTCTATATTAATAAATATATATCTTTTGTTTTTATTTACAGTTTAAATTATCTTTATCTGATGATGGTGAGTTATGAAAAGAATTTCGTTTTTTTTATAATAAATAGAATTATATTCTTTTAGGTAGTGGTAAAGGTGCCGCTATGGTCGCTTGTGTTGCTGGAAAACCTTATCTTGTAAATTCTATTGTATCTGATGAAGAAACAGCTGATTATGAAAAAATCAATTCATAATATCTTTGTTTTTATTTGGAAAATTCTTCATTCTCTATCTTGGAGCTTGAATATCGTTTTCGTGTTTTATTCTTTTATGTTGTTTTAGATCTGAGAAAAAAAAACGTTAACTTGCTTTCTTTTGCTCTCCTATTAATGTACACAGTACTACTATGATATGTGATTTTAACTATTTATCTTTATATTCGTATTTTTTGTTTTGTTTTGTTAAGAAAAAAAAGCAGGCAAAAGAAAGCATTAAAATAAAAGAGATCAAATATGATATATACTGTATCTTTTTATATTTTATCCACATTTTATTTGTCAGACAAAAAGATGCTTGACATTGCTTCTGGATCAAATAAATTATATGATTGATATATACATTCAAGATGAAATTGTATTCAGACATGCAATTGCTTGAAAGAGGCACACTGACGATATGTAATTTAAATGTAGTTTTCAATGTAGTATTCGTTATTAACGTAAACTAAATAATAAAAATTTAGTCACCGAAGATATATATAAAATTAACTGAAATTACTAATATTTAATCAAATAAAAAATGTTCGAATTGGATTGCATTATTCAAATATACATAAGGATTCGTAAATATTGTATTTATAATAGATAATGTTTTAAAAATTAGATTTCATGTATTTAGAAGTCCTGTGATTTCTAAAAATGTGTCCTACTATTCGTTTCAAAATAAAGGAAATCTTACGGTTTTGGCCATTGAAACACATACAAAACATCACCATTTAATTCAATCCGATAGAATGTCTAGAAGCTGAGATTTCTATAAAAACAACCACCACCTTCAAAAGTTCTGTTACACTTCTAACTCTCACGATGATGCCAGTCAAATAGCTCTATCTTTTTTTCTGTTGAATAAAAGAAACCCATCTATTCTCTAGTATTCCAAAGTGAAGTTAGATCATATGCTCTGAAAACTCTGAAATATGCGCTTTTCAAGCACAAAAGGTTAAGAATCAGGTATTTTTAAGATTCCAGAGCATGAGAGAATAGATGGATTTCTTTTATTCGATAAAAGAAAAGATAGAGGTATTAACTGGCAGCATCGTGAGAATTAGAAGTGTAATAGAACTTTTGAAGGTGGTGGTTTCTCATAGAAACCTCGGTCTCTAGAGAACCTTTGGAATGGTATCGAATGATAATGTCTGTTATGTTTCGATACTTCTCTTTCTAGTCGTTAAAAATTGCAACTTTCTATCTTCTTCATATTAATACTTATTCAGCAACTCATAAGGTCTCTTTTATTTTGAAACGGATAATAATAGATCTGTTTTATGAGCTATATTCAATATCACAATATATAGATAAACATAAAAAATACAATCTAACTATATATCGTACTTTTAAAAATTCTTCGTCATTTTACGAGACCTCACTCAGCAATATAACAAAACAATTTAATTCCATGTAAGTTATTCTTCTTTTTATTGTTTCCAATATCTTTTTCTTTTTTAGATTGTTTTATTTCCAGATTACTATTAAAGGTAATATATTTCTTCATCTTTATTGCAGGGAGTATTTTCTCAGAGAATCAGAAACGTACATATTTCTGAAAAGGTCATTTGAATACATACGCATGTATGTGTATTGCCTCATCAGGCAGCTTTGTTCATTACGTCTTAACTATTTGTAGAGTCCTTCTCTGTATGCGCGTGCGAGCCACTAAAAGATAAGGTTAAGTCAAAAATAACTTATCAAAGCTTTCTTTTATTTATATATCAAATATTCTCTCTAATTTCCTTTTTACAATTTCAATACTCTCTTTCACATTTTTAATACTAGGATGAGTTGGAGGTAATGCATGTTGTTTGATGTCTAGAGCACGTTCGTAATATGAGAGTGCTTTCGAATAGTCTTCCATCTTGTTATACACCACACCGATGTTGTTGTATGAAGTTGCCAAATCAGGATGATTTGAAGAAAGAGTATTTTGTCGAATTTCAAGTGCTTTTTCATAAAATGAAAGTGCTTTCGAGTACTCTCCCATGTTCTTATACACATTACCAATGTTGTTGTATGATATAGCCAAATCAGGATGATTTGAAGAAAGAGTTTTTTGGGAAATTTCAAGGTCTTTTTCATAAAATGAAAGTGCTTTCGAGTACTCTCCCATATTGGAATACACATTACCAATGTTGTTGTATGAAATAGCCAATGAAGGATGATTTGTAGGGAGAGTGTTTTCTCGAATTTCAAGTGCTTTTTCGTAAAATGAAAGTGCTTTCGAGTACTCTCTCAAGTCGTTATACACACCACCGATCCTGTTGTATGAAGTTGCCAAATCAGGATGATTGGGAGGAAGAGTTTTTTCTTCAATTTCAAGTGCTTTTTCATAATATGAAAGTGCTTTCGAGTGCTCTCCCATATTGCAATACACATTGCCGATGTTGTTATATGAAGTAGCAAAATCGGGATGATTTGAAGGAAGAGTTTTTTGACATATTTCAAGGTCTTTTTCATGAAAAGAAAGTGCTTTCGAGTAATCTCCCATACTGGAATACACTAGACCGATGTTGTTGTATGAAATAGCCAGATTAGGATGATTTGGGCGAAGAGTTTTTTCTCTAATTTCAAGCGCTTTTTCGTAAAATGAAACTGCTTTTGAGTAGTCTTCCATGTTGTTACACACTTTACCGATATTGTTGTATGAAGCAGCTAAATGGGGATGATTTGAAGGAAGAGCTTTTTCTTGAATTTCCAGTGCTTTTTCGAAATATGAAAGGGCTTTCGAGTACTCTTCCATATTGTAATAGACCTTACCGATGCCGTTATATGAAATAGCCAAATCAGGATGATTTGGAGGAAGAGTTTTTTCTTTGATTCCAAGTGCTTTTTCGTGAAAGGAAAGTGCTTTCGAGTATTCTCTCATGTCGTCATACACACCACCGATATTGCTATATGAAGTAGCTAAATGGGGATGATTTGCAGGAAGAGTTTTTTTATCAATTTCAAGTGCTTTTTCGTAAAAAGAAAGCGCTTTCGAGTACTCTCCCATATTGGAATACACCATACCGATGTTGTTGTATGAAGTAGCCAATGAAGGATGATTGGCAGGAAGTGTTTTTTCTCTTATTTCTAGTGCTTTTTCGTAAAACGAAAGCGCTGTCGAGTACTCTTCCATGTCGTCATACACATTACCGATATTGTTGTATGAAGTAGCCAAATCAGGATGATTTGAAGGAAGAGCTTTTTCTCGAATTTCAAGTGCTTTTTCATAAAATGAAAGTGCTTTCGAGTACTCTCCCATGTTGTTATACACACTACCGATGTTGTTGTTTGAAGTAGCCAATAAAGGATGATTTGGGGGAAGAGTTTTTTGATAGATTTCGAGGGCTTTTTCGTGAAAGGAAAGTGCTTTCGAGTATTCTCCCATCTTGTCACACATCATACCGATGTTGTTGTATGAAATAGCCAATGAAGGATGATTTGTAGGGAGAGTTTTTTCTCTAATTTCCAATGCTTTTTCGTGAAATGAAAGTGCTTTCGAGTACTCTCCCATGTGGTCATACACAGTACCGATATTATCGCATGGAGTAGCTAAATCGGGATGATTGGGAGGAAGAGTTTTTTGTTCAATTTCAAGTGCTTTTTCGAAAAGTGAAAGTGCTTTCGAGTACTCTCCCATATTGTAATAGACCGTACCGATGTTGTTGTATGAAGTAGCCAATGAAGGATGATTGGAAGGAAGAGTTTTTTGTTTAATTTCAAGTACTTGTTCGTAATACCAAATAGCCTTTTCATAATCACCCTGTTCATCTTTGATACATCCTAACTGATTATAATAAAGCATTTTTTCACTCTCATTTGATGTCTGTTCAAGTAATACGTTATAAAGTTCTTCAGCTTTATTAAATTGACCAATTTTAATCAATAATCCACCCAATATTTTCCATCCAGTATGACCAGCAGCTTCCTTTCGTATCCGATCAGTAAGTAATCGTAGTTCTTGATCATCATCTGACGTTAATTGTAGTTCAACTTGATAAAGGTCTTTGTTATTGTCCAATTGTTTAACTGCGGTCACCCGAAACACGGTGTGCATTGAGAAAAGAATTTCTTCTTCTTCCTTAAAATAACTCACTTCTTTGATAAAGGCAAATGGTGCTGATTCCAAGCAAGGATCAATGGACATTACAAAGAGAATGCCAACCATATCTGGTTTTGTTGAAGCACTTCGAGCAAAACTGAGAGACACTTCTTTATCTGTACTGGTGGACAAGAAATTGTTAAATGATATAAGTCCACCTTTTGCTTTCTGAAGTTTTTCAAAGTCTGATTTCACAAGACCTTGTCCTCGATAAACTATAAAAGGTTTTCCTTCATACCTACCGACCTGTTGTTCATGCAACTGTTGAATTTGTGTATGTACATCACGTAGAAAGAAGCCCATATTAATGATTATATCAGCATTCATAATTCGAAGCGCTTGATTAAGCATTTTGTAGGTAAAACACTCGCGTGTATACCACCATATTGCTTTTTTTGGACGATAGTCACGTTCGAATTCATTAATTACTTGTAATTCAATTGTATTGCCACTAAAAACTGAACGACAGCAGGCTGCTAAGTCCTGGATTGCATTGGGGCCGTATTTGATATCAAGAAGAATCTCCTTGAATAGTTGGGTATACATAAAAGTTGGCTCCAACTGATTTAAATTCTCAGTTGAAGCCATTTCATTTATCGTCAGAAAACTTACAGCAATTGTTTCCTGATCGCATTGTTTAACTGCCAGTTGTAATGCTTGACAGATGTCTTTGATATTTGTATGGACACCTTTGATTTTTGTCCAGTTTTGTGCCCATTCCTCATGTCTGGATTTGTTGTCACAGAAGATGTAAATGGCATCTAACTGTGGCATACTATGAATTTCAGGAACCAAGTGTTGACCTAATAAGCCTGATGCTATGACAAAGGCTCGTCCCTTGTCAACTTGGTTGAGTACTTGGATGCACTGATTCGGTTTAGTGCATACGTTGACATCATTGACCACATTCTTTAGTTGAGTGAGTGTGTCTTGGCAATCCTTTATTCCTTCATCGATGCTGGCATCTATCCAAACGAGAAGATAATTTGGAGCCATACGTTCTCGTGGTTGACGAACATAAGACGCTGTTGCTCCATGAGAGGATTTACAGTTCTGTCTGGAACATATCGGGCCCATGATACGTATATGTTGATAAATGTATGCAGTTGAAGGGCTGATTAATAAATGGTTAAGAAAACAAACCAATGTCGTCATTTATATGAGTATCAGATCTCTTTATCTCAATTTTTTCATAGCGTCATTGATTATTTTCTTTTTTTTATTTTGAGTAGCTACAACAGAACTTTGTCCTTTGCATTACTTCATGTACGCTATAAAACCAGGTGAGTACAAAGAACAGAAAAACGAATTCATTTTTTCCAAGTTTCTTCACAGATAAGAGATAATATTGTCACTAACAAAAAAACATATTTGCTTTGTAAGTAATGCACATTGAAAACCTCCAGCAGTAACCCTATTCTAAAATTCTAAAACTCAAGAATTTTAGCATAAATAGACATGAAATGATTTGATACTAATAAAGATGGGTATGGATGTAAATGCAGATTCACCTTTTCTTTACCTACATCCTCGTGCTCTGATCCTTATAATAACTCCAGTAACCTTAAAGCTACTCGTACATTTTCTGTTTCTTTATACTACATTGTGTATATTCTGAAATGTTATATGTCGTCTGACACCATCTACTATAAAATTCTACTAACTCTAATCTTATAGAATTTCAATTATTCAAAAGTTTCATGTATATTGATATCAAATCATTATTAGAAATTATTTCTAGAAGAATCTAAGCACTACACAGGCATCAAAACAAACATGATTAAGCAAAACCCTACTTGATTTAATAAGTTATGTAACTTGCGAATAAAAAACGGAAAAAGTATTACCGTTCAGAGACAACTCTGGTTTGAGAAGAAAATATTTGACTATTGATTAATGAGTTAAATACCCACACCCACACCCTAAATACGTACGAAATTTTATGTAAGCGTTTTTTGATACAAACTCATGACAAAATACAGTAAGCATATGAATTTTATTAGTACTCGTAGTTTTAAGTATTATCTACTAATATTTCAGGTAAATATTTACAGAATGAAAGAATCAAGACATTTTATTTTGTACAGTGAAAGTAACGAATATAATAGCTTTATGAGTTTCACACAACATCACATTAGTCAATGTCTATGTAACAAAATCTTCTGTTATGTGAAACTCTTAAGTTCAATGATTTTATTTTAACAAACAGTTGTTGTTAAATACACTTTTTCAATCGAATGCAACATAGTTATTAGTATTCTTTTTTGGCACTGAATCAACTTATTTTCAAAATAAAGTTCAAACAGAAATGATCTCATTTGTCTTATTTTGAGATTGATACATAAATAATTGTAAAATATTTAATAATTCATCTATCATTTATTTTTTACATATCGGTAATTCTTTTGCAAAAAATTTTCAACTTTGTCTTAATTCAAAACAAAACAATAGATAACAAATTGGTTTATTTTCGAGTTCTCTTCGTTTTCGATGGTGTTTGAATTCCACCCTTTTTACCAAGTTTATTCGATGTACGTCGTGGTTTTCTTGGTTTACTTGGTTTCTCTTTATTAGTCTGATGCCCTTTTTTCTTTGAGGGCGTGGCTTTCATATTTTGTAGTTTAGACATTTTTTTTGATAATGGCATCTTCATTCTAAAAATATATAAAAGAAAAGTATAAAGAAACTTCATCTTCTAATTCTTTACTTTGTCGTCTTTTTTGATGATAACTTCATATTGCTTTTGTTAGTATCATCATCATTCTAAATAGTAAAGAAAATTAATTTAAGAAGTACCTATGAGAATTTCAATGTTACTTCTTCATCTATTTCATTATTATTTATTTGATTATGACCCATAGTTAAACCAGAATTTGAGATTAATTGATCATCAATTTCAGCAATTTCAATTGTATGATTTTTTAATTCAATGACTCGTTTTTTTGTATTATTTTCAACTGTATCAAGTAAACCTAATGCTTCATGTCTTTTTTTCATATCTTCACGTCGCTTGAATGAAAAAGAAATAGATTCAAATAATTAATTATTTCTTTTTTCAATTACTTTTTGTCTTAAAGTTTTTAAATCACTTTTTATTTCATCTTCAAGTTCTTTTTGTGCTCGTTCACGTCTCTCTTGTTTTCGCTTATGAAAACCTTTAAGATAATCTCTTAAGATAGAAGAACAAATTTAAGATTATAAAAATTAAATAAGAAACTTTACTTTCGTGCTTGTTCATCAAAAACCAATTGAGTTTTTGTTTGACGATTTTTTTTCGATCGACGTTGAACAAGAAATGACGGGGTACCTTCTGAATCATCCATAATTTTCTAGAATTTATTCCTATGTTAAACTATCTTCATACAATTTTCTCGCAGCATAAAGATAAGATTCAAGTAATTCCAGTGATCTGGTACATGCCAGCTATTTAACCCTTTGTTACGGATCACCCATATATGATATTTGAAGTTTTTAGATATTACTGTCATTACAATATCATTTAGACTCGACCAAAAAGACCCCTCTCTTTGATGGTGGATGTGGGCGAGATAAATAAGATACACCCACACTTACTTTTAAATGCTTCCATATATTAAAAAAAAGTTATTTCAGACAATTTTAGAACGAAAAAAAAACCCGTAACCAAAGGGTTAATATGTAAACTGATTAATGCAAATCTCAACTAGAGTTGATCGTGAAGAATTCCATTGCTTATATTCCGATTGCAATAAACTAAGTAACAAACAAAAATGTCGCACTTTTGTTGTTGTAAGAAGAAAAAAAAACTTGTGCAATTTCTCAGTTTATAATGTAGACAAGAATATTTCAATCATCTGTATATTCATGAACAAATTTTTGTCAAACATCTATCAATTTTTAACGATCAACTAATTTCAAAAGTTATATCATATCATGAATGATCGTTTCTGATTGGTCCAATAACATTCACCAATACATATTAACTAGAATTAAATTCTTATATTTTAATTTTTCTATTATTAAAAATTGTTTTCTCATCTATTTTCTCTTTAAATTTATTTAAAAAATTTTTTTATTATCAAAATCCATCTTTTACCAATGAAATATCCATATGGGGAAGCAAACAAATCTTTTCTCATTTAACAGACACAGGGATCGACCGTTGGCGCGTGTGTCCGTTAATTAGAAAAAAGAAACATGTTTCTATCATCATTCAATTTTAATTCTAGATGTCCATTGATCATTATTAATAAAAGCAACAATGACGACAACAACAAATGATGACATAGATTTTGATTTTTCACAATTAGAAGATACTTTAATTAGTGATAATCAAAAGCAAAGTTTACTCGATTATATGAATCAAATAAAAAGTCAAAAACGTTCAATTAATGATGAATTTAATCAATTTAAATTATCAACAGGTATTTTTTCAATTCACACATTTCTTTCTTTAGTATTTTATTTTTGCATAATTATATTATTTCATAACTAAGCGAACGAACGAATGAACAAGTGTTCTTGTTTCTTTTTTTTCTTCTATTTTTTTTTGCTATTTGTAATCTTCTCTATGATCCAAAACAATATACAATATGAATTAATATGTAAGTATCTGTGCATGTTGCTTGAGCTTGAATTTTTCGAGTTTCCGTTTTTTTGTAAATTAAAAATTCGATTATTTTTCTTCTCGTCTTAAGGTAATAATATAAAACGACGACGTACAAAACGTCAAATGTTATCAAATTCAATATCATTACCAATGGTTAATAATGAACAAACAAATAATTTACAAACAATGATTGAAACATTGATTTATATAGTACATGAAATAAATCTTGAACAAGTAAAGCTAACAACAACAGTTAATCAATTAATAAAACGTATTAATCAAAATGAATTATATTTAAATCAATTAAATATTAATATTGAAACATTATATGAACAATTTCATGTAAGAAATTTTGTATTTTTAATATAGAAGAGGAAAATAATTTTTCATTATAGATAAAACAAGATTCAAATTTTGAAATAGAACCAGTTGAAGTATTAAAATCATCGTTTATTGATGATAATTGTCAACAACCAATTGATATGAGTACAACAAGAAATAATTCATTTGAAAATACAACAAACAAAATTGGAAAAACAGTATCGAATAAGGTACATACAGTTCATTCTATAGTAGAAATAGTTGGATTAAAATTCCAATGAAAAACAAAACATTGAATATGCAGTGGAATTATTACGGAAGTCAAATCGGAATACTTTTCTATCAATATCTTTGAGAATAAGCTTCAGACTAAACAGAATAATGATAGTTAAACAATTTTCTAACCTTATATCGATCTTTTTTTTAGGAATATATTGAACTTGGTGATCCATCCATTGGTTTATCTTGTCTTGTATTAAAACGTAAATATGATCAAGTACGTCGTCGTACTGAATTAGCATATATTCATGGTGAAAAACGTGCAATTGGTCGTTTATTAACATTTTTAATACGACAATTTTTTTCTAATGAAGAATTACGTAGTGCATCATTAGACGGTCGTGTACGTCATACTCAAGCATTAGCTGAAGATCGTATGTCTATTATTGATAAACATTTACAAACAATATTTGGTATTGATTATAATCTCTATCGTATAACGAAAGATTGTGCTGAACAAGTTAATGTTGTTTGTCGACATGCAAGAAATCCAAAGAATTTTTTTGATAATAATAATAATCATAATAGTAATAATAATAATTCAAATATTAAAAATGAAATAAATCATTCAATACTAAATCAAAATGATATTATTGATGATGATGGACAATTGGATGAATATGAATCATTTCAAGAACAATTGTTTATTCAAGCGAATGGTAAGTTTCGTATTCTGAATTGAACTATAGATATAAATCGAGATTCTCATTCAAAAATAATTATTTATTCCAGGAGCGTAGCGAGATCTCCAAGGCAGAGAGGAGCAAAACTTCAGTACTTCAAGTTTTAAAAGCAAGGGGGCGTGACACCCCACGCGCCCCTGATTTATTCTGTGTATTTCGTACGTTGAAATCTATCTTCAGTATGAGAGTGTCTATAATTTATTTACAAATGAAAATAAAAACTTGTTTTTTTTTGTTTAGGTTTACCATACAAATTAGAATCACCATGTGATACTTAATATGAATTAGATTACTATGGATTTAACTTTTCATCTTTATTACCTATAATTTCTTGTTTTACTTTTATTTCTAACTTTGTGCGTGTGTTCTCGTTGTCTTAATCATATGTTTATCACCTTGCTTGTTTATTCATTCGTTCGTTCGCTTAAACATTTCTTGATATTTCATGTTGAGCTTGTTTCATGATTTCATTTGATTTATTTAGAACAACGATTTCATGAATTAGCACGTGAATATGATACTGTTCGTAGTGAAGTCGTTAAACAACGTGAAATTGAAAGTCAATTACGTAATGAAAATGAACAATTACGTTAGTTGAAAATTAAAAGTTTTCGAAAATAGAAGAATGAATATTTTTTTATATTAGAAAAAGCATCGAATGAGATTGATCAACAATTAACAACTATTCGACATAATGAACAGCAACTTAGTACGAAATTGGTTAGTTTGTAAATTTTGTTCTTATTGTAAAAGAAATAATTCTATTCAGGAAACGACACTGGAACAAGTTCGACAGTTATCAACAGAACGAGAACAATTAAAAAATATTATTAATGAAAAAGAAAAAGAAAATTATGAATTACAAAGTAAGTATTTTTATTAATCACTGAGTTTCTATAAAACTATTGCTGCAGAAGAGATATATAGCGTAGTTTTCAGTAATTTCATCAGACGAATATGATTCGATTAATCAAAATATTTGTAAGCCTTTATAAAATCACTGACAATTAATGAGTATCATCAACAGAAAATTTTTATTTTGTGCTTATTCATTTATAGAACAACGTGAGTCGCTAGAAGAAGAAAATCATCAAGTACATAATACAAATACTTCTACAATTACACGTTTACAAGAACTCGAAACTACTCGTTCTCAACTTCAAGTAAATTTATAATGAAAATTTCTCTCTAATAAAATTTACAACTTATTCTGTTCTTTATTTTAGAGTTTAGAAGCATTATGGAATAAAGAACGACAATTATTTACTGAACAGTTACAAACATTAGAACAATCATTAATCGAAAGCAAAAAATTATCTATTGATCGTCAAACAACAATCATGCAGTTAACTGTACAATTAGAATCAACTGAAGGACAATCAAATGCACAAGTTCGTTTCTTATTTTTTGAATACGATAGATTCGAAATTTATTTGTATTCTTTTTTTTTTAATATAGAAACGTTCATTAGATATGGGTCTTGATGAAAAAAATGAAGCCATACTTAATCTTGATCGACAATTACGTGAAAAAACACAAAGAATAGAACAAGTAAAATTAAATGTTTTCTTTTTCGAAGAAAAAGATTTGCATACATAACAAATAGACTCGCTTGTATGAGAAATTTTCGTTATCTGCCATAATCTATCTAAAAATGGCAAAGGTCAAAAAGTCATGCTTAAGTTGAATTTCTCTTTTAATTTGTGTATGATTACAAGTCGATTTTGAAATCTATAGAATCCTTAAATTTTACTGATATTAATAAGTCTTTTTTTCGTATAGCTTCAGACTGATCTTCAACGAACTGTACGTCAAATGGAAAATCAACAAATAACATCGAATAAAACAATTCAATCACTTAAAGTATATCAAATGAATATTTCAGAAAAAAGATAAAGAATTCTTTATTTGGAATAGAATCAAATTGATGAATTAGCGAAAAAAAATTCGATTATTAATGAAAAATATGATGAACAAAATCAATTGTTAGTTAAAGTCACTTCAGGTTAGTTTGTGTTAGAGAAAAATGATTAATATATATGTATAAATATGTGTGCTTAATTATAGAACGAGATGTCATCAAAGCAGAAATGAAAACATCGAATGACATCTTCGAAAAACAGTCAATGGAAAATGGTAAGTGATGGGAATGTATTAACCACTTGCTGTAGTCATTGAGGCAGTTGTCATACTTTTGGTCGAAGGTGATACTCCCGAATCTTGTGAACTATACCAGGGACCTGAAAAAAAAACTATAGAATTCTATTCGTATAATATATAGAAATCTTACGTATTTTTGAAACATGTATAATTTTCGAGCCTCGAAGCACTGATGCATAACCTGCTAATACACCAGCTGTCGTATACATTGGAACACTGTAACAAGTGAATACTGATGCTGGCATTGCTTCAAATGCTTTTTGTGTAGCGTCGCCTGTAATATCTTGACAGCCTTCCTTGCCGCAGTCATCGCCAAATAAAACTGTGAATAGAGTGGTTAATATCATAGTTGAATCTGTATTAGCTTCAATTCCAAGAGTAGAACTTATAATAGTTAAATCGGTTATATGTTTGCTTGGTACATATGAAAACATCTAAAATAGATTACGATAAAAATATAGATATTTTAAAACAAAATTCTATCATATATTGAGAAAATCGATAATGAATATCTCTTTTTTTTATATACGATTTTCTGAATAGATGATACTAATGTTAAAGTCATACTTTTTTTTTGATTTGAGCCAAGCATGATGGACCAACTTGATCACCAATATAATCGCCTAAGCTGGAAGTAGCAACTCGTTTACGTCTGGCATCTGCTACAGCAGTTGTTACACTCGACGTTTTACTTGTTACTATATTTGAATATATAGGCATAAGTGATTAGAAAAAATTTTAATAAAAATATAATACTGAATTGCTTACCTGTTTTTGCTGCGACAGTATCATCAGTCACCATAACTGGAATTAACGACAGAATAATAACCAAAGCAATTACTAATAAACAACAGCCAAGACTGCACATAGCTATAAGAACTGGAGCCCAACCAGCGGCTCCTCCGCCTGATCTGTTAAAGAATAAGGATGAGAGAAATAAGTGATATAAAATTTTAATCAAACCTTACCTTAAAGCTGCTGCTTTATCACGAACAGTCTGCATATTTTTTGAATAAAAATCAACTACTAACGTTCGATTCTGATGTTTCAAATACTTCTGTACGAGAAGTTGATTTTTAGTCGATGAGAACTCAAATAGAAAACGCAATTCATTTATATACTGAAGAATTTTTACTTAAAAACCGTCATATTTTCATGACAAAATGTCCAGAACAAATTTGTTTTTTCATGTGTCGGTCCTAATAATTGTTTATTTATACACAATAAATATTCATGAAAATCTCAATTCTAACATGACTGTAGTTATGTATCTATTATATATTAATTTGTCTTTAATAATCATTACAAATTGATCGAAAAATGCGTATCAATGTTTTCTTTAAAAAATATTCAATAGAAGGAAGTCAACATGATCAATATGTATTCCATAAAAGTTTTTTTTGTCATGCTTTTCATATGAATATTGATATTTTTTCTTCTGACGTATGCAATAGTTATATCAAATGAGTCGATGAGAAAATATCTTTTTACTTGATGTATACAATGTACGTCATTTTGACAGGTACATTCTTTTGTTTATAGAAGTCATGTATTATTTCAAAAAGTCAGAGTTTCCATTCAAATTTAGACACTTAATTTGATATTCTAATAAATTAGTCAGAGTGCATGTGCTTTAAGTCAAACTTCTCTAATGTTAAATTCTACGCAAATTATTGATTAAAATTAAAATGTAAATTAACTTTCGAGTTTATAAGAACGAATATGCTTTTGAGATGCCAGATACTCTTTTATGTCTTACATATTTAGAACTGTCAGTTTAAAAAATATGGTAAAATATTAATCGATTTCGTTATATGTATCCATTTTTCTATTTATCATAAAACGTTTTCAGAATGAAATTCGTCGAACGAATACATATATCTTGTTTTGTCTCAATTTAATGTAAACATCCTTAGTTTGTAGAAATAAATAGATGGTTTCATATTCTTCAGATTAAGTTAAAAAGATATGATATGTTGTTCAGTAATTATACATCATTTAAAAGACTATCTGATATAGCTATAGCTTCCTATCAGTTGTTGTCTTTATTTATTACGGCGAATTTTCATTGTATATGAATTTCGTTTAACAATATTCATTCTTTTTTTCTGACAAACAGCAGGATAGTATAACATATGATGACAAAAATTAGAAAATGATTAATAGAATATATATGCACTTCGTTTGATTGTCGAAAATATTTGTTTTTAATTGAGTTATGATAAAGTCATGGACATAATTGTCTATTATTAATGAAATATACAGAATACTTTATGAAAATAAATCGTAAAATTACCACGAACAATTCTGAGTCATCTCATCATTTAATAATTCAAACAATAAAAAGAAATACATGACTTGCGTTACGTATTCTATCGGAATTTATTCAGATCGACAGAAGTATTGATTGAGAAAAAAGGGAGATTAGCATTTGTAAATTACGATTTCATAAATAATCAAAAATTCAGTATAGACATCAATAGATTAATACATTCTGATCAAAATAAGATGTGATTCTTACAGGGAATTTTCCTTGTTTAACTGAAATACAAATTTCTACAGTTCTACATCTTTTTGAAATCAATAAAAAATAATTTTAACTGAGAAAAGACTTGTTCATATATGTATATTCCATCGTTGAATAAATTTTCTTTTTTGGTAGTTTAAGACAAATTTGTTTATTTTTGTCTCTTAATTATTAACTGTATACTGTAAACGATTGAAAATATGTTCGAATTAGTTATATATTAAGCATGACTACTACCCTAACTAGAGTAAATGAAGGATATCAAAACATATTATGATCAGCACGAGTAGTAACACGCAATCGAAATGAAGATCTCAACGCGAAAAGATTATTCATCAAAACTTCATTTAATTTATCTATGAAAACAAAATGATCATTTGTTATCGTACGAAGTATGCGTATAAATATAATTTTCATCTATTTATCTGAAGATTTATTTATTTTAATAAAACAAAAAATAGTTTGTTACTTTAAGAAATTCTTACCAGATATAGGTAAGTGTTGCTGGTAATATAAAAAGTATAATCTTATTCGTATACACATTTATAGAAGAGAGATAATAGTAATAAGTCGTTATTTTCATAACAGAATTTTCAGTTAATTTCTTCTCCCATTGTATGCCACATTATTACAGAGGCCCAGGAATAGAATCTTTAACTAATATTTCTACTATCGAAAGATGTATCATATAATTTCGTCTGAAATTTAATAAATAAAGATTCTGTTTATTTATTTAGAACAAACAATTCGTCGATTACAAGATGAATTAGATAATACAACACAATTACTTGAATCCATTCGTAGTAAAGGTAATTAATAGTTTGAGTTTATCTATCATTCTATGGATATTTATTAGGTGCTGATCTTACTCAATTGACGAATTTTCTTGATGGTACACTTAGTCATATTCGTTCAAGTGATCCACTATCATCATCATCAACAACAACATCAACGACAACAACAGTAATAGAAGAGAAAAATAAAATTTTACATTTTTCCTTGTTGTTTTATAGATTTGTCCGGAATGTCGTCAATTAAAGAGTGCACTTGTTTTAGAATTAACTGGTAAAGAACGTTTTCGTTTTGGTTATGAACAACTCTCATCGGTAATTATTAAAATGAAGATAATTTTATAATTTTATTCTGGTAATTTAGATGATTAAAGAAGCAGCACCGATACTTCGAAGACAAAAACAAGATTATGAAGCATCATTTGAAGTTATTGGTAAATTAACAAGTGAATTAAATGAAGCTAGAAAAGTAAAATAAATATTTATTATTAGAATAATTTCTTTACAATTGATTTTCTTTTTTAATATAAAGGAATTATCAGAATTACATCAATTATCTGGAGAAAGTATTGAAAATTATCGTTATATTCAACGTGAAAATCAATTTCTGGTCAACGATAATAAGTCCTTAGCTACAAAGGTTAGTTAATAATTTAATCTTTTCTTCGGAGTAAATATTAGTTTTTCGGAACATTCAACAGGCTAGAAACCCACACCCACACCCACACCTTCAAGATTCAATTCATCTCTACTTGCTTTATTGAGAATACATAGAAAAATATTTCTCTTTGTAATTTTAGATTCAAGTTCTTTTGTCTGAAATCGAAGAATTACGTACAGGTAAGCGTTTATCAGAACGTGAAACATCATCTGAACATGATCCGAATCAACAAGTACCATTAACATTTCGGTAAATATATATTAATATGAATTTATTTGAATTCTTATTTATTTTAATTAGAAATGTTGTTGAACTTCAACATGTTAATCAAAAATTAGATAAACTAGTACGTGAAATGCGTGCTCAAACTAATGCTGATGATGAAGATCTTAATCGAACAAGATTTGATGAACTTAAAAAAGAACATCAACAACAACAGGAAAAATTAAAAGAAACAAAAAATCAATTAGATGCATTAGAAACACAGGTTTATAAATCTAAACAAAAGAAAAAACTTAACTAATAAATGATTCTTTGTTTTTCTTAGATGTTATCATTAATACAAGAAAGAGATTTTCTTCGTTTATTAGTTTCACGTTCATCATCATCACAATCTGTATATAAAAGAATTTTAATAATTAGAGTATAAAAAAATTCTTGTTTTCTTCTAGACATCATCAACAAGTCCAACAGTTGATATTCATCAAGTAGAAAACTTACGTGATCAAGTTAATCGTTTACAAGAAAAAATTGAAGTTCTTACAAAAAAAAATACACAAATAATAAATGAAAAAGATGATCTTATCAGGTAAATTATTTCTTTTTCTCCTATTAAATATTTTATTAAACATATTTATTCTAGAACGTCAAATGAAAAAGTCCGTTCAATTCAATATGAACTTTTAACAGCACGAACTGAAGTTGAACAAACGAATGAAAAAGTATATATTGAAAAATTTTAGTTTTTCGAAAATATATTTTATTTTTTTTAGTTAAATTTAATTAATGATGAACATGCAACAAATAGATTAACAATTGCATCACTTAGAACAGAAATACATGGTTGGCAAGAAAGACATAATATGTTAGCTCAAATTCGAACTAAACAAGAACAACAATATTTTCATGTTTTAACTGTACGTTTAAATAGATTGTGATAGTTACCCATTGAAATTGAGGATGGACGGCGTTTATTCATCACCCACTCGAATCACCTCAAAATATACAGCTACTGTATTTTTTCGAGTGGGCTGATAGAATTTGAGGATAGGCGGCGCCCACCCACTGGATAAGACACTGTCATAGACAATTACTAAGGAGATCGAAGTTTTCCTGTAAAAGAAAGAGTTCTATGCTTTTATAAAAAATTGTTTTATCAAGTTTTACTGTGCCTATATTCTCGTAGCTCTGCTGAAAGATCATTTCTGATATACGACTAAAAAAAGAATCATCTGATCGTTCATCTAAACAGTATTGAATATCCTTCAGTCAGGACTATTGTAGATCCGCGAGAAGAAAACATAAGACTTCGTTTAGTAGAGGAGGCGTGCTTTGCGAATTGCTTCCGAAGGATATATGAAAGATGCAGACGAATGAGGGTTTGGAAACAAAACGAACCCTTTCAACCTCATCCGCATCTTTCCGGATCACGCTTTCGAAGTATTTATCTTGTATTGAAACGAATGAGGGAGTTATGCAATTTTTTCAACATTCTGTTGAGTTTCTATCAATCAAATTCTTTCTTAGACTCATGAAAATTCGATGATAAGATTAACAAAAATGTTTGTCACAAATTGTTTACTAATTAATCTTTTTCCTTAGGAATTACGTCAATTGAAAGATGAAAAAGCTACATTAGAATGTCGTTTAAATACTTCAGAAAATGAACATAAATTTGATTCAATTAAATTTGAACAAATCGAAAATGAATGTATGCTATTAAAAAGTGAAATAATCAAAAATGAACAAATTCAACCGGTTATTGAAAAACTTCAGGTATAAAATCAAACGAAAAAAAAATTTCAATTAACTTTTTACTTTTCTTATATAGAATTTAGCTGAATATACAAAAGAAAGAACTAAAGCCATGTTTGAAGCTAAATTAAATGATTTAACTGCACAAAATAATGAATTACGTCAAAGAATTGAACAACATGAACGTGATAAAGAATTAATGGAACGTACAAATCAATCACGTTTAGATGAAATAACACAAAATTTACAACAAGAAAAACTTAATCACACAGAAACACGAGCAAAATTTGTGTCAGAAAAAGAAAAAGCTGAACAAATACAGCGACAAGTATAATTCATAAATTTTCATATAAAAAATTATTTTCTTATTTTCTACTTTCAGCTTAAAGAAATCGAAAGTAAAGTCAATTCAAATACAAATCAAAAGAGTGGTATAATATAATTCATATTTTATTTAATTCTATTTCATTTCTATTCATTCAAAGATTTTGAACAACAACTAGGCAATTATGAAAAAGAATTAAAAATGCTTAGACTTCAACTTGATGCAGCTAATAATGATTTAGAAAGTATGAATTTAATATTTTATTAAACTTTAACTAATTTTTCTTTTATAGTAAAACAAACATTAATTCAATCTGGTGTTGATAATGCTAATGAATCAAATATCAATGGACAAAAAGCAATCGAAGAACTTGACAAACTCAAACAAGTAAAATTTTTATTAAGAATTTTTAATAATCGAATGATTTAATTCTTTTAGGAATATACACAAAAATCATATGATTATGAAAGTGAAATAGATCGACTTAAACAAGGTAAATAACGGGATCACGAATGAGGATGAAACAGTATTTTATCTAGCAGTTGGGCTGAGTGGGCGGCGCCCAATCGAAATTTCGATTCGCCCACCCAAAATACGAGACTTAGACAGAGCACTGTTAGTCAACGCCCATCCAGAATTTTTATTTCGCCCACCCAAAAAATGAAACCTGGATAAAATACTGGGGTAAAAGGGTTCGTTTTGCTTTTAAAATCCCATCCGCACGCATCTTTCATATACCCATTTTTTAATCAAAATAAATCATTTGTATTTTTATTCAGAAGTTCTTAATCATCAATCAATTATTAATCAAAACGAAGAAAATGTACGTTCATTGAATGAACGTATTCAAGCAATGAATGATCAGTATCAAATTGATGTAAGTCATATCTTATATAAAAATTCTATTAATTATTTTCTTTTAGTTAACACAATCAACTGAACGTTATGATCAAATACTTATGGAAAAAAATGAAATTTTACAACAATTACAAAATGCTGAACAATCGCTTAATGAAAATATGGAATTAAAAGAAAAAATAAATCAAGTAATTTAGATATATATTTCGCATATAAACTATAATTATATTAAAATTTAGTTTGAATCTACAATTGAAGAACAACAAATGAATTTTGATGAATTAAAAACACGTTATAATGAACTTTCACAACAAACAGCAACTTTACAAACAGATAATGAACGATTATTTGAACAAATTCAACAATATGAAACAACAATTTTACAAAAAGATGATCTATTTAAAGTTCAACAAGATATAACACAACAAATTGAACAACGTTATGCTGAACTTGAACAAAAACATAATGAACAACATACATTAATGATTAAAGTATATTGCAGATGCTATTTAACTAATATTGAAAGGCTAAGAATAAACGAAGAGTTTTTGCATTTTTGTTTCATCTATAGATATTCATTAGCAGGGAGCTGTGAGTTGACCCAAACCCGGGATCCGACTGAGTAAGGGTACGGGTCTAGGTCTAACAAGAAAACATTTCTCGGGTCTGGATTGGGTGCGGGCTCAAAAAACGGCGGACCCACAGCTCTCTACCGCACGCAGAGGGTGCTAGATATTGATAAAAGCATCCGGATCTGCGTTTGAGCCTGACCGGGTCTGGGTCGGATCCGGGCCCAAAAAATGGTGGACCCACAGCTCTCTACTCGTTAGACAATCGAAATACAGATGTGATTAGTTTTTTCGAGATTCTTGTTGTATTAAACTTTTAGAATATTTTAATAATGACTAAACCCACTTTTACTGAATGAATATCTACAGATCAATTAAACATTTTAGTAACATAGTAGTATTTTAATAAGAGCGAAAAATGGATTTTATATTTCGTGTATACGAACTATCGAAATAGAGCAGACGAGAGAATAGTTTGTAACTTATTGATATCTATATATATATAACCTGTACTTTATCTATTACTTCTAGTTATCAACACATTTAGCTGCTAAAGAAAGTGAAACACTTGCTCCAACAACTGATTCATCTGTAAATGAAACTTGGAATACTATACTTGCAATGAATAAGTAAATAAAAATCTAGAGATGATTTTCATTTTTTTTTCTTAATTCTGTTTGTTTTAGTTATCTTCGTGTCGAAAATACTCGATTAACAGAAGATGTTGAACGTATTCGATTAGAAAATGCACATTTAAATGAACGTAATAATACATTAGAACAGACTTATTTAAATGATCAACAAATTATTGATGAACTCAATGTTAAAAATCAATCATTACAAATATTACAAGATCGTTTTGATAATGATCAACAACAAATAAATAATTTACAGGAAAAATGTCAATCATATGAACAGGCAAAACAAAATATGCAACAAGAAAACTATACGTTTCAAACAACAATTGAACAATTAAATCAACAAAAACAATTATTAAATAATCAAATTAAACAATCGGAAGATAAATCACGTACAAATGAAGAACAAGTAACAGTTAAAACAGCTGAAATGTATGTAAAAAGTCAAAGATATATCGGATAAAAGTACTAAGAATATGTTCTTTATTTTATTTTTAAAGTGAACGACAAGGACGTGAAATGGAAGATTTAAGAGGAAATATTAAAAAACTTGAAAGTGACAATCAAGAACTTAAACAAATGACTACAAAAGTTTGTTAATACACTTTGAAAAAATGTTTCGTCTTATTCAAATTTCTTTTTAATTTTATCAGTTACGAAGTATTGCAATTAAATATCGCTCAAATGCTGCAGCTGTAGCTGCTGCAGCAACAAATGCTCCAACTACTGCATCAACAACACCGGCTGATACAGATGAATTATTAGCTCCTGGATCAACAGAAGTTACACCTGGTGTTGTAGCACCACCCGAAGCAAATAAAGTATGATAGAAAAAAAACATGAAAATCATGTTTAAATGAATAAAATTTCATTTAGAATCGACCATTACCAAATGATTTATCTGAAAAAATGAATAAACTTCGTGATGCTCTTGTTGCAGCACGTACAATAATAACATCTCAACAAACTCGTATGACACAAATGACAAATGAATTAACACGAGCAAAACAAGCTCGTATATCAACTGATTTAACCGGTTAGAATTTCATCAAATCTTTCATAGGTTTTTATTTCAATTTTTTTTCTATAGAAATTCATTCACTTGTTGATAATATTCGTCAAACATATGATACAGAAATTAATGATCTTAAACATATTATACAATTATTTGATAATACAGATCCAAATGAACATATGGCTGAAATCGTACGTTTACGAAAAAAAATTGATGAATTAACAGCAAATAAGGTAAATAAATCGTTGTTTTTTATAAGAATATAAAATATTCAATGTTGGTTTGTTTTAGCCATCGACATCATCAAATTTAAATACTTCATCAAATAATAAACAATCAGAAGATGTAACACCTAAACCAACTCGACCACAAGCATTTGCTGCACCTATGACACAGTTTGTTATTTATTTTTTCTTTAAAATTTTTTCTAATTCTAATTTTCAATGAATAGAGAACCAGCTATTTCTCGTGTTGCTCCAATGGCTCCGTTAACTGGTCGTCAAATTGGTGTAGCTATACCAATGACAGCGTCAGCGACACCAACTACGACAAGTACACCACTTTGGACTAATACTGCATCAACAACGGCGGAAACAACAACCTCACGTATGTATTATGAATCTATTTAACGATATATTATAATGACTCTTTAAATAGAAGCTGCAGCATCAGTTGAACATCCAACAACAACTCAAATATCAACACCAGCGGGTGTTAATTTATTAATGAAACGTACAAGAACTGATGATAATGATCATAAGTATGTATACATCTATATGATAATAAGAAAATTATTTTATTATTAATTTTAGATCAACAGAATCTACACTTAAACGAACTAAAGCAGAAACCGAGGTAAATATAAAATACGTATTGCGAACAAGTAACAATTATCTCAAATGACTAGACTATATATAATAGCAACTAAAGTAGACAACTGAATACGACAAGAATGTAATAATAATTTATAGAGATACAGGAATTCGCGAGGAAATTAGATTAAATACGAAAAAAAATTTCAATTCTTATTCATTTCTATAGACTAACCCATTAATTGCTCATGTCGAACCACAAGTACGTGAACAACAACAACAACAACAGCAACAAATTCCTTCTCAAGTAAATATTTCTTTTGTTTTGCTCATTGATCGTTAATTTAATTTTATATTTATTTTTAAGGAACAACAACAACAACAAGAAACTATGGAATCAAGTAAATAATTAATAAAACAAAAAAAAATATATCTTTATTTTTATTTGCAGATGTGATAGATACAACACGAACAGATATTATACCGGTATAATATTTAGAAAATAAAAATATTTGTTATTTTTCATTAAAATTTGAACTATGTATTTAGATACAAATTGATAATGAAGGAATTCGTGGTTCTGTTGAAGAGACAACTTCACTTGATCAATGTAATGAAATTTTATCTTTACGTCAAGTTTTATTTATTTTTTATTCTTCTTTTTTTAAGCAATGGAAGGTGAATCTCGATTGAATATTACTAATACATCATCAACAAATCTTGATTCAACAACGACAACAACAAATGAATCAACAAATATAACTATGGAACAATCAAATGATCAACGTCGTGATATTTTACCGATTGTCTATGATGTTCAATCAATTCCAACTATCAACACTGGTGGACCGCCACAAATAAATCGTGGTGGTGTTGGTCGATCACGTCCTTTTTCAAGTGGTATGTTAATTTAATAGAGAAAGAATATGAAGTTTTAATTTAATACCAAAATTTGTTTTTTAGTTCCAGGTACTCGTCGACCATGGCCAGCACGAGGTGGTGGTGTCGGTAGTGGAAGAGGAGGCATAGGTGGACGTGGAGCAGGCGGTGCCGGTGGTGTTGGCCCATCCGCTCGTCAATAAAACATTCAATTTTTTTCTTTTTTTCTTCTCCTTTCTTTATATGTGATTGTGTTATTATACCAAATGTATAATCTGTAGTATGTGTATTTAAAATCTCGTTCTCTCTTCTATACGCTTCGCTTTGATTTGTTCATATCAGCGTAAAACTATAATGTTCTACATTGAAATACAAATTATATTGGATTCAAATAAGATCTACTATACATGGTGACATTTACTCACAATAACTATATAAGAAAATAATATATTTAACTTTAAAAGAAAATATCTGATAGTTTTGAAAACAATTCGGGTATTACAATCGTAAAATGTATCGATTTATACTGGAGTATGAATATTGATCATTAAGCACTTTTTTATCATTATATACAAATAAATCAGATTGATAGTATTATAATAGAAGAAAATTGTTTATGAATATAAAAATAATTGATATGTTTCTTTTAGCCATTGTATTCGATTAATTTATGTTCTCTCTGACAAAAGTTGAGCTAATTGAAAATATACTGCAATATTGTAGATATTCTATTTATTTCAAACAAAAAAGAACTGTAAATTTTCCTCGATAGCTTTAGAATCTTTTAAATATGCGTAGAATAATAAGTATTACGTAAAATTTATAAAATGATTTCCCAGTTCACTACGATTTAACCTATATATTTAATCGATCGGTACAAAGGAAAGAACATGTGATTATTTATTGTTGACGTCATGAATATAAAATATATTATCAAAAGAAAAAGAAAATCGTTTTCGTAACTATCCATCCATCATATTATGATCAACAGACAAAGTCAAAGTAAAAATATCTATCATAATCATTTTCTTAAGATTTTAGTGTACAGATATAATAGTTGTTTTTCTTGGTATTACGAAGTTTTACAAGATTGTTTTTGTTTATTCTTGAATCAATAAAAAATATACCATCATCGAATAGACGAGATCTGATGAGTATCGAAGTAATTGTGACTAGAAAGAAGGTAGAGAGCTTCAATTGGTTCTTCTGAGTTTTCTGACAATGAAAATAATGATCTCTAAAATTTTCATTACAACTGTCAAGAAAAGTTGCGAATAATTCTTTCTCTCATGATCTCCGTCGCTAAAAAATTCCACTTCTGCGAAATGAAGTATAATAAAATGATTCTGAAAATCTATTACTTTATTTTTCACCTCTGTCATATAAAATCTTTTATTAATACTTCTATATCCTTATTTTCAAAATAATTCTGATTCATCAGACACTGATTAATAATAGAAATATCCCGTGATGACAAAGTTATACTGAGACACTAAAAAATTATATTCTATAAAATAGTATTGAATTTGTAAGGTTTCCTTAATATCAGAAAAAACCAAATATTTGACAGAATGTATCTCAAGAAAATTTTAATGATCTATTTTATACCTCTTAATATATTTACTAATGATTGTTCTTTGTCTAATATAATTATCTGTATATCTTGCATATCAAACATTGTTATATCATTTTGATCCAAATAATCATATACTACTACATCATGTATTTTGTTTGTTTTTTAATATAGAAAGAAACAGAAAAAAAGTAAATAAAGGAAAAACGGATAGGATAGGTATGATCAAAGTAAACAGACGACAAAGAAATTTATATTTTGGTGTCGTCTTAGGATACTACGAGGATGTTTATTGTTTCTTTCCTCCAGTTGCATCGTCATATTTTGAACCAGGAAAGTCTTCATGTCCAATAAGATGATATGGAGGTTGAGTTAATGCACCTGATCTTGGTACAATTACCATTCTTAAATATATATAAGCTAATGCAACAGCAACAATACCACTGGCAAGTATTGTATTATAATGTGCTTGTTTTTTTCCATTAATTTCTTGCCAATTACCTTCTGGTTTTGGTAACCAATCAAGTGTAGCTTTATGTTGCCATAAACGTTCATAAAGTGTTTTATATGGATCATGATGACCATGATGATGATCTACTTCACCATGATGATCACCATGTTGTACTTCGTGACTACCATGACTTTTATATCGACGAGAATCAACCAAAGGAAGATTGTTTGTAATAATAGCACGTTTTGCAACTGCAGTTACATTTGGCTTTAAAACACGTGCCAACATATTTAATTAAGAAATGAATTGAAATAGAGAAATCTAAAATAATAAAAAATTTCTAAAATATAAAACAGAGCAAAGTATTTTATTTTAATGTCTTGTTTTCATCTATGATTCCTTGTAAACAATATGGCGATGAATAAACCAATAGAATGTAAGAGAATAATTTATAGAGTGCGCTTTATACTTCTACATTTTCTTATTTATTTGTTTATTCTCATTTCTTCTTTTTTGTGATTTGTTTTCTTTATCCATCTTTTATTCGAATACATAGCGGTCTCTATCGTTTACTATAGAAAAAAAGAGAAAAGGTATTTAATAGTACTGCTAAAGATTTTTTTTTGAAATCTAAGATGTTTTCTTCTAACTATTTTTCATCGGATTACTTTAATTTGATTCATTATTCTAATGACATTTATCAGCTGGTTGTATGTACGGCCATTTTCTTTTCTACTCTAATACAACTGTTTTTTCTTTTCTTTTGCCTACACATAAGTCATATGTATGTTTCATTTTGTCTAGGGTTTTTTCTAATTACGAACAATAGATAAGATATAAAAACAAGCCTCAATGTATTAATATTTGGATAGATTACGAAATAACATGACAAGCTCAAATACCAGTCAACGACGTTTATTTAAAGATTTACAAAAAATTCGTACGGAAGAATTACAAGGTACATTAAGATAATTAAATTAACAAAATTATTTCTATTCATTTTATTTTAAGGTATTAATGCAATACCTGTCGACGATGATATGCGTGTTTGGAATGCATTAATTGATGGACCAGTTGATACATGTTATGAAGATGGATTATATACGTTAAGAATGGAATTTTCAGGTATTTAATATATATGAAAATATTTTTCTTTGCAAAATATTTTGTTTTTATTGTAGATACTTATCCATTAACACCACCTATTGTTCGATTTACATGTAAAATGTTTCATCCGAATGGTATAGAAAAAAAACGTTTTTCTTTTTTTATGTAATTTAAATTTTGTTATATTTTAAGTCTATGCTGATGGTAGTATATGTTTGGATATTTTACAACGTAATTGGAGTCCAACTTATGATGTTTGTGCTATACTTACATCAATACGTTCATTATTAAATGATCCAAATCCAAATTCACCAGCTAATAATGAAGCAGCAAAATTATTTTTGGAAAATCGTCGATTATATGAATCGAAAGTACGTAAATTAGTTGAAGAATCTATTATGGCTGATCAAATTCATAATGATTTAAAAATTACCGATGATTCAATACAAACAAATGATAAATCTGAAATTGAAACAACACCTAATGAATGAATATTCTCTCTCATTTATTGTATTTAACAGTCATTTTCATTTTTCTCTTTTGTTTTTTTTGTTATTAAAAAAAAAATTTTTTTTTTTCTCTTTCATTCATTAATAATGTATAAAAACCAAGAAAATATATATACATATATATATTCATTTATTCTAGATGTAAAAAACGTGCGAGCGTGCTAATTTAAGCACTGCCCGCTAGTTTATTACTAGTAAAATTCTTTCTTTTTTGTCTATTTATCTATTTATATTCTTAATAAGCAAAAATGCCTACACGTTCAACTTATAATCAACCAACATCATCAGCATCAAATCATCAAATAATCAATAATAATAATTTAAATCAATTACAAACAGTTAATTCTAATACGGATATAACATCTTATATTGGAAAAACTTTAACAATTAATCAACATCAAGTTATTGTTGAAGATATTCTTGGACAAGGTGGATTTGCATTTGTATTTCTTGTTCGATCAACTAATCAACAACGTTATGCACTTAAACGAATGTATGTTAATAATGAACGAGATTTAATTGTATGTCAACGTGAAATATCGATATTAAAAGAATTTTCAACACATACAAATATTGTTAAATATATTGATTCATCTATACAACGTTTATCTCCGCCATCCCAATCGAATCTACAAAAAAAACCTATATCTGATGATGATGATGATGATACTGAAGATGATGCTATTTATGAAATACTATTATTAACGGAATATTGTTCAAATGGAGCATTAACTGTAAGTTATAATATAACGAGCATATATACAGAATCCAGTTTTTCAATGGAATTTGTGTAGAATAGTTTCTTTTATATGATAGACTTCTATGAGATATTTGATAAATAATAATTAATATTTTGTTTCTTCGACAATTAAATTACAAGGTCAAGAATCAAACCAATGAAACGTCTCTTTTGTTAATATGTAAGATCGATGTAGAATGTGCCTGCGTGCAGTGTTTTATCTAGGTATTTCCTTTCGAGAGTGCGATAGCGATTTCCGGGATGGCGATGCCCACACTGCCCTCCCGCTGGATAAAATACTGCCTGCGTGCGTGATCAGGCGGTTAGGGAAAAAGCTCTGAAATGATCTTAGGGATGTACTGAAAACAATTAAGTTGCAGTTTCTTTCTCAGATTATTATAATTTATCTTTTTAGACTCGTTTAAATGAACAACGTAATAATGGTGTATTATTAAATGAACGTCAAATTTTACGTATATTTGCTGATATTTGTAATGCTGTAAGTGTATGTCATTATCGTCGTCCTCAACCGATACTACATCGTGATATTAAATTAGAAAATATTCTTATTGATTCTCATCAATCATTTCTTCTATGTGATTTTGGTTCAGCTATTATGCTTCCATCTTCAAAACATAATGATCATCAACAATATCAATCCACTCAATTAACTACAACAACTATTCAACAACTTGAAGAAGAAATTCAACGTTATACAACATTATCATATCGTGCACCTGAAATGATTGATTTATATAGTCGATTACCAATTACATTAAAAGCTGATATATGGGCAATGGGATGTCTTCTATATAAACTTATGTATAATATAATGCCATTTGGAGATAGTATTTTAGCAATACAAAATGGAACATTTCATATACCAGATGATATGTCACAAGTTTATAGTCGAGAATTAAATATATTTGTCCGATATATATTAGAAATCGATATCAATAAAAGACCAGATATTTGGCAGGTATGAAAAAAATGAAATACTCTCTCTTTCTTAGATATATTTCATTTTCTTTTCTTAAGGTTGCTTCTATAACGTATAAATTACTTGGTATCGACTGTCCAATTCCAAATCGATATCAATCAAAAATCCCTGATTTAAGTACAATATCAATGCCATTAACAGATAGTGAATTTCGTCATCAACGAGCAATGGCTTTAGCAAATGCAAAATCCACAATAACAAATACATCTGATGAAACATCTAATCTTGGTACAGCAGTTAACCCACGTGAACGTCCACGTGGTATGATGGCACCATCTGGTTCATTGATTAATTTTAATCAAACCACTCAACGACCGACAGCAGTTGTTGTACCTCCACTTGTGCCGCCAGTTCTACCTCCCGCTCCAATTTCAACTCTAGTTCCGAGTCCATCTCGATCTTCTCATCAACGATCAGGTTCAGCAGCTCAACTTATGTTTGATGATGATTTTTCACAATTTCCAAATCATGCTCTTAGCTTAACTAATATTTCAAATGTGACAACACCAAAAGCTGCAATAGCAACACCTGAACGTAATGTTTCTCGCGCACGACCATCACCACCAGCATCATTATCTGCAGCATCTAGTGTTACTTTACAACAACAATTATTTCCTCCTCCTCCACCTTCTTCAAGCAATACACAATTAACAGCAACACCTTTAAATCATCATCAACATCGACGTAGTGCATCACAAACTATGAGTCCAACGAATAATCAAATACCTTTTCCACAAACGTCTTCCATTGAACCAAATCCATCATTTGATCGTCGACATTCAATTGATTCATCGACAAAACAAATACAACCTGACGTACTTTTTATTGGTGAAGCATCTGATGATGATGAAGATGATGATGATGAAGCATTAGAAACAAATTTAAATAAATTAAAAGTTTATAATCATTCAACAGAAAATGTTAAATCTCGAGAAAGCCTGATTTTAAATGAAGATGATCGTTTATTTGCTAAAACATATACTATTAATTCACAATTAAAATCTGATGATGAACAATCATCATCATCACTATCAGATGATAATGAAAAAATGAATCGGGTATGTTAATCAATTTTTCTTTTAACTTAAATCCGATGAAAGTGAAATGTATATTGAGAGTAGATTTGAGACCTGGATTTGAATACACTGACATTTGACATTTTCTATTACATAATTGAATAAAAGAACAAGCGTCTGATTATGTAATGTATACTCTAATTAATTATTCATTATGTTATTCCATATGGAGTTCTATTCAGTTTCATATCTGGATATAAATGGAGAGATCGATTCACTTAAAATAGTTTACATAGGGAAATTTTGTTTTGTATATTTTTCGATTAATATCTATATTATATTTATATTTTAGAAGAATAAAAAGAAACCTCCATCACAACAAACACCATTACGTTCAAATCATCATGCATCGACAGATGAAACAGATAAACATTTATCATCCCCTAGTACAACAAATAAAAATCTTGTTAAACGTTTAATTGAACGTTGTTCTCTTCAACAACCACAACAACAACAACCGGATGAGCCTATAACAACTTCAACACCATATAAACGAAAGGATTCTTTTATACTTTCCAATGAACATCCAATTGTAATGGGCGGTCATTCTGATAATAATGGCAACGATGATGATGATGACGATGAGAAACGTAATGTTAACAATCATGATATGAATAATGTTGGATTTGATCAATTGATTAATGAAGATTCAGATGATGATGTACCTTTACAAACACCAAATACGGATAAGACGAATGCTAGTAGTAGTCTTTTTACGACATCACGTCATAAAGAACAACAATATGAACATTTTCAAGATTCTGATGATGAAACAAATCATTCAACACCAAAAACATCATCTAGTAAGTTAGCAAAAACAAAAAAAGAGATTATTTTTAAAATTTTTCTCAACACATTTTTATAGAAGATATAACTTGGTTTTAAGAATAGAAACTAAAAGTAAATTATTTCCACTATCTAATAATCTCTTGATTCTTACACCCTCGGCTTATATTTAACGAAAGATTATTTTATTTTTATTTTTCTCTCTTGCCAATTCAATACATATATTTTTTTTGTTTTTAACTAATTTAGATCCAACAACAAAACTATTTAATCTCTTTACAACAAATTCAAAAACAAATCCATCCAATGATACAAAGCGTATAATTAATGAGCGTAATAATCAAACAAATTCTTCTTTTATTGATAATGATAATCCATTTCTTCACGCACCTTTTAATCGTACTCATCGTTCTCCAACACAAAAACAAATATCACAAGCTCCGTCTTCATCTATGAATGTTGATACAATATCTACATCTAATACTTCCTCTTTTGATCCAACTAGTATTGTTATTGGAAAAAGACTTAGTGCATTTGCTCCTTACCATAGACAAGAACCAAATTCTGGCAATAATGGTAAACTGATTTATTTATACGAAGAAATTAAATCTGCTAGGAAGAAATATTCTTCTATTTTCTTTGTAGGATTATGAGTTAAAATACGTATGACTAGATTTTTGCGACAAGGACATTTTTTTCTTTTTATATTAACGTCATTGTTTTTACTGCATGTAAATTACAATATGACGTATAATAAAAACTTACTCATGACAAAAATTATAATCTTATTTATAATAATGAATAGGATTAATTCTTATTCTACACATATAAAGACTCTAGACGATCTTAAGTACCTTCGATGACTTTTATTTCCTGTTGACTTGAAAGAATGTAAAAGAATAAATATCCTATGCAAATATGATTGTATATGGGTGGGCGTAAAAAAAAGGAAACCATGAGATCATAAAACTTCAAATTTGCATTGATAAAAACATTTTCTTTCTTTTTTTAACTAGTAATTGATCCAACATCATCATCATCATCAGCGTTTAATTTCGGTACATCTACACAAAAGCTTCCACATTCAGAATCTTTTCCTCCGGGTATTACTAATAATACGAATCCAAATAATCAATCAGCGATATCGAAAGATGTTTTTACAAATGCACCATTTAAAACAAAATTAACAACTAAACAACAACGTTCAATGGCAGCGAATAAAACAAATGCTATATCACCATCATCATCTCATTCAACTTCATCATCAAATTCTCAATTAATTGATTTTACTGTTCCATCACATTCAACAGTTGAATCAACAATAAAAGAACAGACTCTCTCATCGCCTATACGTCGTCCTGTTGGTTCAGCTGCTCTAGCAACAAATTTCAGTACATTTGGAGGAATAAATACAAAAAATGATGCATACTATTTTCATTCCGAACGTGTTAATGAGGGACATTCATCAGGAGAAGAATTAACATCATCATCATCATCATCAACACGAAAACGTCGTAATAAAAAGAAATCTTCCATAAATACCGGAAATGATTCTCAACAACATGCTTATGCAAATCTATCATTTAACGATAATATTGTCGATGAATTACTATGATTCTATCTAGTGTGTTCTTTTTCCGGTGACTTTTTTCAAATCCTTTAACCTTTATTTCTTATGTGAGAGTTCTACCATTCCATATCCTTTCGTTCTCTTTTCTTTTCTTTCTTTTTTTTTGATTATTCCATAAATGTCTTTTGTTCACGCATATACTTATGTGTATAGAAAAATCATTTTTCTTCACCTTTTTTTCTTTTTTTTCTCTTTCTCTGTGCTCTATATTATATATCTATTTATTCTTTTATGATCTCCATTATAAAAAAATAAAAGAAAAACTTAAACAATGCAATATATATATATAAATATACATGTATCTTTTTCAAAGAAAATAACAAAACGTATCTTTTTAACTTTAGAGACTATACTCAAATGAGAATTTATTTTAAACAAAGCGTTTTACTTGTTATCTGTTTGATTTGTACTCTTATTGGTATATATTCATGGCGTTGGTGGCAAGAATATGTATGAGATAATGATGTTTATATATATATATATATATATCAATAAATTTCGATATTTAGAAATTAATAATTAATCATTTTACTCATCCAACACCAAAAACTAACTTAAATGATTTAGAACAAGCTATTTTATTGGATAGCAGATTGATATCCAAATGTCAGCATTTTGCACAAGGCAAACAATCACTTGTCGTTGATAGTAAAGGTATTATTTACTGTAAATATTACTTCGGAAACTAGATATTACTGGTTAAAGAAATACCAATGAATGTTTAACACTTAGCTGATGCAAAAAATAATTAAAAAAGGGTTTTTTACTTACAATTTACATAATATTTTCCGCATTATATAAAGAGCAAAAACAATTCTCTTCTCATTTTTTATTCCTACGTGTAGGTTATGTCTGTGAACGTCGTCATTTAGAAAAAATAGACGGGTGTTGTCAAACAACATCATCATCTATTCTTGGTCCATATATCTGTGATACTTGCTCATCGACAACTCATTGTTGTAGTTCATTTGAACATTGTATATCGTGTTGTCTTAAACCTGATCATGTATGATTTATTTTCTATTATTTAATTAATTGATTATTGTTTTTTATTTTGCTAGCGTATTCATCTTCAAAATTATATTCGTTCTCGTGATTTAAAAACTAAATTACTTCTTTCACATTTATCTACATCATTTGACGTTTGTGTATCACGATGTCGAACGCATAGTAATAGTGTTGTACATGAAAATGAATATATTGATATAATACATAAATATTGTTTCGAAACAAATTTATCAAATTAAACCAAAAAAACACAATGATTGATTCTGACGATAAACGTGTAGATGAAAAAGAAATAGTAGATAATCCTCAATATTCACCATTTAATATACAATGGCTTGATACTAGTTATCAACAAACATGTTTACCTGATAGTCCATGGCAACAAGTAAATATTGTTCTTTATAAAATAATATCTTTTCAATATATAAAAATAGGTTCTTAATGATTTGGAACCAGTCTTATTTAATAGAATACATCAACAATTTAATAATTCTCAACGTCGACAAATACTTATCGAATTACTTGGTAGTCAATTTCAACAGAAATTCTTTGTAAATGAACCTGATAATCCACATATACTAGTTAGTTGATTCTGACAATACATATTTTTTAGTAAAGATTGAATTTATATAGATGCCACCTAATATGCTCAAAGAAGATCGACTCAAACTTGAAAATGAAGCAAAATCATGGTTACAAATACAAACACTTAAAGCAGCAACTGAAATAGACGCAGGTTTATATTTCATTTTTTTCTTCTAAAGTTTATCTTGTAATATTCTTATTATTTTAGCTATGAAAGAAAATGATCATCAGTAAATATAAATAAAAACTATATAAAACAAAATATATATTTTTCAATTTTTAGTACTAATCACTTATCAAATGATATGAAAAATTTTCTTACATATACAAATCAAACTGTATCGACATCATTTGAACGTTATTTAAATCAATTACAACAAAAACAGGAAGAACAAAAATTACAAGAATTAAATAAAATAAAACGTCAGAAAGAATTAACTGGAAGTTCAAAACTTCGTTCTATTCTTCCAGATTCACGAATGCACTCAAGAAAATTATCTGTGATTAACAGTATGTAATTAGTTAAATGATAGAGACTTTTTACTATGCAGTATCTGAAGGCGCAATTTGATTGAAATCCGAGAGGAGCACTAGTGGCGTAACCAGTATTTTGGGCGATGCCTGTGAGGTCGTAGGGCACACAAAGAAATTTGGCTTACAAAGCTAAAATGGGTAGTTGGGCGGCGCCCAATCAAGCCCGACTCTGGTTACGCCACTAAGGAGCACCTGAAAAGATTCCCCTGTGAGCAATAATATGAAGAAAATTATTTTCTTTGTTTAGAATCGCCATCATTTTCATATTCGACGACATCTCAATATAGTGATGTAATATCAAATTCGATTGTTGCATTACTTAAACATGATTTACGTCGTATAACATTTATAAAAGAGAAATTATTTGGTCAACAATTACCAATTGCACTTCGAGAAATTAGTTGGACGGAATATTTACTTCGATCTGAAAAGAAATCATTTAATTATAATCTTGTATGTTTTTTTATTTTTCGTACAAAAGTAAAAATAATAAAATATTTTTTTATGATTAGAATTCTATTGAACATCAAATAAGACGAGATTTTGCTGCTGGAATAACACGTGGTAAAAATGAACTTAAATTAATGGATCCATTAAATACTCCAATGAAAAACTTAATTGAAAATGATGTTATTGATGTAAGAAGAAAAGCTTTTTTCTAAGAATAAATAAGAAATAGTATACGAAAATAAGTTTATATAATCCGATCTAATTTAAAGATTTATTTATTCCGTTAAATACTACTTATAAGATTTGTATAAACCATACCCGAGCGCGAAACATTATATGTCTTTCTCTGTTTTAGACATATAGTAAAACTTATGCTCTTCAATCATATCTTAAAAAATATCATCTACGATTGACAATCAAAACCTTAAATGTTCTTTATACTTACAGAAAAGATTATGAAACTTATTTTATATATTGGTTATTACCATTTCAGTTATCATTTATGGATGAAATACATAAAGGTATGGAGTTTTTATAATCGATGTCTTTTTTTTATTGAGATTTATTTTCTATAGATGAAGAAATTTATGTAAGTGCAATGTATCTTGATTTATTTATTCGTCATTGTTTTCCTACATGGTCAAATATATTTACAATTGCAAGTAAAATAATGAGTGATATAGCAATTCATGATCAGGAATTTTATAATCATATTAAAAAAACATCGAAAATCGATGTAAAGATTAATACAAAAGTAAATCTTTATGTTCATTAACTTAATAATCATTCATTTCTTTTAATTAAGGATTTTGTTACAGAAATTATATCATTGGAAAATGAACAAAGTGAAAATGTCAAACAATATAATAATGAAATAATGACCGATCCAGTTATATTCCTTCGAAAATGGATCTGTGAAGTATGTATTACAAAATATATTATATAAATTATTGTTTTTATTAAGATGTTTGTGGGTATACTAAATTCTAATGCTGTACTTTATTTATGGGATCAATTCTTTATGATTAAATGGAATACAACCTATATTGAACATGCTGCAAAAGCAATACTTTATTTACTACGTGATAAGTTTCTGTGTACAACAGATTATGAAGAAATCCGACAAGTTTTTCTCGAAGAACCTTATCTATTGTATACATCAGATATACAAACAGCTTTTGTTCATCTTGCATTAAAACATGATAATCCTAAATACATTCCGGCTATGAATCAACGTGTACATTCATTAAAACCAATGGATAATATTCAGTATATTTCGAATAAACATAAAACATATGTCGGACAAATTGGTATAAAAAATATTTCATTAAATTTAATTTCACCTGTGGTATGTTATTGAATTAAATTTAAATTAACTGATATATTCTTTATATAGACGAAAGATCCTCGAGAAGAATTTCAGTATAAATCATTAGTTGTAGAAATTCAAGCACATGGAGGTGGAGAAAATTTAGGAAGTATTTCAACACAATCAGTACCTGTAATTCGTATGTTATAATTATATTTATATTTTCAATATTCTAAAATTATGAATTTTAAAAGGAAAAGAACAGACAACATATGGTCAGCAGAAAATTACGATCGATTTACTAGACGATAAATTAATTCTATTAATTAAACAAACACGCCAGTCTTTTATTTCTGCACGTATACAAGCGCTTGTCGTTGTTCAGCAACAGTTAGACGGTATGAAATTAGCTCGTTCATCTTTAAGCATTATTGTTCTTTTTATTTATTTATTAGCAAATACATTGAAAATTCTCGGTCATTGTCGTTTTCCACTATATATTCCACAAAAAATTGGTAATCTCGATACATGGGATGTAACATTTGGACTTGTAGAACGTGCACTACATTCCGGCATACCACCAACTTCGATTGATATGATACCTGATATACCTAAACCAGTTGAATCAGGTATGTTAAACATAGAATATACTTTAAAACCACTTTAATCGAAGATTTCTATCAAAAGACATAATAATTTCTTTACTAGTTAAAACTATCGAATAGATCAGTGACAACAACAGACAATGGCATAATGAAGTGTTTTATTTTGATAATAATACTATCTAATATTTTTGATATCTACTAGACTAACAATTCTTTTTTTTTTGGTTTTGAATGAATCTCTTTTCATTTTACACGTTTATCTTAACGAATCAATCTATAATATATTAAAATCTTAAACGAAATATTCCGACTATTTCAATTGATTAGAGCACATATTGGATAATACGTAGTTTACGACAATGTAAATAAATGAACAGATGTCGTCATTTTCAATATTTGTTGTTAATGACCTGAGGTTAGTGAGAAAAGATTTCTTCTTAACTTCGTGAGTATATAACATTGTATCGGCAGTTGTGTACCATGCCTGTGAATAGGTCAACGTATTTATAATAAGAAAAAGGCATCGTTGTTATTCGCAGCAAAAAAAAGATACTAATTGATTAACAAAAACCGCTCTAATTTAATATTTTCGATTTCTAAATTTTCCTTTTTTTATCTTAAATTATTTTTATAGATAAAATTGATTCAAGTTCAATCATTTCTCTTGTGATATTCGATCCAAAAGCTGAACAACATTTTGCTCAGTAAGTTAAAACTATATATTTCTCTATTCTTAAATACCGATAACTAATTTCCTAGATATGAATACCAAATAAACTTTTTTTCTGTATTTCTTATGTAAGATGCGATTCATTCTAGCTACAAATCATATTCAAAAAACAAATTGATTAAATGCGTCTCTGATTTTTGCTTCCCTTTTTTTTAATTCTAAATACTTATATAATAACTGCTCTCATCTATTCTTCTAGACTTTAATCAAATATATATATCCGTCCATATTTTATACAAATGTCAACTATACTATTAATTAAACGTTTAACTTATATTAGAATGTTATTATGGTATGTTGGAGTATTAATATGTTCATTAACGCATACATTATTTATTATACAAACATGGTCGAAAAGTTTTGTTTTTATATTAATTTTAAATTTTTTCATTTGTTTAATTAGTCTTTTTATATATAATTATCGTGGTTATTATCAAAAGACTAAACGTATTCTAGTCATTTTTTTACCAGTTTTTACAGTAGCTACATTTATTATTTATATTATTTATATGTTTAATATAAATTATCGTACAATGAATTTATTCACAATAAATATGATGAACAATGATCGACATCAAAGTTTATTATCAAATACATTACGATATCATAAATGTTGTCGTATACAAGAAGAAATTTTATTTGATTCACAGAATGAACGGGAATATTTTCGTTTATTTCCTCATTGTCAAAAATCAATTGAAGAAAATGAAAAACTAAAAGATCATTGGGATAATATAACAACATGTGGAACATTATTTAAATCGATCGTATTTTATACTAGATTTATTTTAATAATTGATTTAATATTGAACTTTAGTATTATGACTGTGAGCTTAATTCATATATGGGAAGAAACTGATGAATGGGTTAATGATAATCAATGTACACTAACAATAACAGATAATATTAATTATAAAGCAAAATAAATTTCTTTTTTGTTTGCTAAATAAATATAAATAAAGAATGCTGATACTGAATAAAATTATATTTCGAATGTTAATGATTTATAGAAGTTCTCTAGTTGTATAAGACAAGAAGAGTTTTTATCGACTCACTGTTAGATTTTCTTTCATAAGCAGGATAAATACTTGTTCCAAAAAAAAGGGTCAAAAAAAGGTGAGCTCGAAATTTGGAGTTTACGAATGTCTAGTTTTTACCGAAAATCTCAGCTCAGAACTTTAACCATCTATTTCTGACTATTCATATAGATACTATTGGCTGCTCTGAGTCGACCGATACTATTCAAGAAAAAACACATCGAGTTAAACGTTGGAATTTGTTGAAATACCACAAAACTGTAAACTCCAAATTTCGAGCTCACCTTTTTTGACCCAAGTTAAGTGAACTCCAAATCTAGAGTTTACGAGTTTCAAGTTTTTCGACAAATTGTAGCTTGTAGCTATGTGCCTTTTTTTTGAGCATCACCAGTCGACTCAGTACAGTCCAGAGTATCTATTAGAGCAATCAAAAACAGATGATTATAGTTTCCTGGTAGAGTTTTTCGTGAAAAGTTAGATATCCGTAAACTCTCGATTTGGAGCACACTTAACCCTTTCGTTACAGAATTTTTTTCTCTCTGCATTGAAACTCAGTAAATTTTTAATCTAGCTGTTTTTAGAGATAGGGACCAGTGACGGATGACAAAGCGTCTGACCTTGCCTTTTCGAAAATTTCAGTTTACGGCTGATAGAGACATATGTAGAAGATGATTCATCTATTTCCGCATGTGATATATGAATTATAAGTAGTACTGAATTTTGTTATACTTGAACGAAAATTTTTTAACTGCTGACTTTTTTATTTGTAAAGCGTATTGAATGTTTTTATGAAATAACAAAAAATAGTTTTGTGGATATGGGTGTGACGGTCGAAGAAAAAGAGAAACCCACATCCTTTCATAGAATATCCTGTTTAATTTTGCTTTCAAGAGATCGCACATCGATTTCTGTGAATTTTACTATAAAAAAAAGTAATTAAAAACAGGTGTAGCTTTTGTTATACTATTGTAATGAAAGGGTTAACTTGACAGATCAATTCAAGATATCTAGAAAGTTTCGAAATTTAATCGAATTAAATAATAAGAAATTATATAGTTCCTATCTAATCTTGATAATGATGAAAAATTACAAACAATTATCGATGTAATCATAATGATTGATACCTTGTCCTCCTTCAATAAGATACATGACCATCAGATGCAATAGAATGATTTTAAAAAAAGCAGCAAAACTGTAACATCCTTTAATTTATAATTCATTATATTTTTACATATTCAGAACTTATTACTATCGATACTAAGCCATTTCCACTGCTAAATCCTCGTTCTTAATGACTTTTTTTTTCTACTATGGTAAATCTTGTATATTAAAAAGTATTATATAATTCATTATAAATCAATTATGATTGAATGTCAAGTGTAACATGCGTATCGAAACAAAATTCTTTCATATTCATGTAAATATGTTTCAATTGAAATTTTTTTCTGTATCTAGCTATGTTGATTGACTAATAATGAATTAGAGAAGTATTGATATTATTTCTTCAAGTGTATATATATATCTCACTTTAATTTATTTTGCAAATAAATGCTCTTTTATATTGTTTTAACAACATTATCAATCTATTCAAATGTTTGTTTTCTTCTTTTTTTTGTTAATCTATTCAATAGATGTGTTTGTCTTTGACAAAATCTTCGTACAATTTATTTTTGCTTTCTACACATGAAATTACTTCGAAAATTCATAATGTAAATAATTAAACACTGAAAGATCAAAGAAAAAAA